AGGAGCAGCAGGAGGAGGTGGGCTTCACCGCGGCGGCGCGGGGAGGCCTGGGGGTGCCGATACTAGGGCTGGGAGCTACTCGGGGCAGGGACCTCCGCCACCTGCGGGAGGTGCTTCTGCGCAGGATAGGCTACGGCAGCGGCTGTGGGGGAATGGGGGGTCGAGGACTGTGAGTCCTGGCAGCACGGGGCAGGCGTTCTCGCCGCCTGGGCAGGGCAACAACCCGTATCGAAGGTGAGGTGGCTCAAAAGCGCATGTAGGGGCTGTTGGTGTTGGAAACGGGGCTGTTCTGGAGTAGGTTCAGCATAATCTCAGTGAATAGCTGGGATGTGGCGAGAGTTGCATATGCAATGGTTTGGGAATGCTGGTGTTATTGGCGTTGAATAGGTCTCACATAGCATAGCATTTCTTTTTATGGAAATTATCATTTCGACACTTTTATCATTCAAGAGAGAGACCAGCAGCGAGAAAGTGAATATGAGGTCAAGCATTTAATTCGTGTACAAGTGTATAGTTGCAAACCCAGTCCACCAACTCCGACTTGATAGCAACCTTTCTTGATTCGAAACTGTCACTGCAAAGACAATAAAAAGAAAAGAAACACGCCAAAGGTCATGATACATAAAACCAGAGGCCCTCTGGTTACAGATTTAGGTCTATTACCTAGTAGGCATACCGTCGCCATTCTCAGCCACAGTCGTCCGGGGCAGGACGTCAACCTGTTTGCTCAGCAACTTCCGCAACTCGGGCGTGATGACCCTGGCGACATCTTCTTTGCCTTTGCCCTTGTTTGGGGTTGCGGTTTTGCTGTCCCTGTTTCCGGAGTTCGAGCCGCCATTGGCATTGCTGGCTTCCGCCTCTGGTTTCCTGGGAGCGGGGAAGTTCTCCTTCTTGTCGACTGCTTCAACCAGTCTTTGATATTTCCGGAAGAGGGTTTCGGCCCTGATCAAAGTTGACTCGAGGTCGATGGTGTTGGAAAGCTCGTTCACTGGATTGTTATGTTAGTCACAAATTCTGTAGGGAGGGTTTCTTTCACGTGGTTGAAAAGGCAGCATACCGTATTTTAGCACCTCGTCGAATGCTTGCAGGTGCGTCATGATCACATCCCGGTGTTTCTCTAGGATGGCCAGAGCGATGAAAAGGTGGAAATTGGCGCTGTAGTAGTCGGTCCAGAGCGTCTCCCACAGCCGAAGGACGTCCATCCACTCAAACTCGCGCTTATACCAGACGAGGACCATGCGGAAGAAGAAGAAGAAGTTGGTGCTGTCGGCCTTCTCGAGGTGCTCCCAGAGCTTGGGGTCCATGAAGTGGACGAGCTGGTCGAGGGTCAGGAGCTGGCTGCGCATGCCGGACTGGTCGCGCAGGAAGTTGCGCTCCATCCGGTCCATAAACTTCTGGAACGCCCAGAATGCGATGGCGTCGTCCTGGACGACGGCGTAGATGGGAGCGAGGAGGTCTGACATCCCCTGCACGTAGCCGAGATCCTTGTTATACTCGTTGTAAGTCAGAAGCATCTCCTTGAGCTGCTCTAAGTGAACATTTGTGCCTACTTCGGCAAATGGGGAGCTTGGATCTGGGTGGGGAGTGTCCTCCCCGTGGAAGATGGGGACGTTTCGGTCAGTTCTGTGGACATCCTTTTCTGGGTGGAAGTTAGCAGACAATATCATTAATAGATTCGTTTTGAGCTTCTTTCTTACCGATGCGAGCTCGCTGCTCACGCCACCACTCGCCAGTTTCTCCGTCTCCGCCATCTCCCTCGAGACGGTCCCACCAGGAAAGCTTAAGCTTGTAATACGAGTCCCTCAGAGAGGCGATCTGAGCTTTCCGTTCATCTGTTGTGCCATACCAATCGTAAACCCCCAGCAGGAAGAGCCAAGCCTCCTTGCGAACTCCGTCATTAGGGTCGAGCCCACCATGGAAGATGCGCTCCTTGACCTCGTCGGTTGTAACAGACAGTCGACCAGTTTCCGGGTCGAAAAAGCCATCCCACTCCTTCTGGGTCAGCGTCTTTCGTCTATCCTCTAAAGAAAGGGAGCTGCCCTCTAAAAGTTCAAACTCTCCCACGTCGGTATCCTCAAGCTCCATGACATCGTGCGCCGTCCATGTTCGCTGCTTGCGGTCCCGTTCGCTCTGCTCAGCGATACCCATGGCCCATCTCGCCAAGTAAATGCGGGCACTGTCGAATTCGTCCTGCAGCGTCTGGACCTCGGGTGTCTTCAGCAGTCTCCTAACTTGGGGAGGTAGATTAGGATTGTCCACAAAGTCTTGCGCCGCTCTCCTCGTGAACGTCGTGACTTTGCTGAACTGGTTCATTAGGTTCCACCCCGTCTCCTTGACGAACTTAACAAAAGGGTCCATTTGGGCGTCGTTGGAAGAACCTCCCCGGGCAGGTTCATCCTTCTTCTTTATAGAGCTTGTAGTCAGTTTTTGGCCGAAAGCTTCCATGTCCTCCTTGCTTGGGTCAATGAGATAAATATTAGGCTCCGCGCCGGACCTCTCAACCTTGACGTATCGTCGCAGCCATCGGATAATCTCATCGCCTCCCCAGAACATCTGCCCAGTCTCGCCGAAAGGATCAAAGGTATCGCGGGCCAGCTTCTTCTTCTGCAGGATTGTGCTCTGGCATTCGTTATCGTGGAAGAAGAGGGCGGGGAAGCTGTCGCCCCCCTTGGAATTGATGATGACGGATCCATACCACCACCCAAGGCTCGGCGGCCGGACTTGCAGAGAGTAGATTGCACTGACGGGGATGGCGAAGGAATAGCCGCCGACAGAGCTACTGATTGCCGTCACGGTCGGAGGCGGGGGAACAAGATATTTCTGTTTCGGGGGACTGTCGCCATCGCACAGGTCGACCTTGACATAGATGCTTTCGGAGTCGCCCAGGGCAGACTCGGGGATCCATCCCAGTAATAGGTCGGCGGCGCCAATTGAACTGCCTTCTGCCTCGTTGGTGGGATTGGACTCGCGCCGGGATCCCTTCTGCTGGAGAAGAGCGATGTATCCTGGAATATTATCTTTGGTCGAGGGTGTTGGATGGACGTAGACCTAGTGGACCATGTTAGTGGTGGGCGGGTTCCCGGAGCGAAGGATACGATATGGGATAAGACAGCGATGATGGAGGAGTAGATGTAGGCATACCTTGCTCTTTGAAAACAAGAGCTTCACCCCTCTGCCGCTCTGCACATGGGTGATGGTCTCGTACTCGCCCTCCTCGTCGTCGCTCATGGCGTAGAAGCTGGCGGATGGGGATGAGGCGCGGGGCGGGGCATCTGGAGACTGTGAAGTCATCGTCTGGGCAGCTGTGGTGAGCTGTGCTGGGTCGATGCCGGCGGGCACCGGGTGTTTTAACGAAAATCAAAATGTCTGGCTTGAGAGGGAGGCCAAGCTGGTCAGGCACGCACAGTACAGGACAGGCTTTGGATCTGGTCTTGTGAAGAAACGCGAACAAACAATGTCGGCATGGACGGTGCATGTGAGCAGTCGCTGTGGCGCATTCCGGATTAAGTGGGCAGTTCGTCTGGAGCTGCCCCTCCGCCACATTCGCCTCGATGCTGGAGGCCAGCGGCGGACATACGTAGCTCCAGTACGTAATAGAGCAGTCACCGAGTCTATTTCCAGGCTGCCTGTCTTGCCTGCCTGCCTTGTAGCCTAGAGCTGCATACTGATTGTAGATTGATGCGTACTTTAACTTTATACCACTCGAGGACAGTCGCAGCGGATCACCCACCCGTAGCCTTGTATATTGAATACGAGGCAAGAATAAATTCAATCTCTGGTATCCAATATGTATTGGGTAATTTTCCTGCCCTCTTGTGTCTCCCTCTGACAGACATTCCCGTCATTCTATGCGAATATCTTGGCTCTCGTACCCCGCCGCGCGGCAGATTGTGGCAATTGCGCGGATCCACGCACGGCCTCGTCCGCTTCTAAGTCTACCTTATCCTACGTTGACGCTCATACGACAAACCGCCTTGCTGCAGGGCACCCTGTTTAGTATCATATGAGTCACTTTCAATACAAGCTGAAAATGTGGAAAGAACAGAAAAGAAATATGAAGAAAGAAAAAGTAGAGCATCGGCCAGACATGTATACATATGCTGTGTGTTAGGTAGCTTAGGTAGATACGAAACTAATATTTACTACATATTCTACCTACCCGTGTCAGGGGGGGTTTCCAACAGAGGCGTTTTTTAACACGAGCATATGCTCGTGTTATCTGACTATCAGACTCGCTATCTGGATATAATATTTGCTGAACAGGCTGTTCCTACTAAAAGCTCTGCTGCAAGGCTGTCTTCAGACTGTTAAGGGATTTTTCTTTTGGGAAGGAACGATGGAAACACCGGTATATGCTCGTCACCTCGAAGGCGCTGTGTTATACGCCCTAAAAGGCTTAGGCAAGCCTGCTAGAGCACTGTTAGGCCACTGTTTGAAAACCCTCACCCGCATAGGTATTCTCCCGATGTAATAATCGCGGGTCGGAATTTGGTCAGTGTAAGTGGTAAGATCGGCGAACGGAATGGCACATCAATTGCTTTTGTTGAGAAAAGCATGCTTTTTATCTCAGTTTGGGTGGGCAGCAAGCAGGATGACCCTGTTTGACTGATCATATGAGCAACCTCATTCAACACCAATCAGGGCGATCGCAGTTCATCCCATCTTTCTGCTCCCCTCCACTATCGTTCATTACACCTCCCCAACACACCAAACATATAGTTTTTGAGAACATCTTGGAGAAAAAGATCTCTTTCTTAAGCGTTTACTATAAAATATCAAACAGAATATAAAGTAAAGTTGGCCGGATAGAGACATCAAAGGCCCGTTCAGTAAACACGGGTAGACCCAACAGTTCGAAACGTAGGACAAGGGGAGACCAACTCATGGAAACACGTTCGCAATCCGATACCGCGTGATTTCACCTTTAACGCTAAATCCGCTTCCTCGTCCTCAATTTCGACTAGAAAATAGTAGCCTTGCGATTCGTCAACCTCCCTCCCTCCCGCCTTGCCTCCATAGATATTTCCCCCATTGAGCGAACCACTTCATTCAACTAGACTGCACTCATTCGGCCAGCCCTGAAACTGGTAAATGAGGCATCCCCGTTCGTTTTTATTGAGAATGGCCTCTTTCCTGCACCAATATTGCCCTGCCCCTCCTCTCCTTTGATTCTACTGATAGATCTCGACCCCTTCCGCTACAACCACAAAAAGCTGGACAAATAATTGTCAAAAACAATTTCCAGGCCGGCCACTCTAGAACGTCTTCCGCAACTTCCACCCCGTCGCAGAAACCCTGGCGGTCACGTAGCAGGCCAGGGCCACGATGTACGCAGCCGCCGAAAAGAGGATGAGCCCAATCCACCCTGCCCTCCCCCCAAACCCCAGCAACGCACCCCCGATGGGCACACTCGTCAGGGTGCCAAAGCTCGCAATCATGTTCGCCGTGGTCACGTACCGGCCGTAGTCGCGGGAGTCGCAGAACTGCCCTATGCACACGGGGATCAGCCCGAGGTTGCTCCCACTGGCGAACCCGAAGACGACGCAGAAGACGATGAGGAGCGGCTTCGAATCGCCCGCCGGCAGCCAGAACCCAAGGATTGTGATGACGCAGAGCGCGATGGTCGCGATGATGACGTTGAAACGGCCCAGCTTGTCGGCCAGGAAGCCGGGGAGGAAGCGGCCCAGCACGGAGCCGGCGTTGAGAGATGCCAGGAGGACCGAGCTCTCGGCGTCGCTGCTGCCGTGGCTCTTTGCGTAGGAGATGATGTAAGTTATGGGCACGAAGAGACCCCATTCCATGAAGAAGATACCGACGGCAGAGGATGCGAAGCCTCGGCTGCGCAGAATCGTCAGGTCTGGCCAGACTGAGTGTCCCCGTGGCTCCTTCTTCTCGCCATCATTGACCGGGGCAGTAAGGCGGCTGCGCACAAAGAGGTTTGCGGCTGCGCAGAGAACGAGGAGGATGAGGCCGAGTATGCGGCAGCTCCAGGCGAAACCTACCCCGTTCTCTCCCAGCAGAAATTGGAGCAGCAACGGGAAGACGATGCCTCCAATGCCCCCTGCAGTTGTAGCGATGCCCGTTGCTAAACCTCTTCTGACGTTGAAGAAGTGAGCGATAGCACCGTAGGCAGGACAGTTAAGTAATGCTCCGCCGGTGCCGCCAAGAACAGAGTAAGTCAGAATGATTTGATAATACTCTATTCATGAGAAGTTAGCCAGCGTGTTTAAACAGGTTAGAAGATGCGCAATACCCTTTGAAATACTAAGAAGCATCAGGCTCGCAACCATAAATATACTGCCCACTGCGACCAGGAGGCGGGGTCCATAGTGATCGAAGATTGGCCCAACCTGAATGCCAATAAAGAAGACCAAGAACAGGTACAAGCTGAAGATCCATCCTATCTGGGAGTGACTGTACTCTCTGAGTTGATGCTCTTTGAAATACGATTCAAAGACAGCACTGGTGTTGATCAGACCGAAGACGGCACCCATGGCGCAGAACGAACCGAAGACGACAAGCCATCCCTGCAAGCCGCCCTCCGGATAATTGAGCTCATCAGAGCTAGTTGAAGCCGCAAGCTCAGGTGAGTCAGTAGAATCCGAGGTTATCTCATTTGTTGATTGATGGTGGTGGTGATTGAGGGCTGGGCCCTTCATCCCCATGCCCTCGGTGTGTTCATCTAGGCCATCTTTTATGGTGAGACGCTGGTGGTTTTTCAGGCAGGTTTCCTCTGCATTTTTGGGAGCAAATTCCATTAAAAAGCCCTGGGAGGGCCCCTGTGAACTGATTGGGGATTTTTCACGTGTAGGTGAAGTCAATTGGAGTTTGGTTAGTAGTGCTAGCGAGATGAGTGATGGATCAAGAGAGGAGACTCGAAGACCGCAGCCAGGCGTATGCCTATTCGTTTATAAGTGAAGCCAGAACCAGGATTAGATAATCGGATGCATGTCAATGAACGAGTAGACAATTGATTGAGCAAGAAGTGGGCAAGGATCCTTGCGGTAAGAAATTAAATATAACGTAACAGATACGTCTGCCAATGCTGAATGTCGAAGTTGAGCGATGTAACAGAGCCACATCATCAAGGCTGCAGATGTGCATGCCCACGTTTTCGCGTATGGCTGCTATACAAAACAGGCTCATATCTCTGCGTTTATAAGCCATTGTGTATCCTCCTGTCGACTCTGCACCACAATGAGCCCCTTTGTAGAACTCGGCTGATTCATTATTTCCCTGGCGGAACACGAACTGAATAAGAAAGGAACACTGATGTCCTATATTTCGCAAGATCAATGATACCAGAACGAATCGAGTTCTCGAATGCATCTAGCCCCAAGCCAAGCGAGCTTTCTAAATCAGCTACCGCATAGGCCTTCCACTCAAGGGCAATAGAGGCGAATCAAGCTTGTCGCCGGCCCAGTAATTCATTTGATGGCAACCTCTTGCGATATAAGCGACACCATCTTCGCCGTACCGAAAATGATGCTACACCGACCTGCCATCGTCTCGTCAGCCTGAGCCATCATTACTTACTGCCCTTCCACAAGCTAGTTGAGAGTACCTAGTGCCACCGTAAGCATCCTTCATCTTAGCTTAGACGAGCAGTGGCTTCAGAAAGCTGAGAGTGCCGGTTTCATAAGCGTTTGGCTGTATATGTGACATGTGTTAGCCGTACCCGGCGACGGTATTGCCCGAATGCCATGTTCTCAGACGACTCTTCAATGCCCTGCGCTGGTGGCAAAACTTAGCAGGAAACTTCCGTGTCTCATTTCGGTAGGTTTTGAAGGTCCGAAACCCCACGAACATTTCTTTCCCTTCAGGTCCTGACCTCACAGCATCCTTGGGAGGTGACCGGGGATGCTCTCGGAATGGGAATTATGACACAATAACCACGCAACAACCACAGAGCTCAATTCCAGCATCAAACTCCAAGTAACCACATCGAGAGTAGTCTCTGATCAATGTGCAGTCGTGAAATGCCAAATCCAAAAAGAAATCAAAAAGAAATGTGCCTGGGCCCGGACTCGAACCGGGGTTTCCACGGTTTTGGATGATTCCACAACGTGGTGCCCTGACCACCTAGACTACCCAGGCCGGCTGATTGATGATGTTTCAGAGTTTTATCCTAGTATATATACACTTTGCAGAAGCATGGCTGGGGAAAGTAAAAAGGGAGAGTGGAACCTGGGATGGAGGTTTCGATAATGGGCGAAGTGTAAATATAAGCAAAAAGGATGTACGAAACGAGATTGTGCCTGGGCCCGGACTCGAACCGGGGTTTCCACGGTTCCAGTTGAATTACCCACAACGTGGTGCCCTAACCACCTAGACTACCCAGGCGAGCTGACTAAGATGGTGCCGGGGGCTCTTATTGCATTCTAGATACCCCAGGGGCATCATCGCGAGAGAGAGAAAAATGAAGCTGCTACATTGAGCTGTAGCGAAGAAAGGAACGTGTTGAGAAAAAAGCAAAAAAGAAAGTGCCTGGGCCCGGACTCGAACCGGGGTTTCCACGGTTTTGACGCTTGATCCACAACGTGGTGCCCTGACCACCTAGACTACCCAGGCAAGCTTAGTAATTGATGGAAACATGACCCCGATAATGTATAATAAGTAGCTTTCTTTCTGCTCTACCCGAATCGTTGTAGTAGGGCTCTGAACCATGACAAGCTGTAAGCCACATCGCTTCTAACAGAAGTGATTAATATCCTTTCAATAATTATAGGACTCAATTCTCTACCAGTTGTTACCTAGCAAGAGCCTACGTTTCTCAGATAATTACTTGCATTAGAGCTTGAGATCTGTATGCTGCCATTCTTGTACCTACCCTGTGTCAATCACACAGCTCAACCAATTCAGCATCTGGGCTTTGCCAGGCCTTAGAATTATTGAAGCATCATATCGTATCCCAATTCTAACTTTCTAGGAGGGCATCTATTTTATATTGTTATAATTATTTGATACATAAATTGTCTGGATCACACTGGCTCCCGTTGTCGCAGACCACATGGTTTTATGCATCATTACTCTTGACCTTGTGTAGAGCATCATAATTCCATTCACATCATGAAGAACTTCCCCCAAGCATCAAACCGCCCTGAAATTCGGGTTCCACTGCTGTATCTGGATCGGTGTAGTTGACGGGCTTGTGAATACGCAGAAGCCAGAGGAAGTGATCCTCAAGGACGCAGAGGTTCAACAAGAATTCGTTTCCATACCACGCAAGGCCACAGACCATGGCGCCGGCGACAGCGTCGAGGATGAAGTGGTTCGCCGTGGCGACGATGGCGGTGAGAATAAGGGTGGGATAGGACATGCCGGCCACGACAATTGCGCCGCGCTTCCACGAGTTCGATCGGAGGCCACTAATCGGGAGGGTGGCGATGGTGAGGCCGATGAGGAGAGAGTATCCAAAATGAAGAGAGGGCATAGCAGCTACAAGTGTAAGTAATTAGCGGCTGAAATAAACACCCTGCTGGATTTCTGCTGAACTTGGTTGTGGGCATTCACTGACCATATTGGTTGCAGAACTTGTTTGTTGTCCAAACACTGCTCTCTCCGGCCTTGCTATGGACGGTGTCGACGAACCCAAAACTTTTGGCCTCTGCGGCATTGTTACCATCGTAGTTGGGGTCGCTGAGGAGTCTCGGAGGCATGCATGGCCATAGAGTGAAAATGATAAAGGCGATGAGGTTGCACATCGCCATCGTGCGTCGACGCGCCTCATAAAGGGCAGGGCCAGTACCATTGTTGTCGTTGATGACTCGGCCGGTCATGGCATGGCGCTTGCGGGTTGTGGTGAGGTAGTAGAGGACGACGAGGAAGAGGATTGTCCCGGGGATATGGATGAAGGAGTAGACCCGGTTGATCCAATGGAGCAGAGTAGGATGCTTGAGGAACCAGTGCTGCACGGGGAGTTCCCAGAAGATTTTTAGTTCTTGCTCAAGGTGGATGACCTCGAGGGCATGCCTGCGGGCGACATTGACGGTGCCTTCGACAAGAGCGAGGGCTGAGATTGCGCGGCCGATTTGATATACCTGCGGAGAAGCATAACCGTGTCAGAGTATTAAGCTTGAGGCCATGGCTATTGCCTAAAAGTATGGGAAAATCCGAGAAGGGAGATCTCGGGATGGGTAGATCAAAGGGATGATATGAAGGTGAGAACCTACCCAGTATATATTTGCCCAGTACCAAGCCTCGGCAAGAAAGGGGAACTTTTGAAGAACACGACTGAGAAAGCGATCCTTGAAGATCAGAGTATTCGGAGTCGAGACAATCTTGGTGTAACCGAATAGATGGAGTTTGCGGCGACGGAGTCTTGGTTCTTGGGGTGCCAAAGTTGGGGTGGAGGACGAGGAGCTCCATTCCTCAGAAGGCCTGCTTCCTAAATCCTCAGTATCGTCGCTCCTTTTCAGATTCCTGTGTCCCGCCCATCCCGACGTTCCCTTTCGAAGATCATAATCCTTGTTTCGATTGAAGTAGGCGCCCCCAAAGAGGAGTGTCACCACTACCAACGGCTCAAGGAATGCCCCGACCGCCATGTCGAATCCTATAATAGAGATACAAAACTGGCGGTAAGGTAGGCCTGATTTACAGTAGATTAGTTGGACCTAGAGCTCTCTAAAAAACCAAATCGAAGAGCAAAAGTTGCAGTCTTGGCGGATGGGACCAAGTGGCAATATCAATGATGAATGGATAAGCGAATATATACGAGAGTGAAAAGCTATCAAGAAATAGGAGGGGAAGGAGCAATCGGATACTCGACGTATGTATAGGGAGGCAGCTTCGGACCGCATACATAATATGTGCCTGCCGAGCCTCGTGGATGAATCCCGCTCAGACCACTATTACCAAACTCCAAGAAGAAGTATATCGACGATCAAGAAGCCATAAAACCGCTGACCCGAGCAACAAGCATTAAGCCCGGGGACTCAATGAGTCCGGAAAGAGCGACGCCCGCGTTACCTTGCCTATGGGGTGGGCTGGGGCTGGCTGCATGTACTGCCAAGTAACTGTCTGATAAAATCTCATGCTGGGCTTGGAGGAAAACTGGATATGCATAGTACGGGATCGTCGGAAGACCCAAGTTTTTGACCGGCTCCTCACCCTCCTTCACGAGCTGGTAGTGGGTGGTGGAGATGTTGGGAAAGAGCGGAAATTGTAAATTCATGTTAGTCTGTCTCTGGCCACTACGATATTAGACAAGAAAAGCTCAAGGAGAGCCAAGCGTCACGATGCCCTGATGCGCGCAATCTATTCCATGTTGCCTTGTTCGAAAGAAACTACGATGGAAGAGGTCACTGTCTCATAGCAGTCCTTGTGGGAGGTGGAGGCAAGGGAACAGAGCATTCGCATAAGTTTGATGAGGGGATCTGATAAACCATGCCCACTATACTGCCGGCATCTATGGACAATCAGCCGGCAGACTTATTTGAAAGGAAATCGGGTGCTCATTCTTGGGTGTGGCACAAAGGAGAAAGCAGTTAGCAGTTGATGTGTGGCTCATGCTCCACCTAACTGGACAAGGTTTGGGCCGTGTTGATCAGATCCAGCAAACGCGAGATTGGCAGTCGTCATCGGCTTTGGGCAAGCCCGATGGCGGTGATGGCGGATACGTAATTTGAGGGCGATAGCTCCTAATGATGCAGCCAAGCAGCGTGGGCGTGGTTGTGTCGCGTGCCCAAGTGTCGCCGATGTGTCAGGTGTCTTGTGCTCGTTGCGAACTCAACGCCCCCCAAGCGTCTCAAGCGGCCACCAGCATCCGGTAGTAGGGTAACACTAAGGCTGTAGAAAGGCTGGCTGGTGCCCTGCTTATCCGGCAGCTGCGGGACCTCGGCGGCTTGGCGTGACTTTAAACTGACCCTACGTAGCAATTACATTTGATGCAAGCACAGCAAGACCAGGGGCCAATGTCCCTTGGCTGTTCTGCGGCTGCTACCCAATCCCTGCCCGTTGGGGCTTCCCACCTTTGTTTACCTTGCTTCTGAGTTGCTGAATGGTGGGATTGGAGCATGGGGGAAGGTTCTCATGTTGTAATGCTGCAGTCATGCCACATAGCAATGTCCCGAATTGCTTCGTGAAACCGAGGCGAGAGAGTCGTCGATCCACTCTATTTCCCGAATTCCGGCAATTGCGGCGGGATTGACTTGGAAAGCAACGATGTTGAGAATCACATATGATTCTTGGCCTGGGGCACTCTCGTGATCCTGCCTACTTGACCTCGACGTTTAGGACCGGATTTCCCAGCCACTTGGCCGACTGGCATCCAGGTACTCTGGAAACACGCCACACGTGGAAGAACTGGACGCGCCCAAGAGTGGCTTGGGTGAGGGGAACCACTGCAATAGTGACGAAATACCACGCACTAACCTGCCACATAGTGCAGCTTCAAGCTTTTCAAAGCTCGGGGCCGGTACTTCTCGTCTTAGTGGTTGGCCGTATCCCGAGTTTGCTTGCTTTGTTGTTGCTCGACCCACTCACTGACGAGTGCCTTTTCCTGGTCGTGTCTCATCGGGCAGTCGGTAGCTTCTACCCTCCGGGCTGAATGTCGCAGGTTGTCGGCCACCATTTCTTCCTCGCATCCCGCCACATTGCCGAGCGCGAGGTTACCATAAGATTGGTAAGTTGGCCTAGCGCATCTCGTTTAGGGAACCGCATCTGGCTTCCTCCGTCCTTCGGAATGCGCGGGACATCGAGTTTGATCTCGTTGGCAGGCCACAGCGGTATTTTCGATGAAATGGCCCATCAAGACGGCATAACCCGAGTCTTTGACTGTCGTGAGAGCCCCTGGTTCCATCACCGCATTTGGATTCCCGCCGAGCCAACCATGTTAGCTGAGCTTGTTTGAAGCTTGTCTTAAAGCTTGGCTTTTTGGCCCATTTCCTTTCAAGGATTTCTCGGTCTTAGCCCGAAACATCAAAGTATTCCCAATTGAATGTTATGATGAAGCTATCGCGGCCGTCTTGCTGAAGTCGACAAACCATGATCAATGTGATTACGAAGAACAAGAACTGTCATCTTTGAATGCTTTGCCGGTACTTTGTTGGTGAGAGTGCACGTGATATTCAGCTTAGTAAGCGGCTTTACTCCAGCCTCTCAATAAGGGTCTCGGTATCAACTTCGACATGGGGAAAACATATTCTGATCTCGGTGATGTCGAGGTCTTGACGTGGAAGGATTGGGCGATATGTTCTTCTTAAATTGACATCCTAAGTTCTTTCTTCCTTTTTCGTTTTCGTGATGAGAACTTCTCCAAAACAATCACCCCTCATTTTGGCCAATTTTTTCCCTTTTTTTTTTTCTCTTTTTGGCAGCGAAGCCTCCGACAAGTCCACTGACTCATCCTTGGTCCACCCAAAATAACGAGTAATTCAGCGGACTCTTGAGACTAGCATTGAAGAACTTTTTCGGATTGAAATCTATAATCTTGGGGGCTTGGCTTCGACCGATCACAATGGCAGAAGCCAGGACCCTGTTAACAGTAATCATCACTACTTCAGTGACGCCAACAGCTCCTTCGACAGAGCTGATCTCGACAGCTTTGGAATCTTTTCGGAGCTTCTGCCCTGATTTGCTGACATGCAATGTTATTGTTGTGTTTGACGGATATGATGAAATCCAGTCCACTCCCCGGCTAAAGAAGGGCAGGGTAACGCCAGAGCAGGCGAAAAGCTATGGCATTTACAAGACTAATGTCAAGAACCTCATCCTAAAACAATACGGGAAACATGAGCCTCAAGTGACTTTCGTCCAGTCTGAAGGAGAGGCAGAATTTGGCGGGCTGAGAGCTGGCCCAAACACCGTACAATTTACGACCAGTGTGAATCTTGACAAGACAGTATCTTTCATAGAGCCGAGCAAGCGAATAGGTTTCGGCCTTGCGGTTCGTACGGCACTTCGCATGACAGATACGCCGTACGTATGGGTTCATCAGCATGATTGGGTCTTGTCAGCAGATATCCCACTGGGGGCCTTGTTGGATGTCATGCAAGCCTCGAGTTCGGAACCTGAACGGCCCGTCAAATATATCTGTTTGCCATCGCCACGGAATCTATCATATGATACGTGTGGTGAAGTAGTAGAATTTCCTACCTTGAAGGCGTTGACCGCCTCGCTCAAGGCAGAGTTCAGCCCCAAGCTTTACCCTGATGTAAAGATCGCGCTGACGCCTCTGTTCCACTGGTTTGACAAGCCCCATATTGCCTCGAGGGCTCACTATTTGGAGAGAGTGTTCCCCTCGCGGCTTGCCATGCTTCGTGGAGATTTTATTGAGGATAAGATTGGACATGTTTGTAGAACCCAAATGAAGGATGGACAGGTAAGAAGCTCCAGCTCAAATACTGGAGCGTATATATGCCCTTGGGCAAAACTCGCCTTGGACAAGACAGTTTACTAATGGGTTTTGATATAGTGGTCAAAATGGGCGACGTGGCTCTACTATCCAGGGGAAGGGCAAACTCACTGTGTGACACACCTCCACGGCCGAGTCTGGGTTGGAAAGGAGGCCGAGGACAAGAAGATTGCCGAATGGAGGTCGAAGGGGTTGGCACAAGCCCCCAAGCAAGGCCCTAAACCTGAACCTGTATACGACACCGCGATCTTCCAACAGGATTCTGAGGAATGATTTCACTTTGAGGAAGAACAGTGATGCATGATGGCAGCGTTGCCGTGACATGGAATCTCTGAAGCTCGAGTGGACCTGATTTCCCCCTCGAGACGAACGACAATGGATGCCGAGAGGATTCATCCCAACACCCCTTTTTGCCGACAAAATTCGCAGCTGATTTCTTTGCCGACTCCCCTAGGCAACCTGTTGGTTTGCTTGCGGTGGCGGAAAAGGTTTAATTTGCGTCTGGCCACATTATATCATCCGGCCATGAAGTGGGAATCTTTGGCTACAGAATTCACCCAAGTGCCATTCGGTTTTCATGCTTCAAGTAATCACACTGATTTGATTGATTATTTCCAACAAGCGGAACGCCACATGAGAGATGCCAAAGCAGATAATTGCATGCCTCTACCCAACGAGCACCGTCCCAGCTCTTTAATCTCATTAAACTCGCTCTATACCCAGGCCAATTCGAGCATGGATGCGAGCAAAGGCCCTCAGACCCCCTTAGCCTGTCATCTCGTGTTGTGGTCCTCGTCGCAGCTCCTCATTTGACGCCATCTCTCGGATATCTGTGCGCCACCACGGACGCTTGGACACGTCGCCCTGAAGCTCCTCACTGGCGGGGATCGTCTCCGCCCGCTTGACGACCGTGTTCCGGCGTCTGACCATCCAGAACGCGACCGCCAGGGCCGTGATCCCAATAGCCCCCATCGTAATACCGACCCCGAGGCCGATCCTGGCTGCCGTTCCTAGCCCATCGCCAGAGGATGCGGAGCTGCCGCCCGAAGCAGCTGAATCATCCTTGCTCCCCCCCGAAGCTGTAGTGGTTGCCGCGGCACTGGAAGCTGAGGCAGAAGAGACGAGTGTCGATGTTGACAGAGAGGTGCTCTCTGTGGGACCCCCGAGCGTGATCTCCCCCGTCCCTTCTGACCCGGTCGTCGGGTTCGACCCGGAGCTTGAACCAGTCGTGGATAGCGAGGAGGTCACCTCCGATGATGAAGAGGGCGTCGTCGAGGAAGAGCTAGTCGAGGAGCTAGTAATTGAGGCGCCGAGGCTGAATGTCGAGGCTGTTGCTCTCTTCCCGCTGGCTACCTTGAACCAGCCGCTGTTCCAGCCTATGTCATTTGGATTTTCTTTACTTCTCAGGTTGAACCAGCAACTGTCCGAGCTCGTGTAATTGATCGTCGCGAGCTCCTCTCCGTTATACGCTACCGCGTCTTGAATCTTGGCTTCTGTGGTCCTCGTTGGTCAACTCGCATTTCTTTGGGTGGCTGTGTAATGGCATGGGATAGACATACTTAATGTTGGGGACTTCTCACCATCCCAGCACCAGGTATAAAGGGAATTGTCTGGGATCTCGGACTTATACAGGACTATGATGGAATCGTTCTGGTAGACTGTGAGGGTTAGGTGCGGGGGAAACAGAATTTCTGCTTTGAAGCTTGAAACAGGATCCTCGGCGACGACGTATAATGACAGCCCCAGCAGCACATAGGCTGCTCCTCTCCTCAAATACATCATTATGAATGGTGTCGCAAGGTTGATTGCCGCCCTGGGTTCCAGCGGGGGAGTGACTGATGAATAGAAAGGAGTGTAGCTCCTCCAGGTATTGAGTAGCCTTTTCACCCGTGACGATGCACCGTCTGATCCAGGCTGTCATTTGTATTTGGCGTGGGATTGTGATGTACGCCCGCATTGCCGTATTCGCCATGTTGTCAGCAGGTAGGGTGGCGGTACCAGAGGTTGACTGAGGATGGGCCAACACAGGAGCGAAGGGGCCAGCGGGAGTTGCTGTCGAGGAGGACTGGGGCGTTGCATACATACTGTGCCACTAGAGAAGATGCATCGGGGTGCATATTGGGTAGCAACAACAGTGCACGGCTCGACTCTCAGTTGGTCCAGGAGCTTGCTTGTTACAGCTTCAAAGGCAAAGCTCCCGTCACGGCACAAATTGTGTCCCCGCCCCTGCATTCATGATCTTTGACGGTGCTAGAACTGCTCAGTAGTCGGCGCAGCGCAAGAGCACCATCCCGGCCTATGATGCCTGTTTGAGCCGCTGGGAGAAGACAGGGCTAGATCTAGGAATTACACGGATGCCATGGCTCTTCTGTTCATCCCGGGGAACATGCCAGTACTAGTGATCCGAGCAGAGCCGCGAAGGAGAGAAAAAGCCGCGCCATATCTAAGACAAGGCCACAAAATGGCCGACGCCTCGGCTCACTAAAATGCCACCTTGCGTGCTGCAGAGGAGATTGGGTAAACCATTTTAGTGACATGAAACGTGACACGTCTAAATTTCCGTGATTGATTCGTGATGAAGTTGTAGGAATAACCCGAGATCCTCTTCTGAAGAAACGTACTGATGTACGGAGCGTGTCATATTGTCTTCAACGGATGTAGGGCTGTTGGGGGCCTAGGAAAACCCCCAATACTACTCAAAAGGCCATCCATGATTTGATGTCAGACATGATTATCCTGTTCCGCAGAGCTGAATGCCAAAGTACCCGGAAGGATGATAAGTACAAGTACAGAGGGCGGGATTTGGATGCCGTCATGATATCAGCTGATAGATTCTTACTAGATATTATCGCTTTCTGTGCATGAAGCCCATTCCCCCATTCATACATGTATCAGCAATGTTAGAATAACCATATGCCGACACCTGACCGCCGATTTCGCTGAGTGCCTTGATCCAAGCCTGGCGGGTTATGAAGGGTTGGTCATCCTCCTACCCACTTGCAAAGTGACCTCCATATGAACTGGCCAATGGCAGGATTTCTTGCTTTGTACAGTATGATTTCTCCATCTGTTGTAAGGCGGCAGTGCAGAGAGAATCGAAATAATAGGGTGCCGATGGTAAACGGGTCTTATCACTTCACCACGACATCCGGCAAGCACTTAGATTGTAATGGGTGAATGCTCTAGTTGGACATACAAACACGTGTTTCTTCGAGTCCACTGGGGTCGATTATCCTGCATGTTCTGCTGTATCTCGGAGTGTTTAGCCAAATCACCCATTCATACCTCTATTGTATATCCTACAAATTTTCATGTCCAAGGTGGTTTACCAAACTCACCCATTAGCCAAACCTCCTTGCTTACCAATATAGACAAGGGTTCCCAAACGCCATGTTAACTGCCCTCTATTTAAAATTCCATCTCATCTTCTTGTATTATCCTACCAAGGATGAGGCTCTGGATAACCAATTCGTCATTCAACACCCGGGGACACTCTTCGGCCGATAAGTAAGAAGCCGAATGACTCCTCTTGCGTTTCCTGCCCCCGCCATTACCCAGCGACGACATCACCGACTCTGCGGTCCCTGCGCTCTTGTCCACGTAGATCCACTGATACGGCCGGCCGTCCTTTGCGTGCTTCTTGATAGCCTGCTGTGCCTGCTGTGCCGTAAACACCCGAGAGATCCTGGGCCCCAAGGCCTGTGCGAGGAAGATATATGGTTGCTTGGCTTCCGCTCGGCTTTTCTTGGAGTCCATGACGACTAGCACTTTCTGACCTTCTAGAAGCTTGCTGCGGCACTCCACGACGTTGGCTAGTTGTGCCTCTGCAGCTGGGTACGTATCCAGCTTCCGCGATCGGATGGCATTATCGAGCACAGCCGAGGAACCTGAGCACAGGAGGTAGTCCTCCCAGCTGACAATCTCACCCCTATTTAGGCAAGCCGTGATCCATTGATGAGCCAGGCATGGTAGTCCGAGTGCCAGCGCCTGCATGTACTTGGGTTTCCGCGAATGACCATCTGCAATGACGGCCGTGAACCCTCCTTCGCTGAACGACTCCACTAGCCTCAACGGCGCATCTTCATCGTAGATTGGTGTCGGGGTGCTTAGTATAGCCGACTGCTCAAACAGGGGCTCAAAGCCGTCGTTGACTATTGTGCCGCCGGCCTGGGCGATCCTTGCCTCTAGCTTGGTGCGCTCCTGAGATTTAGATTGGCTGAACGACAAGGCGAATATCATGCCGCCAAACAACCCCTCAGTTTGCGCAACCGCCGCCACGCCGTGGCGGAAACTCCTGATCAGCTTGGGATAGGTGACGCTTTTTTCCAGCACGCTCTCCGATGGAGAGCGAATCAGCTCGTCCGTCGACTCAGACCCATATCGAGGTCTTTTGACATTACGAAGATTTCTCACTGCTTGTGGCGAGGTGGAGCTGGCTACACTTCGTAGTGCCCTGGCTCTCAGATTTCTACCAGACGGAGCGTGAGCTGTATCTTCAGATATCGTCCCATCTTTCTCACGAAGTGCATGAATCAGAGGTGTCGTTATGAGTGACGAGGGAGGTTCTGATGAGAGGCTGCTAAGGGAAGAAGATGAGGAACTCTGGGCTTCCACAGTGACTGGTACCTTGGCCTTGGGTGTCTCGCACTTTCTAGGTCGAACCTCGATCGAATCTCGCTTCGCATTTTCGGTCGATGAAACGGGATGCTCTGTTTCTTCTGTTTCTTCATCTGGGGGAGATGTATCTGGTAGAAAATTTGTGTTTTCCTCCTTATCACCTGGAACGGCAGTAGATGGGGCTGAGCTAGTTGGGGGGGATCCAGGCTTAATAGCTGTTTCCAATTCCTTTGAGACGGCCTCGGAGACGGAAGAGCTTATTATCGTAGCCCTTCTCCCTTGCCGGGCTCGTGTTCCATATGACTTTTGCACTCTGGCCGGCTTCGGAGAAAAAGACGACGGCCCAATTTGTGACACGCTTCGGCTGACTCCCGAGTCTGTATTTAATTTCGGTAGGCTTGACCCAGACTGCGTAATCACAGGGCGTGTAGGGCTCGTAGCAGGGACAAATTCATCAGCCGCCGGGTCGGTTGCCTTGAGCTCTTCTGGCTCCAGGTCTGCCTCATCTTCCTTCTCCTGCTCTCCATCACTCTCTTCCGTGCCCTGTGTCGTTCCATCATGTGGCACTTCGCTCTGGCTGGCAGGTTTCTGCTGTGAGGGCTCGACGTTGTCACTCTGAGCAATGATGGTTTCTTCCGATGGTTGAAACCGCGGCGTCTGAACCTGAACCTCCGGACTGACCCGGCGGCGCTTGTTGCCGTGTCGCTCTTTAGACGTGTTCCGAGGTAGCGGTATGAAGGTAACCTTCTCCATCTCTTGTGCAGCTTGGGCTCTTTTCCTTTCAGCCTTCTTGCGCCGTTCCATGCGTCGCATGGCATCGTCGTCCGAGTCGCTATCAGAGCCAACGAACCGCCAAACTTCGCCATCGCTGGACTTCCTCTGCTGGGACGCCTTCATGTTCTCGTAGTGCTCTCGAGGCTTGTAGACGCCGGACAGCCTCGACGCCTTGTGCGTCGGGGACTCGGGGATGATCTCGTCTTCGGTCGACCTGCTGTGGGATGGTGTCTCCTCCTCGATCCGCTCTAGGTTGTTGCGTCGAGGCTCCGTCTCGGGTATATCATTGAGCCTCTGCGGGCTCGACGTCCGAATGTCAGTCGGGGACGATACATTGGTACGGTCTTTGAGGGGCGATGTCTCGGGCAGGTTGGGAGAAAACGAATTCGGCAGCACATGCGGCGACGGCCTCGAGGACGTCGGGCTGGCCTTTTTAATTGCAGAGGATAGGAGCTGAGTCTGTCCGAACAGCTGACTCCCGGCAAAGGGCACCGGCGCGGCTGCCCTCTGGCCAAACGGATTCTTAGGCACGATTGGCGTCTCAAAGGCAGGGTCCTGCGGCGCCTTGAAGGGCGTAAACAGCGTGCTCGACCGTAGCTGGGACGTCTGATCCGGCACCCTCCAGTCTCCCCTCGTCGTCGTGATGCCGCCATCCTCGGAGACCTGCGACGACGGCCGGCCAAACTGGCTCATGTCCCCGAAGTTGACCGCGCCGGTGTCGCCAGCCTGCAGCGAGCGATCCTCGTTGTCCGGGAGCAGCGAGTTGTTGTCCTGCTCGGGGCTCCAGGAGCCTGTCGCCGCGTCGTCGTCGTCATAGTCGCGGTCTTCGTTCACCTGCGTCGGGGTCTGCTGCGACACGTCCATCTTCCGAGTCTGCGTAGGAGGCCCAGCGGGCTGCTCATGCTTCCGACCGTCTAGTAGAGCGGCGACGTCATGCTGTATTTCAGCTTGCAGTGGCTGGTTGTCGCGCAGGGCAGATTCTTCTCTGTTGTCCACGGGGGGATCGCGGTTGGGTTCGTCCGGCCGGGGTTCGCTGCTAGTGCTTCTGCCTGGCGACGGGGATTTCGGTACGTCTTGCTGCTTATTATCGGGGTTGGGGGCGGCGGTGCATGTTTGCTTTTTCCATTTCAATTGTTAGTAGCCTCATCCCTGTCAGAATCTGGTGTTTTTAATGTGGACTGGACCAACCAAGCTTCGCGAGCGTGTCACCGACTGCTCAACACCTGCAGACCCAGGCACAACGCCAGGCGTCCACTGGTCGCGTTTCAGCACGCTGTCGTGGCTAAGTGACCTGTTACTTGAAGCTGCAACGGGCCGCGTTTGTCGCTCGGGGAAGGACGAATCGCTGAACTGATTTGCGCGCACACACAGGTTAGTAGACGACGCAAGCCGGGGGGGCGTTATTTGCTTTTTAAGGACACACCGTTCCGACACCCAATTCGATCTTGTACGCTTCGTAAAGGGCCTGGCTGTCCTGGGTCTCCTCCGGGCCTAGCACTGTCACCTGGGCCGCCTGCGATTCCGAACTCGCTGATATCATTTTGCTGGTTGCATAGTGGAAGTAGAGATGTGAGGATAGCGATCCAAAAAAGCTTAGGTTTTGACTTGCGAGAAAGGGAACAATAGCACAAAACCCAAAAGTCCGTTGGCACCACCTCAATTGGCCCATCTCCAACTACGCGCTCTACCACACGAAAACACGTGACTTGACGAGCGACCATTTAACCCGCAACACATTTTGGAACAAAGGTCATATTAGTAGCGGGCCGTGCTTTTAGACATCGGAACAAAAAAGTTGAAAACTAAATATGAGTTCATTCTCGTTATTCTCCCTATCCTAGCCCGTATCAAAGATTACGGTACAAATGTGAATGCATCGCTAAAGGGTATATGCTACGTTAAGTTAAAATAAACCACTGTACAAAGGCCGGGAGTATATGTATGGCCTGGCTTTAATTCCACTCATCCTCGCTTCCCCAGTCATCTCCCGTATAATCTACAGCTGGAGTCTTTGTCCACTTGTCCTTCTTTTCGCCAGAGGCTGTCTGAGCTCCGGGTAGAGGAGCACTTTTCGGGGCTTGGGCAAGAGGCCCGTCATCCCGCTTAGGGATAGGGGCCAATGGCTGTGGTGTTAAAGGAGCCGGTGCCGTTGGAGCGTATACCGTAGGAGCAGCCAGTATCTGAGTAGGTATGTTCGGAGTGAATGCTTTCGGAGCAGGCACTCCTTGAGTAGATACTATCGGAGCACGAACACTGGGAGCGGGCACGCTGGGAGGAGCAGGTGCTGGAGCAGCCTGTGCAGGAACCGAAGGTGTGGGAACAGGCACAACAGGAGCAGGTAGGGTGGTTGCTTCGGCCTGGGGTGGCTCTGCTCGCTGCGATGATGGCAGGCTGGCGATCGATGATTTTGGTGAACCGGTGCTATCCTTGGGTCGTAACTCAGGGCTCCTGTACCCAGGACCGTTCGGTGGGTGAGAGCCCAGAGGTGTTCCGGGGTGCAGTTGAAACGAAGGGCTTTGTCTCCCGTGTTGGTGAGCTTGAGGGCCCAGCGAGGGAGACTTCTGCGGACCCTGAGAGTCTGTCGAGGCTCTATTGGAGGCCATCGTGTTGGTGCTTGGAGAAGCAGATGGTGTTAGGAGTGGAGCGGTAGTAGGCTGCGAGGGCAGATAATCTTGCTTGATGACGGGGACATTGCCTAGTTGGTAGCCCGAAGCCTGCGCAGACTGGTTAGGGTTGGGCCCGAAGTTCAGGGGACTCTGCAAACCCTGCGATTGCGGTCCTGGGGGGTTTGGAATATGCTGGATGTGCATATGTTTGATTTGCGGTCCCGACTTTGAACTCTTGAACCACTTTGTCCACTTTCTATCTTTCTCCTTGGGGGAGGGACCTTGCCCTGGCTGTGGCGAATTCGCGCCAGGCCGACCCTTTGATGGCTGAAATCCAGAACTTCCTTGTTGAGGATTGGGCGAAAAGCCTGATGCCTGACCGCCTGGTGACATGAAAACATCCGGTTTTGATGCTGTGCGAGCATGCGGAGGGCGAACTTGTCCCGGGGAATAAAACTGGGCGTGAGGCGAGGTAGACGCCCCAAAGGGTGGTTGGCCTTGGACAGGATGCCCTTGAGGAGCAATATGCATCTGGGCCATCTGTCCGTGAGGAGGTATATGCCCCGGCGGAGGCATCTGTCCCTGGGGAGGCTGCCCATGAAGGGGCTGCTGATTTTGAGGAATCAGCGCTTGTGGGGGCAGTTGACCATGAGGTTGGGTTTTGCCTTGCGTGGGGTATCCTTGCGGCGGAAGCATTTGCCCTTGAGGCGGCATCCTCGAATGAGGAGGCGCCTGGCCGTGGGGCACTTGCCCTTGCAGATGTTTCTGCGCATGGGGAGGCATCGGTCCTTGTTGAGGGTTTCCGAGGTTCAGAGGTGACACTTGTGGCATCTGGCCCTGTGCTTGTGGTGACTCTGGGGGCGTCTGAGGCCTTCCATGAGGCGCACTTGGGGGAAGATGATGAGGTGCAGGTTGAGATTGCCTTGGTGGTTTTGGCCCACGAAGAGATCCCTGCCGTTGGAAGCCTGGAGCGTGAGGTGAGGAGTGGGTGACGGGAGGTTGATCGTGAACTGGACCCTGATGAGTCGAAAAAGGCTGGACTGGCGCCACTACATGACTCGTTTGAGAACCCGACTCCCGCAGTGAAGTGTGTCTTTGAAGCGGAGCCTGATTCTGCGCAGCTTGCATCTGAGCCTGTGGTGAGACATGCCGCCTCAAAGACTCATGTCTACTAGGAAGGCCTTGGCCCAAGGGTGACATATGCCTGGGAGGCGGCAGTTGTGCTGGGGGAGTTGCTGAAGGGTGTGGCGGGACATCCACTCTGTCTACGACTGGGGGAACGTTATCAACTGGGTAAGGAGCTTGACGGACTGGTTGCTGATATTGCTGCGGCGGTGACAGAGGGTAGGGAGGCAGTCCAGCCGGGGGGCCATTCGGTGGAGGCGGTTGGCCGGGTCCCGGAGCATAGACCGGAGCAGGCCCAAAGGCTTCATGTCGCTGCTGCAGAGTGTTTGGATGCCCTGGCGGGCCATGTCGGGAGGGTGGTGGTTCGTGGTGTTCTTCAATCATTGACAAGATAAACCCAGCACCATGTTGTTGCACAGGCCCCATCCTCCCAGGCTCAAGCCGTCGTGGCGGTTGTACATTAGATGCGGAAGACGAGCCAACAGAGTGCGATCGGTGTAAACCCTGGGTTGGGTTCTCTGGCACCTTGGCGGGAACAGGAGGCGATGGCTGCACAGGAGCCTTGCCGGCCCCATGAGTCCAGTCTAAACCGCTATCGTCGATACTGTAGCTTGGGGGCATCGACATCCTCTTAGATGGCGGCTGAGGCTGGAAGTTCTCTCTTGGTGTGGGCTGAGGTGGGAAATAGGATCCCTGGACGATAGGCACCTTGCCTGGGCGAGGAGGACCAGACTGAGAAGCCCTATCCTCTGGAGGACTGGAGAAATTCCTCAGGCCTGAAGGGGGTCGAGTTCCTGGCTGGCTTTGCGCGGCTGAAGACCCAGTATCCGGAGATGGCGTAAATATCGCAGCTCCATCTGCAAGCGAGACAGAGGAGACTCGACGCATATGCTCCATTGGTGAAGGCGTCTGCATGGGAACTTGAGGCGACTGCTTTTCCGATTGTTGTATAGGCGAAACCTCGGCGGCCCCAATGCTCATAGAGCGTTTCGAGGCTACGGTTCGTGGCGGGCCTTGCGGAGGGGCGGCATAGGGATAGTCACTAGGCCATTGCTGAGCCTGCGTCGGAGGTGCGCCCGCCGGCGGTTGTATAGGGCCTACCGGTGTCGATGCTGGGCGAGGCATGTTCGTCATATGGGGAGGGATAGAACCTTGTGGAAAACCAGGCTGCTGCTGGACCGGACCGTGGCCCTGGTGGAATACTCCTGGGTTCTGCGGTGGGTGTTGTTGCAGGCCCAAGGGAGAAGGTGAAGCTCCAAACTGTTGAGGCGGTTGCCCAGGGGGACCAGGAGGCGGTGGAACATAACTCATCCGATATCCTGAATTGACCCCAGTGTATGGCAAGTATTTCTTCTCCTTGGGGCCCTCGTCTTGTTCGTAGCTCCTCCTCGGCGTAGTTTGGGCTGGAGATTGGTTGCGAGATCCGTCTTGGGAATTGGATGCCGCCTTGCCCGGCACTGAAGGTGCCCTGCCACGAGCGGGCTTGAGAACAGATGGGACCTTGCTCACACCGGGCTTGTCGCCGAGTGCTAGCTGCATTGTTCTCTCAAACTCATCATCAATGGGTGAGGTTGGGTTCGTGCTGTCGCTCAGCTTCCGACCATCCCCATTTCTTGCGGGCCTTAACACAGATGGTCCAGCTGAGATCCCAGGGGTATTATCGCTTGGCTTGACCACATCTGTCGATTCGACCACGGCACTAGGAACGGGTCGAAATGGAGGTGATCTCTCTGGTGAAGGGCCTGTCGGTTTGCTCAGAGAAAGAGCTGCAGGCACCAAAGACGGATCCATCTTATTGCCGTTTTCCCCGAGTCCCATTAGGAGCGAGGGCTCGCGCTGTACAGATATCCGCCGAGGGTCCAGAGCCATGGATGACCGCCTAGTGTTCTCCATCTTCTCAGTTGCCTCTGTAGAGCCATTCGCTGGCGAGAATGCCTGGTACTTGCTACTTGGGCCTTCCGGTTGTTTGTCGACCGGTGGTGACTCTAATGGGGGTGGTGGAGAGGGTCCCTGTTGTTTCTGCTGCTGTTGTTGAGGAGGAGGAGGCTGTTGCTGAATCTGAACGGGTGGTGTCCCAGCTCCTTTAGACTTGGGTATTTCAATACTTATACCACCAGGCTCATTAGGCTTCTTCTTATTCTCGACAGGGCTCGTCTGCCCAGGCAGCTCCGAATATCTTTGCGGGGGCAAAATCGTCTCAATCGGAGCGAGTATTGAGTTATCAGCAATCTCGACCGGCGGCGGGTTCGTCTCGATTTGTGCCCTTTGGGTCTCGGTCGCCATCTCGGCAATCACACCCACGGGGTTGAAAACCTCGACGGGGAGCTCGTGGGGCATCTCCCGACTATCAAGCATGGGCACGGCCAGCTCCGCCTCTGTCCCGGACTGCACCTCGATCACCGGCCCCGCATCGACAATATGAACCGCACTGTCCGTCTTTGGAGGTTCCACGTCGCTCTTCTTGGTCGCTGGCGTCGCTCCCTGGCTTGCAATCGGACTGGGCCCCTTGGAGGCCGACGTCGGTGTCCCGTCCGCCTCCGCCAGCGCCCCGGTGATGACCCTCCTCGCCGCCTCGTCCTCCTCCTCGGCCAATGGACTCACATCGCTGTACGCCCCCGGGCCCAGGTACATCAGGCTCTCCGGCTGGAATATCGCATCCTCGCCCGATGCCTCCTCCCACACGCTGCTGACGGGGCGGGTGGCCGTCGCCGAGACGCGGGCTTTGGATCGGCCGCCGGTGCCGCTGCCGGAGCTCGTCTGCCGCTTCACCTGCTGCTGCGACGCCAGGAGCTCCTCTGGCGCGAGGGACGGGGCCGGAGCGCCCGCGTCGACGAAGTCGGGGAACTCATCGCCCTCTTTGGGGAAGTGGTACTGGATGTGGCCCGTGGGCTTGTAAGTGTAGAACCAGCGCTGGCCGTCGTAGTCCCACTCCCAACCAAGTGGGAGGCCAGCCATGGTGCCTGGTGCTCCCGAATTTATGATTCAATTACTTTTCCTACGTCGGCTCGGCTCGTCTTATGTGAGGGGAGGTGGATCGTTGGCAGGGGGTCAGGCTGGTATTCGGTTGGTGGTGTCTTGGTCGTCGATCCAGCAGGCTTCGGTTGGGGTCGAGACGAGCTGACGACACAGTTGAAGAGGAATGGAAGACAGAAACGAGGAAAAATTGTCCCGGCACTCCTTTAGCGCAACCCGACTACACCCATCCTCCTCTTTTGCAGCAAAAGGGACGCCACTGCCGCTCTCGCTCGTACTTCTGGCTTGTATACGACCAGTACCGCGGGGTCGGAGGGCTAAACCGAGAGGGGAGCGACCGGGTCCTGCGAGTGCCAGTGCGGAGGCTCTGGAAGAGAGGGCAGGTCAGGAAGAGACGGTTCGCATCGCCAGAGCAGACCGAGATGGCCAAGCAGGAGGAGGAGGAAGGGAAGGGAGAAACGGTCGAGTCGATCAGGCTACCGACTATTAGTGTTTTGGGCGACTAGCTGAACTGGACCCCGACCAACTATTTCCCACTAGCTCAGCCCGCCGCAGCTCCTCATTCTGTGTGTCGGGAGCAGGTCCCCCAACAATTGCTGGCACATGGATGGTCAATGCTAATGCGGCTGAGGTCCAGCGTCAGGTCTCGATTGGCCCCTAAAAATAAGCCTGCCCCAGAAGCCGGAAAGCGCCTTCCAGTCTGCCCGCTACTCAGCAGAGTGCTGTCCCTGGAGCTGACCAGGCAATTCAAGGGCCTACCTACACAGTAAACAATGGAATGATTTTGATTCTGGTCGCCGATGACATGACCCCCACATGTGAGAAGCGAGATGCTGCAATTCGCTGGCAGTCGCGATTCCGTGTCACGATCCGCCCCGTCGTCAGCGCCTCCCGCGATCGAAGGATGGATGGATCCAGGAATATTCGTCTATAAAGTGGCAGTGTTCGCGGCTGCATTCCGCACTGGACAAATGGTACCCAACGGCACGGCTCCCGCCAATAGAGGCAGCATGACCCAAGGAAACGTGGAACGTGGTCAGAGTGCCCCAGAAACACGCGCCCAAGCCCCGGACGGGTCACGAAACGAACCTCTGAGTCTCAGCTCACAGGGAAGGCCATGTCAGATCCATCAGCGGCGCGGTTTTACTACGTAGCCTAACCCTCCACGTCCCTCCACACGAGGCCAGCTGGGCGAGATCGGGTTTGAGACACTGAAAATATTATACGGCTTATTCTTGAGTCTGTGAGCGGTATCATCAGAATACTGGCTAAGAATAAGCAAAGGAAGAGACAATACACTAAACATTGTTAGTTTGTATCGTTTTATCCTACCTTATTAGTTCTGTCATGGATCATAGTGATCTGCTTGTAACCACCCTTCAATCTAGTGTCTCATTTCTTCTGTCACCCACTTAGAGGCTCTTCATGGCAACGATTTACGTTAGCCGGCACTTGGAGAGCAACGACAAACTCAATCAGGCTTGCATCCCGGTTTGTGCAACGGATGGGGTCTAGTTCGTGATGACATTGCTCCTTTGAGGGCATGCACGAAACTGATTCACTGGGATACGTGGGCAGCTTCAGAGATGAAGGATCTTCTCCATACTCCCAAGTCGGCAATACTTGGAAATCGTACAATACCTCAACGTGATCAGAAGGGCTTGTTGGCTCGAGGTGGCTGATGGGCGGACGTGCTGGCATGCAGCCCGTCAGCTTACCATACAGCACGCCAAGACCTCTCTCCATTCTGTACTACCTAATAAATCCATGTATGTATGTATCTTTTGTCATCTAACCTGCTCATGCTCCCATCACCATGCGAACAGCTCTTGTGCACATGGGCCCCTCACTCTATACAACAAAAAAAAACTATCATAAGAAGCCGTTGGAAATTCAAGGAAAGTGTATGGCTAAAAAGTCAAAAGAATTAAACAAGCAGAAGCGAAATAAACAAGACGTGGACGTTCGTAATCTAAATTCGTTTCTTTCATAAGCCCCCTCCTCACACAATGTCGCTCCCCTGACCAGGCCGGGTAGGGGAGCCAACCTGCTGCGACCTCGACGAGCTGCGCGCGCGCGAGAAGAATCGATTCCGGGTCTGCGACGAGAGTGACGGGGCCGCGACGCTCGACGTGTTGGCCCTCGCGAGGCGCGGCTCCGAGTCGGACGAGACCTCCTGCGCGGCCTTCTCGGCGCGGTCCTTCTCCCTGATGGACGCGAGGCGGTTGGCGAGGAAGTGCTCCTTGCGGTTCTCGAACACGTCTTGCATGTTGGAGAAGCCAATGTCCCCCGGGCCGATCTGCGAGACGACCGCGTTGCTGGAGTTGGCGCCGCTGGCGGAGGGGCGACGAGCGAGGGAGCCGGCGGAGGCGGAGGGGCCTGGGGCTGCTGCTGCTGCGGGGGCGGGTGCGGACTGGTCGGTCGTGGAGTAGGATGGGGGAGGCTGGACGCCGGTCCAGTGCAGGGGATGGTCCTTGCTGCCGCCGGGGTCGATGCGGAACGGGGACTGGATGCCGATGTCGTCGATCTGGTGCATCAGCTCGACCATGAACTTGTTGTGGCGCTGCAGGCGGGCGACTTCGTTCTGGTAGTTGCTCTTGTGGATGAAGACGATGGTCCAGGTGGCGGATCGCATGTCCTCGATGGCGGAGAGTTCGGCTAGGATGGTAGGCTGGAATTCTCGCTTGTTCTCGACCACGAACTTGAGCATGCGTGCCTTGAGCTCGTCGATCTGCCAGGCGGGCGTTCCGAATCGCATCTGGAGAGGGATCGGGTCGGCTAGTCCGTTGGATCGACGCTGGTTGAGGATGAACAGAGTGTTGAGCAAGGAGTTTGGGGCCTGCACGACGTGGCCCTGGAGCTTTTTGAACTCGGTGTAGAGGAGGGAGATTTCGGTCACGTAGTAGTCGTCACCAGTCATGTTCGCACCCGTCGAGCCGTAGATGGTCACACGATCACCGACATCGAAAGGATGTTTGACGAAGACGAAGATGATGGACTGGAGAAATTCCTGAGCTGTCGCCTGGAGCACCCACGCCAGACCGAGAACAGAACTTCCAGCCGATGCGAGACCAGCTGCAGCAGACCCAGAGATGATGGAAATGAAGACGATGATAGTGATGATACAGATGATGAAGAGGAATACCTTGTCGAGTTTCTTGATGACAGAGTCGAGATCCTTGAGCGAGGCCGCGATGGCCTTCTTCTCCATTCCAATCTCGCTCGTCACAGCTTCAAACTCATCAAGCGAGATATCGTTGTTTAGATCCTTGTCGAAGACATTGAAGGCGGCCTCGGCTTCCTCATCGGTGCCAAACGCTTTCTGGACATCCTCGATGTAGACCATCTCCTGATCAGGTCGAACCAAACTGCGATAGATGAGGCGTGCTAGAGTATGGCATGAGTTCGTGGTGCGGAGGAGCTCGCCGACGACCTTGCGGGGGTGGTTACTGTCCACCTTTCGACCGAGGAGGTCATTTCCGACCCTACCAGCGACCTGTCCCACCTTGCCCAGGACCTTTTGGGCATTCTCGTGGATGGCGCGCATAGGCGTCGACGACACTGTCGTGTTGTCTCGGCTGCTGTGCCAGAACGAGTCCGTCTCGTGAAGCTGGTCCTTGGCGTACTCGAAGAGGCTGACCAGCTGCCGGATGTCGCCCTTGTTGTTCTCGATCCTCGTGGCGTACGTCCGCTCATGGAACTCGGTGGCGATCCACTGGATCCCAATCTTCTCGACGAAGTTGAGCGCGGCGAGGACGAAGAACGCAATGATGACCTTGAAGACAATGTCGATCCACCTCACGTCCACGCTCTGCTCTTCACCGTCAGGGACCGGGACGCGGTGGCCGTCGCAACAGGGCTTGAATGATATCAAGACGGCCAGCATCCAGAGGAATACGGCCGTGTGCAGCTCCATCTCCTTGCCGATGTCCTTCCACTTCTTGGCATTGATCGAGCCAGTAGCACGCGCAATCACAAGAAACAGGTTGGGCATGAGACTGGTGATCATCCGCGACACCCAGAGAGAACCCCAGACGATCTCAAGCCAGATGCCGAACCACATCAGCTGCGTCCCTCCCGTCCCTCCAATGGGGTGCTTGTTCTGGTCGATGGCGAAATGTCCAAGCAGGATGGGAATGAGGAGCAGCGTAGCACCCGGGAAGAGATAGAACAGGTATCGCACAAACCGGGGGAACTTCCTGAGAAAGGCCCAGAACTTATACAGGGCGGCGTTCTCGTCCCGCTTCTTGATCGTCTTGGCCTCCTCGAGGATGGGCGGGTTGAAGGTGTCCTCGACCTCGGTCATGTGGCGCCGCGACCGAAACTTGCTCACGTTCTCCTCGTGTTCCTGGTTGGAGATGAGGCGCTCGGCCCGCAGGAGCTCGAGGTCGTCGACAATACGGTTGGCATCTGCGCGGGCTGTGGGCGAGAACTCTGCTGATCCGCGGCCCTGGCTGAATGCGTTCGGGTCCAGAGGGGGGAACTCAGTCTTTTCGTCCTCATTGGATTCGGTGATGCTTGCGGGCGGTAGGTGAGGTGCCTGGTGGTTGAGAGATGTGCCGGAGCGCTGTTGCCGGACGGAGGAGGGAACCTCCAGGGAGGCCTTGGGCTCCGATGGACCGGTCATTGTCGAATCCCTCGATATCTGGGTTTATAAGATGGGTGAGAGTCACCAAATAGAAGTCAGTTATAGAGGATGATCTCGTTGGAATTAATATTGGATGCCATCAAGGTCTCCCAAGTTCAAGTGGGACCTAAAAATAGAGTAAATCGTCGAGGTGTATTAACTTATGACCAAGAGGGCAACGAGGCACCAAGTTTGGGCTGAGTTGGAACCAAAAATTCCCAAGCTTCAATGTGTAAACTATGAAGCGAGAGCCCCAAGAAAACGAGTGAAAGGTGAATGTGACGCAAGAGACGCGCGCGCAGAGACCAGGAGTCTGGGCTGGATAATAAATAAATGGATGTCTGCATGAAAAGCTTAGCCTTGGGTGCGGAGCCTTGAACTGGTCCGAGGCGGGGTACCAGGTGGGCAGCCGCCGGGCACGTTCGTCAATCAGATTTGTTGCGGTGGAGTGTAGATGACGGAATGGCGATGCAAATCGACTGGCCGGTATGCGGATGGGACTTTTGGGCTGGACGACAGCGAATATATGGAGGAGGAGAGAGAAGAGCGAGAGCGAACGGGGTTGTGTTTAAGATCGGACGAGATGAGGAACTGAAAGATGAGAGAGATGTGACCATCTCATCATGAGGCGAACAAAGGAGTCGCCAAATTCAAGCTTGAAACGTTTATAATAGCATATCTCTATCTATGGAGCATATGGAGCACCGAGATAGAGGCTGGACAAAGCCAACGCCCAAGCCCCTGGTCGTGCAATTTCTGGTCTGTGCAGCCTGGCGGACCCCCTGGGCCATCTTAAAGACGAAGTACCTCAAGAGTGCATAAGTCGGATGAGCTGTTCCTGGCCCAGGAAAGGTAGGTAAATGGGCAGAAGCTTGGCTGCTTGCCTGCGCAAATCCATGGCGCTCCACCGCGATGGATTTTCACAATCCACTCGCATCTCACTTGGCCGATCCACTCCTTATCGCCAGGCTACTACAGACATGTGTACGATACTGTGCGCACACATGTTGAGACAGCTGTAAATGCCGCGGAGAGCGACGAGGCAGCGATCGATCGAGACTGTGCTTCAACTCTCTTCCCGGACCAGGCCTCCGATCCGACGTTGTGCGACACCTCTCCACCCGAGTGCAACCGCGCACGAACACACACACACACACACATCCATCTCCCAGGTACCGACATCTACCTACTTGAGACGGGACGGATATGTACAAATCCCAACTGGCAGCTAGCCGCCTGCCGTTGTTCCTGAAAGCCACACCTAAAATCGCCTGGCCTTCCCCCTGGCAGCTGGTGCTCCGCTGCTGCCGTCATCGCGCATATTCGCAAGCCTATCAGCGGGTCCCACAACTTCCACGTTGCTGCATGGGCTGGCCACCACCTTGAAATTTGAAAACCGACAGAATCCCCTGGAGGCCTGCCAGACACACGGCTCCCCCGAATTCGTAATTCCAGCGGCCTTATTCGAGCCTCAACAGGCGCCTCCGTCTGAAACTCTGTCCACCGCCAGTGTGGACCCATCCTTTCTTCAAACTGTGTCACGACCCTGTGCTTGTCCTCATGTTCGCCCGTCCGCGAGGGTTAATTGGCAATGGCCGTCTCGAAATTACAGCGGCTAATCACCAAATGCTAAGAATAAACCATGGGCTCTCCCATCCAATGCCTTATCAGCAGCTATAGCTCTTTGTCCCTGCATTGTCAAGAGGCGTTCCTCTGAAACGGCCCGGGCATAACGCTACGAAACCCGACCTGGCCATTCGCGCCGCGTCCCTCCCGTCCGATAAAGTCAAGCCAAATAATAATAAAAAATTCAAACACGAAAAAGGAGCCGCGGCCGGTGCTTGGCGCCATCTTCGCGCCGCGTCCCTCCCGTCCGATAAAGTCAAGCCAAATAATAATAAAAATTTCAAACACGAAAAAGGAGCCGCGGCCGGTGCTTGGCGCCATCTTCGCGCCGGCCAAGACAGTCCGGTGGCGACAAACCAGCGGCCAAGACCACCCACCCACAGCCCGGCAATCCGAGAGTGAGACTTTATGTTGTACGGCTTGGGGGGAAGAATGCTGTTGTTTTGTTTTTCCTTCGCTTCCCCGGGCTAGTAGTTTCGATCTGCGATCGATGTTACGCCATTGTTGTCTCAGAGCTCCAAATACGAACAGCCACATCATCTTTTACAATTCATCCCACCTACATACAGGTAGGTAAGCAAGCAAGGTACATAAGCAGAGCGACTCCATGGCTGGACAGCTTTAGCGAGCTTTCATGTAGGACACATTGCAACCCCCGCACTCTCCCACATCTGCGATGCAGATCTTTCCCAAAGGTTCAATCTGTAGACAGGGTATATCAGGCTCAATAGTTGGGATCCTATCATGGAAAAATTGCAGAGCCGAGGCCAAGAGCATTGGCGAGGAAAAGCGGCCCTCGCGAAAATCCACACGACGTGAAGCTCTTCTCAAAAGCCGAGCATTTTCTCGTCATCTTACATTCTTCTTTTATTTCACGGAGACAAATAAACAATGTCGTCATCGTTGATTCCACTAGATAGCATCATTGTCTTAGCGGTAACGGCCTTATCTCCTGATAAAATAGCGTGCTAGATTGGTGAATCACTCCCGTACCCACTCTCCCACGCAAAACAATTACAGGTTATGCCGCGTCTACAATGACAATAGCACTATTTACTCCCACAGACCTCATATCTCAGATCTGCAAAGACTCTCTATATAGCTCCAGGAAAAACGACCAGGGGAGGTCGAGCTGTCCCCCCCTAGCTCACGCAAGCTCGATGCTCCAGTCCTCGCCGATGCGAGCGCCAACCCTTCCAACAACGGCAAAAGCAGCCTTGCCGTTGGCAGCGGGATGGTACTGCACCTTGACAGGCCACGAGCGGCCCTCAGAGGTGATCTGCACCTCCTCCCTGCTCCACGCGGCGGGAGCCCCCACCACGATGATCTTGTCCACGTACACCTCCCTCATGGCCTGGAGCCACTTGCCCTGCTTGAGCGACGCCGCGTCCCGTCCCTCTGCCTCGGTTGAGCGGAGGGCGGACTGGTCGAGCGAGAACCTGCGGTGGATGTACTGGCCATGCTCAAAGTCGAAGCTGTCGCCGTCGTCGACGTACAGCTCGCCCTCGGCGGTGCCGGCCTTGGAGGCCGAGACGACCAAGGTGTAGTCGTCGAACTTCATCGTGGCCGCCGAGCGGCGGGGGATGTCGCGGCGAGGAAAGATGTGGCCGCCCCGCATAAGGAGGGGGATCTGGCTTAGAGAGGCGGAGACGGTGAGGTGCTTTCCCTTTTGGGTCTTCTTGGCCTCGTATGTGAAGTAGTCGTAGTACACCTCGTCGTCGGGGATCCAGATATCGGTTGAAAACTGGTCCTGCTTGGTGATAGGCTTTGCAAGCAGACCGGTCGAGCCCACAAAGAGCTGGTCGTCGATGGCGAAACCAGCTTCTTCCGAAGGATGTGTCCAGTACATAGGTCGGACGATAGGGCTTCCGTCCTTGTTGGCCTCGTAAAAGGCAGTGTACCAGGCTGGGAGCAGGGTGTACCGGAGTCGGATGGCGGCCGTGGCGATGGCAGTGTGTTCCTCGCCAAGCAGGTAGGGTTCACGGCGACGGGAGTCAATGTGAGCATGGGCCCTGAAGAAGGGGTAGAAAGCACCCGTCTGGTACCAACGGACAAGGAGATCCTTCTCAGGGTTGCCGAAGAAGCCACCGACATCAGCTCCAGCAAAGGGGAAACCAGAGATGCCCTGGTTCAAAATCATGGGGATCGATGCTTCCAGATGGTCCCAGGCAGCCTGGTTGTCACCAGTCCACATCGCACCCAGACGCTGGGAGCCGGAATAGAACGAGCGCGTGAGGATAAATGGTCGCCGGAGCTCACCCTTCTTTCGAGTCACCATACCCTGGAAGGTCGCGTTTTGGAAGGTGAGACCGTTCAAGTTGTGGACGTCTCGGTGCTCCCAGTTCTCGTAGTGGATGTTGTCCTTGGGCATAGTGGTTTCCGGTCCATTAAAAACGGAAGGCTCGCTCATATCGTTCCAAATGAAGGTGTTCTCCAAAGTTCCCTTGAAAGCGTCGTACTTGAAAAGACCCTTCCACCACTCGATGGCCTTGGGGTTGAAGCAATCGATCCAGTTGGAATTTCCAGGCCAGCACCAACCGTCGTAGATGTTGTTGTCCTTGTTATGAACCGCAAGATCCTTAGAGACGAGTTCTGAGCTTTGAGAGTAGCCGTCAACCTTTTTGATGTGGGGATCAATCAGGAGAACCAAGCCACGGCCATGCTCTTGTAGCTGCTTGCCCATGCCAATAGGGTCGGCAAAGGAATGAGGCTCCCACGTGAAGTACTTTCTGTCGTCGGTATACTCGAGGTCAAGCCAAATGACGTCGTAGGGGATCTTGAACCTGTCCATCTTACGATCAACATCCTTGACATCGTCGTCGGAAATGTAGTTCCATCGGCACTGGTGATATCCGATGGCCAGCTCTTGGGGCATAGCAGAGTAGCCAGTAAGCTCGCCATAAGTGCTTGTGAGATCTTTAGGGGTGGGGCCCAAGAGGACAAAGACATCAAGGACACCACTCTCGGAGATCCAGTGGGTCTTGGTTGTCGTCTTGGGAGTGCTGAGGCTCAGGGGGTTGATGGAGTCTTTGGCCTTGACAATGTCCACCCAAGTCTCAGCAGCGTTCAGCCAGAAAACCCCAACAGACGAGCCCTTTCGGTGTGCCTGCATGAAAGGAATGGAACCATAAAGAGTCATGGGGCTGTCTAAAATATACTCGAAAACATCCGAGTTGTACAGGCGGTAAGGCTCCTCGAAATTGCCGTCCCCTCCCCGCGTCTGCTTCAGCGACATCGGTCCCGTGTGCTCGGGGATACCATACACGTGTTCGTACCCAGGGAAGGAGATATCAAGCGCGACACTTTCAGGGCCACGAGGTTTTGAGTCGGTGTTTCCGCCAAAGGATTCATCCCACCAGGTGCTCTCATCCTCTTTCTGGGCAACCTCCACCTGGGCTGCCTCCTCTCCCTCCTTAGGCGCAGGGTTCTCGACGTGGGGTCGCCAATGCTCCATGTTGAAAAGGCCATTGTCGTTGAATTTAACGTGGGAGTCGCCATCTCGTCTGAAATCAACCTCGAACGGCGACAGTCGAATGACTGCCTCAAATTTGGAGTCTGGACCGTAGTTGATGTTGACTTGGTCTTTGTCCTGGTGAGAGATCTTGGCATTCTCATCCTTATCGACACCGCCCACAACAACCCACTTCTCGGCCTCGTTGTAACGCTCTTTTCTCGCTTGACTATCGTGTCTCAGTGTGATTTCCTTCTTCTTCCTCTTCTCCTCATCAACTGTTACTCGTGCGGTTCCGGACTTGTGGAACGTCACAGTCAGGGGGAAGCGCTCGGTGGCACCCTCGATATTGATCGTCTTCAGTATGATGGCTTGGAGTTGGCCATCATTGAAGGAGATGGAGTCGTGAACAACATTATAAGGAGAGCTCCAGGTTGACTTCTGGGCGGCGGCATTGTCGGCGTACTCGCGATTGCGTTTGCAGAAACCAGACTGGTGGCATTTCTTGAAGTCGTGCTCCTTGACCGCAACTGGGCTAGTGTTAGTAGAGAAGAGATCTCGATAAGGGCAATCCTTCTAGAACAGTTCATTTTATCTTACCAGAAGGCTCGAAAAGGCTGGCAAATACGACCAGAAGCCCCAGGAAAGTGGCCCATCTCGAGGGCGTCCTCGTGGCCAACCCCATACCAGGCTGCTGTTAAGTCACAGCTGCTGAAGATGTTGGAAAGCGGGAGGGAAACAAGGCACTGCACCTAGGTAAACTACCCCGACATCTATTTCAAGGGAGGATGTCCGAGCGTAGGTATGTCTGATATCCGATGTAGCCCTCAATGGCGCAGGTTGGAGAAAGCTCAAGCCGAATTGAAGACCAGCTCCGTCGTCATGGGCTAAAGGATGTCGTGGTCAAGCTTATCCCTGATGCACGTTCCTGATTAGGCCCTGGAGTCTCGAAACAGGGGTCCACTTAAGCGCATTAGCTGATGGAGGGGCATAACCCCGATAGCTGAATATTCTAGTCCTACCATACCGCCTTTTCCTCGAGCACAAAGGGCAGACGTGCAGAGTAATTGGTTTGGCCATTTTTTCGATAGTCTAGAGCTTCTCAGGAAGTACTTCACGAGATTGGGCCACTTGATGCTGAGTAAGGCGAAAAACGTGCTGTGGGAAGACAATGCCGACTCTTGCAAGGCAGCCTATTGAAGTGCCTAACAATAGCTGAGTAATGAGAGCGTTTGAAGCTGAATAATCCGCCAATTGCATTGTCTAAGCCACCCAACGGTTTCAATACTTATTTATTGACGAGAAGTCTCCCCGATTACATCTGACCCTATTGTTGTCTTTCCAAGAGCTCATCGTCAATGTATCTAAGATAGGTCAGAAGTGTGTAGCAGGCTCAGAATCAATAGAATTCCAGGTCAATTGGTACGCTACGTAGGCAATCCCAAACGCTTCGTCAATCCCCGTGACATGTATAAAGACAAAGCTCCCCACCACAAAGAAATCTGAACTCGCAGACACTTCTTAATCTACATCTTCTCAAAACATCTCCTCTTTGTTGGCATAGTTCCAAGGCAACGTCTCATCCAAAAGTGCAAGAATTACCGTTCAAACTCCTCGTTCTTCCACTTGTGAAACTATCTGCCCATCAAGATGCCTCCTAAACGATCCTCTCAGCGTGGCAAAGCGCCCCGTGCTACAAGCTCAGGAGCCGTAGCTAACAGTGAGTGTTTTCTCTCCGATTCGTCTGCCAATTCGTCTTCATACCACACGTATGATCATTGGCAGACAGTCTCACATCATCCATATTACCTTTGTGCTAACAAAGTGTCTGCTAAGACTCCGCGCCTATCAAGCGCGAGCGTCAAGACGATGCGCCTCAAAACGAAACTCGGGCTAAACGCGCCCGCAATGGCTCCAAGCCAGCTCAACGACGTCAAGGAAACAGGGCAGGCCCTGCTTCTGACACACCCCTCAACAAAGCTCCCAAGGCAACCCTCTCTGTTTTCGCATTCGGGAGCGGTGATTGCAGTGAGCTAGGACTTGGGATGAAAATCTCATCAGCTACAACCCCGCGTTTCAACCCTTATCTTGACCCTCAGGATCCCACCAAGTTCCATGTAGTTCAGATTGCATGTGGCGGAATGCATTCAGTCGCCTTGACCAAGGACAACAAAATCCTCACTTGGGGCGTCAACGATGAAGGTGCGCTGGGCCGAGACACCCAGTGGGAAGGGGGTGTTCGAGATGCAGATGGCGACGACAGCGATGATGAAGAGCCTTTAAATCCCCATGAGACTACCCCAACAGCGATTTCAGGAGACTCTTTCCCCCAAGGCACCGAATTTGTTCAGGTGGCCGCGGGTGACAGTTGCAGTTTTGCACTCACAGACCGCGGACTTGTATATGGTTGGGGTTCATTCCGTGTAAGTGCCCACTCCCTGAGAACTCAGTCAACCTTCCTGCTAACTTTGATACCCAGGACCCCAACGGAGGTCAAAGATTTTGCTATGATTCAGACGGCAAAGTCATCAAGATCCAGCGCACACCAATCCTCATCTCCAAACTACAGAATATCGTTCAGATCACCTGTGGCGCGAACCACGTGCTTGCCCTGGGTTCCGACGGCCAGATCTGGGGTTGGGGCGCTTTCGAAAAGAATCAACTGGGAACCCGCCCTTTCGGACGCCACCAGGAAACTCTGCTTCCTCGCCAGGTCAGAGTTTGCCGAACTCCTATCAAATACATCGCCTCCGGAGACTACCACTCATTCGCCATTGATCGAAAGGACAACGTGTGGGCATGGGGCCTCAACAGCTTTGGTGAAGCAGGCTACGCCAAGGATGCGGGCAGTGACTCTGCCATTTTGCCTTACCCAATGAAGATCCGCGGCCTCACAGGTAAAGGCGTCGTGGCACTCGATGGAGGTGCGCATCATTCAGCCGCCGTTACCCTCGACGGCCAGTGCCTGGTTTGGGGACGCATGGATGGCGGCCAGCTCGGAGTTGAGTTCACACCAGAGCAACTCAATGACCCAACGGTGGTCAGACGCGACGAGCACGAAAAGCCCAGAATTTGCCTGCAGCCTGTGCCTGTCCCAGTCGTTGGAAAGGGCGTGGACGTTGGATGCGGAACCGATCACACCATCTTCATCAATGACGAGGGCAAGGGATTCTCGACTGGCATCAACTCATCAAGGCAACTTGGCCTGGGAACTGAGGACGACGAAGAGATTGCAAAGCCCTTGAAGGGAAGGACCGTCAAGACGAAGCACCTGACATGGGCCGGTGCTGGTGGACAATATTCTGTTGTGGCAGCCGCTGAAGGTTCTCAGTAAAGGGCGACGCGTCAATGGTTTACATATTTCTGTATCAGACTATCAGCTGTTCCCAACCTCACGAAAATGGTGTTTTATGCAACGTTGCAAGGAATTCGGAACCCTATCGCTGGAACGATGGGAAGTCATGCGGAATACATTAGCTTAGATTGCCAAAAGAAAAATTCAATCAGTTTCTACAAGTTTGTTTCAAAAAACAGTTCAGTCGCAACGTGCATGGTCAAATTTAATGTCCGGAACCGTGATGGTCGGCTGGGGTACTATGTAGTAGCTTTTATTAATGGGGAGCTTAGCCAAGCTAATAACCGCTAATTGCATGTGCTGGTGCTCTTCAATGACAGCTTGCCTTTGCTACTCCCTCACCGTACTGTGCAGCGCCCACGGCCAGCCATCAAAATCGACCACTCAAGCCGAGAGTGCGCAACGTAAGTAAAACTGGTGGATTCACTAATAGAGGAGCTGACTGGTGCCCTAGACCATAGCAGACAGTTTCTGCGTCCGCATGCGTCGTTCCGCTGCTTCAATGGCCTAACCCCTTATACGTTGCCCTCGAGAACACGCAGCCCGAAGTCCCAGCCCCTAACACGCCTCATCGAATCGCACTGTGCAACCAGCAGCATGTCCACCGCCCAAGAACCCCACCAAGAGCAGGACCCCGCTCCAGCTCTACGAAAAGAGAGCAGCCAGAAGCAGACCCCTCCACCACGTCGGGCTACAATCCCGCTTATTTTTTCCCTCCTCTTCCTCCTTCTCTCCCTCTACATAATCTTCCTCCCTCCCCAATCCCGAACAGATACTCGTGTCTTTTCGGATCCTCCCTCAACTCCTCCACTTAGACCACATTCAGAGAGCATTCCTGCCTCCGATTCCACAATGTCTTCCTCCGAGCAGACGTGAGAGCTTCCCATCCCGGTCTCCCGATTGGATTTTTTTTCTAACTGAGGGGCAGCTTCATTGCCATCAAGCCCGACGGTGTCCAGGTAAGATTGGGCAAACCTTGAATATGATGATAAACAATAATGGCTGACAATTCCTTTTACAGCGTGGCTTGATCGGTCCCATCATCTCTCGCTTCGAGAACCGTGGCTTCAAGCTCGTCGCCATCAAGCTCACCACCCCCGGCAAGGCTCACCTCGAGAAGCACTGTTAGTGTTAACCGACCGCTTAACTGGATTCCGAACACAACACTGACTAACGCGCTACAGATGCCGACCTCGCTGGCAAGCCTTTCTTCCCTGGTCTGATTGAGTACATGAACTCCGGCCCCATCTGCGCCATGGTCTGGGAGGGCCGTGACGCCGTCAAGACCGGCCGTGGTATGTACACTTCCATCCCTACAAGGCAGATACGCCTCGTCAGATTCAATTGACTAACAATCATGCCCAATAGTCATCCTCGGTGCCACCAACCCCCTGGCTTCTTCCCCCGGTACCATCCGTGGTGACTTCGCCATCGATGTCGGCCGAAACGTCTGCCACGGCTCCGACTCCGTCGAGAACGCCCAGAAGGAGATTGCTCTCTGGTTCAAGGAGGGTGAGGCCGTCAGCTACAAGGGTGCCCAGTTCGACTGGATCTACGAGAAGGCTTAAGCTTCCAAATCTATATTGGGAGGCACAATAGTCTCTTCACATGATCTGGTTGTCAAAAATGACCGGTAGAATACCAAAAATAAAAGAATACGAGAAATGAAGAAAGATTGTTGAACTCGAACTCTATTGTTTCCCCATTTATCTTGACTACTTGCCCATCACCTTAGACCGAAGCCTCACCATTACGTTGGCAAACCAAGGCGTAGCCCAAACGCTCCCAATGATCCTCACGGGCAGGAGCACCTTGGTTAAAGCGTAGGCCAGGGCAACTTCCACCAAGATCTTGTACTTTTGGTCTCCGCTTTGCCAGCGCTGCACAGCTTCCTTCGTCCTGGCCTCGGGGTCTTCGGATCCCGCTCTAGAGATGGAATTGGCCCCCTCTGTCTGTTTCTCGAACCCAGCCCAGCCCTTTCGCGAAAAGTACCGTTCGAACTTGGCAACGCTGCTGTCGACGTAATTCCCGAAATGTTCGGTCATGTAACCCAGGGGAACGTAGTTGGTGTAATGGAAGAATCCAAACAGCACGAAAAGAGGTACGACGGCCGTCAGTTCGTGCAGAATCAGGAAGGAGATGACGTGGGATACGGGCGCATTCCGAAGGCCGTTTGTGTACTTTTGCAATCGGCGTGGGAGCTTCGAAGTTATTCGGTCGATCCGGGATCCTTGGGCCGTCGATTGGGATGACTGGAAGCGGGCCGTCGGGAAAGCTAAGGAACGGGAGGAGGGTGCTCCTGCCCGCCAGCGGGCCAGCATTCGAATTCGCGGAAGCATCGAGGCAAGCGGCAGTTTTCAGGTAGATAGGAATAAGTTTTCGAGGCGTATCGCCTTGAAGAATGGCTATGTCCCACTCTCCGCTTACGGATCATGCACGGGCCAGCATGTGCTACCCTATATCCAAACGACGACTTTCGTCCTATCGCTTCCCTAGCTCTGGTCTGGTTTGGAAGCTTCATGATGCTACTTGGGAAAGAACATCTAGGTCGCTACCATCATAGTAGGTCTTAGGTACCTTAGTTTACTCCAGCCTGAACGCGCATCCTGAGGAGAATCAATAGATGGAGCCCACATAATCTTACGGCACCGACCAGCCCCAAGAGACCCTCCTCCTTCGGCTTCTATAATTAACTTGAATACAATCAATCAATTAGTTCCAACGGACAGGGTCTTGTGTCAATACAGGTAGGTGCCTGCAGCTTGGGATATTGCTCCAGCAAACAGTTGAATGTAGCACCTACCAACTCTTGGTACCTTGGTGTTGAGGTAGGTGCCTTGGGTACAAGCGGGTATGGATCGCCCTGGTTATAGCCTTCCATCTTGTCGAAATACTGCCGAAGGCCGAGTCCTTATGGTAGGCGGGAAGGTGGCAAGTTGGCTTCCCTTCTATTGGAGAAGCTGCTGTGTGCCTACGGCAGGCACCTTCAGGTCAGGCTGGATCGCGAGAATGCGATCACACAGCGGGAGCATACCTATGTTTACATCTTTGAAGGGCACTTTGGCTTTGAAATTATAAAACCATCCTTAAAAATATACAATTTTCCTTGCTTTGGTTATCTCGAATGCCGAATACCTCAGTGGCCATTGCTAAGTCCACCGGGCTTCATATTTCAGGCTCTCCCTAGTACCTTCCTTGGTTTGGGCCGGGAACTTCTCCTGCCGGGAGGCAACGTCACCATCGTACAATGCCCATAGAGGTACATCCCGCCTCACTCAAAGGGTGGGAAGGTGCAATGGCAGAGGTCCACGTACTACGTCGGAGCCCAAGCCAGATATCTTGGGCTTTCCATTCCTTCAAACTCGCACTTCTGCTTCTTTAACCTTCATACTCACCACAAATCTTCAACTCATCACCACTGTTTAGATAAACTCTCAACGATAATCGCCCGCTACCTCTTCTTTCTTAAGCTCAATCGCTTGGAAAGCCCAAGATCACTCAACCATGGCTGTCATGAAGTTTGTTGCCTACTTCGTGGCGATTGCAAGCCTTCTCACTGTTTCTACTGCTCAGAAGCATCCCAAGGAGGATCTCATCCTCTGTGACTGTGGCATTGGTGACAACAAAGAGCACCCTGAGTGGTCTACATCCCGCCAAGTCAATTGGTATCAAGACATCACCTGGCCTGACTCTGCCACCTCCTACCCTGCTGCCCCAAATGAAGTTGTGGAGGTGCCATTTGAGGAGGGAATCTACCCATGGACACCCGCAGGCGTCACAGCAACGCTACCCAATGGCGACGTCTGGACGGCCTACATTGAAGATGGCACTCCGGATGGATTCAAGGCAGGAACAGCTGTCGGAACCAAAGAAGGTGGGCAGTCTCTCAACTGCTGGGCCTACCGCGGACGTCCTGTCAGTCGCGCTCTCAATACGACCATCAACGAGGATGCAATTTGTTGGTCTGCGTTTGTTTGCAACAGAGACTCTCAGCCTCCCAAACGACCAGATGATATGACAAACCCTACTACCACCCCAGCAACCGTGTCCGCTCCTTCCGCTACGTCAGTGTTCACAACCTCGCCTACTGCCACAGGTGGCGGACCGCAACCTACACAGCCACCTAAAACCGGCAGCCTTCTCGTAAGTGCAGCCGTCAACCCCCGTTTCATCAACTGGCAAAACACTTGGGACGCTTTCATCTCGAACTTTGTTTGGGACCGGACCACTGGTGATTGCATTGGGGATCCGATCCGTGGAGATGGCTTCAACATAACACTCAAGTGTTCCGGAACCCAGATTGACGAGGACTCTCATATGACTCTGCTTCTGATCAAGGCCCTGAGAGACGTAGGTCTTACAAGTCTTTGGTTCAATCAGAATCCCGTCGTTCCCACTGGTACCATAGGCCGCAGTAATTCCACAAGCTGGGTCGTCATGCCCGAGGCGTTTAGTCTCACAGCCATTGACGCCTCCACATCACATGTCGTTGGGCAGATATCATACAACACAAAGTACGACAACTTCCTAGCTGGACCTTGTTCAATCTGCGAGGCTGCTCGTTTCGACAAGAGCTTCTTTGACCCACTGATTTTGGCGTTGGAAGGGAGTTACCCAAAATACTTCCGCTATACGATTCAGGCCAATTGTGAACCCTGGAAAGTTTGCAAGTGATTCGGAGATGATATACTGAATGGGTGGTAGAGATTGTTGACATCAGAAATATGTCTCTTGTTTTGCTTTTGGAAGTCATCGAAAATACCGACTGCCTTTGTTATGAAGGAATCGGGTGCACCATGATGTATTAGTATTACCACTTGATCGTAACTGATTTTGACCAGCTATTTGTTCCGGCTAAGGCCTGCTTCAATTCATAGCTGAATAAAGCTTTATTTGTTTTCATATATTGGGCCACTGTGGCCCGTCTTGATCTTAGTTTCGTGTCAGATGTCAGCGAGATTATACAAAAGGTAGGGGATGATTGAGGAGTCTCCTACCCAGGGGTGAGGACGCAAGAGACATCTGGTTCCACAGGCCGACATTTTCGTGATAGCGAGATTTTTTCGCCTTGATACGAGATAGCTGTGATCAGCCTTTTAGATGGTACAGGTCGTTGCATACTCCAATTTTTTGCCAAATCCCAGAAATGAGATTGTGCAGTAAGATGAGCATTGGATGGCTGTTTGTAGGAAGTTTGACTTGCTATGGAACCTCTTCCCTTATTAAAGAGATCATGGTTCTCCATTCCTCTTTAGTTGCCAGCTATGGCTGTTGCCTGGTACGCGAGCACAGACACCAAATTAGAAACTGGCCCAATAGCCATTCACGGCAGTCGGCACCTCTCTCATTTCTGATCGTAGCTCTACGGACGGAGTTGGTCGAGGCTGACGCGGACGATGATCTTTAATTAGTGTACCGGCCGGAGCGTAGTTTTGCCCGACCAGTAATCACGGCTCCGGTTTTCAACCTGTGCATGTTTGATGTGCTGTTCGGAAATGTAAGCGCCGAGCAAAAGAAAGTATAAAGTCCCTTGGAGTGACCGGCTGCTGATACTTCCCGAAGGCATATTGCAAAGTTGTCCTGCCCTTTGTTACTCATTCAGACATAGACCGATATCCTCTTTAACATTCTAGGCCTCGCAACGGATAACCAACCATGTCTCCTTCTAAACCAGTACTCATTATCGGCTCTGGCCTTTCGGGTCTTGCATTCGGTCAGTCTCTCAAGCGTCTTGGTATCCCATTTCATATCTTTGAGCGCGACGCTGCAAATGATCAGCGGGCTCAGGGCTACCGTATCCGGATCAACCAAATCGGCCTTGATGCTCTCCGTACATGCGTACCGGAGGACGTATATAAACGATTTGAGGAAACCACGGGAGAAAACTGCAAACCGAGCGGCAGCCGTCGGGATCCCACAACATGGGCAGCTCTGCCAGGACGGATGGGCCCTCCGCCACCTGCTCAGACCCCGGGTGCTGAAGGGAAGCCTCGGCCAAAAGCCACGGGCATGGGTTTCTCTCTGCCTGCCGACCGAAGAGTAATGCGCTCGGTGCTTTTGTCTGGACTCGAAGATTCAGTGACGTACGGCAAGGCCTTTGCGGATTACACCATCACCGACACGGGTGTCACTGCTCACTTCGTCGATGGGACAACCTCCGGCGAAGGCTCTCTTCTTGTGGCTGCGGATGGCCTGCACTCTAAAGTGGCTCGCAAACTTGCCGGAGAGAGGCTGCTGCCCAAGCCAACCGGGTCTTGGATGATTTTTGGGAAAACAATCCTCACTCCTCAATTGGTCCAATCCGTCAAGTCAGATTTAACGACAAACATGTCCATCTTGGTAGAAAAGGACGACCAGGGGAGGTCATTGAACTTTTTCTCGGAGCCGATGCGATTCAGCCATCCGGGAGCACCCAGCGATTACCTGTACTGGGTTCTGCTCACGACCGAGGACAGGCTGGGCATGACGGGGCCGCAGCTCTCCAAGCTCAGCTCGCAAGAAGCCGCAGACCTGTCTCGTCGCTTCGCCGAGTCGTGGCTCCCGGATATCAGGCCCGTCCTGGACCAGCAGGACTCCGCAGAGACTGCCGTCTTGAGACTGAACACGTCGGCCATCGACGGCGTGCCGACCTGGCCTGCGTCGGAGCGGGTCACGCTCATTGGCGACGCCGTGCACTGCATGCCTCCGACTGGAGGCTCTGGCGCCAACACGGCTCTCAGGGACGTGGCGACATTGAGTAGGAAGCTGAAAGAGCACATGACGGATGGGGATGGATGGGGCAAGAAGGTGATTCAGGCCTATGAAGAGGAGATGCGTCCGTATGCCAGCGAGATTGTGGCGCTTAGCTATGATGCTGCTGTCAATCGCTTCGGCGCGAGCCCGATCATCTCTGAGTGATGCTTGCGGCTTTGAATAAGCGAACACTCTTGTGTATTGTACTATTACTCCACTTCAATTAGAAAGTTTCGGATCTGTTTGCCTGTTCCGAGTTGGTTGATACAAATGTTTCGGTCTGGTCAGTGAGATAACGACGGGTAGAGTGGAAGATTGCTTCCTAATTCCGTCCTCCGTATGCCAAATGGGGCATCTTTCGCGGTGGCTTACGCACAAGAAAGCTGACCTCCACGTAACTTGGGCCGGGATTTTGCATTACGGCAGCCTCGGAGCTCCAACTTTGGGCGCGAGTTTTGAATTCCGCGACAGTCGATGGGTAACTAACGGCTGTACCGACTTTGGCTTGAAATTGCATCGATTGGCCTTGGTGTTGTGCTGTTGACAGTTCTATCATCCCCACAATCCTCGGAATGCCGAAGAAGCGAAGGGCTAAGACTTGCAGGGGCTAGTTGAGAGGCACATCTTCCGCTATTGGGAATATCGACATTGCATCCCTGCAGAACTTCACAAGTTACCCTTCTGGGCGTCTCTGGGTGGGTGTGAATAATGCGAGTGCGAGGACGGGCGATGAAGTAGGTCGGCCTACTTCAATATGAGTCTCGCATATATAAGTTCAGTTGTCTCTGCCCATCAGTATCCTGTTCTCACTTCAAGCACATCGACTGTCTGAATTAGACGATTAATCTTATCACTGAACTTATCTGGCTCCGAACTTTCCGAATAATTGCATCCAACATGGTTTCTATAAACGTACCCAATGGGCAAACGGCTGTCAAGGTCAAGGTGATTGACAATGGAGCACGCATCACGGGGCCGATGGCATTCTTCCTCGACCCGCCCATTCTGGCAGAGGCACAGAGGCGCGAGAAAATGCACGCCCCCGCGTTCAGCTTCTTGGTTGAGCATGAAGGTCTTCAGCGGAAGGTCGTGTTTGACCTTGGTATTCGAGCAAACCCTAATCAGTACCCCCCAGCGGTGCTGAAGTACCACGAGGCATTCTCCCTGGTGACTGGCCGAGAGGTGTATGATGTTCTGAAGGATGGGGGCGTGGATTTGAGCACCATTGAAGCCATCATATGGAGGTATGTGAGAGCATGGTCACGTATTGAAAGAGGAAACACTCATTTATTTCCAGTCATCATCATATGGATCACACGGGCAACCCGAACGGCTTCCCATCCTCCACCGACTTGATTGTAGGGCCAGGGTTTAAAGAGACCCTGCTACCAAGCTACCCCGAAAACCCTGAGGCTATGATAGGCCAAAGGGATTACGAAGGACGAAACCTCCGGCAGCTTGACTTCAAAGAGGAGTCGAAAGGGCTAACAATCGGGGGCTTCCCTGCCATCGACTATTTTGAAGACGGGAGCTTCTATCTGCTCCAAGCACCTGGTGTGAGTAAGCCCGCGCCACATGGTGAAAATGGCGAGACTGACAATGGAAACTTAGCACTCTATTGATCACATGGCTGGATTGGCACGGACAAGCACCTCTCCCGAGAAATTCATCCTCATGGGGGCGGATATCGGTCACCATGCATCTCAGTGGCGGCCAAGCGAGCATCGACCGATTCCCAAGGAGTTAACACCCTCTCCTTTCGGGGCTGAGTCCAGGTTCAACCTCCGCCTGAATGTGTGCCCAGGTGAGCTATTCAGCGAGCATGTACACCCTCAAGGCCGCGATGATGTCCCCTTCACCAGAGTCAAGGCTGGACATCCTTACGATGCAGAACAGGCGCAGAGAGATGTTGAGAGGATGGTCTCTTTTGATGAGGATGACAGGATCATGGTCATTGCGGCCCATGATTTCACCCTCCTCCCCATGCTGGAGTACTTCCCGAAGGAGGCCAATGGGTGGCATGAGGCGGGTTGGAAAGAGTCAAGCCGCTGGGAGTTTCTGAAGGGTCTTGCTTGCCTCGTCCCGGAGACGGCTGCCCGGACCTAGCGGACTGTAGTTGTATCTCGGGTGTATTTGGAGGGAATGCAGGGACCAAATGTATTGCCCATGTTTCATCAGAACCATAGCTGTATTTCCAAGGACCATTAAGAACCGTGGAGGGCTTGTACCAATCTCAAATCAGGTGTACGGCGTGATGGAAGGCTCGGGGTGCCCCCAAGTGTAGGACAGGGCGATGTATGGAGGGCAGTCGGCGACGGGAAATGTCGCGATCGAGAGCTCGGGACAAGCTGAGGGGCAGGCAGATGAGACTGGGAGGCGTAGCAATTTGATATGGCGGCTATCTAATGGGGAGCTGTGGCGGAATCCAAAGATAGAAGCCCTGATCTGGAGCAGAGCATTTGTTGTTGAACTGTGTCTCAGGCGTGCGAAGGCCGAGGCGAGCCGGAGCAGGAGATTCTTGAGCCATGAGGTCAAACTGAACGTTGCTCGCAGGCGGGCTCCAAGTCCCAGTGACATGATTGATCCGAGCGGAATGATTTTAACATTTGGTGATTTGGTGCAAGGCAGAAGGCAGAAAATGCCGCTGCCTGCTCAGTTATATCGCGTCATGTGAATTCAATGTATGCATGAGGCTGAAATTGGGGTGAGATGGCAGATTCAGCTTCAGCCGAGTGCATAGCCTCAATCAGTGCCAAGCGTTCATCAGGTGGGAATTGAGCCAGGAGAAGCGATAAGAAGCTGAGGAGACTATATAAACCATGGAAAATCAATCATCATTGCATGCTCTCTAGGTAGTTTATTGTGTATCCCCTCTAATCTTCCTCGAGTCCCTCCGAGTGATATTCGAATGCTTTGGGAAGCTGTGGGGGAGCGCCATCAGGCGAATCCGCATCAACTTCTACAGAAGCTTTTGTCTTTTCCTCTTTCCTCTCAGGCTCTATCTCCTTCTTCTCAGGCTCCAAGGAGTGACCTCTAAGTAAACCCGTCATGAACTTGGCCCATTCCCAGGGCCGCTCCCGACCTCCAGGCATGCTATTGAAATACTCCCAGCCCATGACGCCCCCAAACTGCTTGCCATGCGCCGCCCCGAGGACATTCAGAACCCCGCCGAGCATCTCAAAGGGCACAAAGCCGTTGCCATTCTCAGGGTTGGTCACCAGACCGATGACGAGCTTCTCCGGCGGCCAGCCCTTGTACCGCATCATGTTGTACATGAGCGGGTTGCTGCAGTCGCCCCAGCCGCAGTAGAACTGCGTATTGTACCAGGCAATGTCCTTGCCGCGCATCACCTCGAGCGCCTCGTAGTCGAAGCCGCTGAGGTTCTTGGTGAAGTCGAGCATGGCGGCGGCGACGGGGGCCAGCGTGATGATGAACGCCGGGCCAAAGTCGCTGCGCAGCCGGTCGATGAGGCGGATGATGCCGTCGAGGCTGGTCTCCTCCTCGACGTCGAGGTCCAGCCCGTCCAGGGCATGCTCGCGGATCAGGTCGCGCACGGGCGTGTAGTAGCGCTCAAACTGCTCGGCTGAGCCGTCCAGGCGCTGATAGCTGCCCGGAGCGGCGCCGCCCAGCATGCCCATGACCTTGATGCCCAAGGCCTGCAGCACCCGCAGCTCGGCCCAGAGAGTCTGGAACCGGGGGTGCGACGGGTGGTGGTCGTTCAGCGTGAGCGCGGCGGGATCATCGTTTATGTGGATGGCGGCGAGGATCAGGTGCGTGAGCGAGATGCCGGGCTGGGTGATGAGCGGCAGCACCGAGATGGCGTTGCCGTCCGAGTCGTGGTGAGTCTGGAAGTATGTGATGAGGCGGGGGAGGGGCGACTTCGACGGAATGGGAGGCATGGGCGGCAGATTTTGTGTAGGCAGCACCAGACCGCCTCAAAGAGTCGTTGTTGGCGGAATTCTGCGATGGGATGGTATCTGGTCCGATCTGATCTGATGGTGTGAACTTGTGCCGTGTCCTTTTTGTGTTGTGTTAGAGCGCTCTCTGCCATCTGGGACGCTTATTTTGCAGACACGATATATATAAGCGGAGCGCAGCGCCTCAATGGCTCCTTCCTGCAGGCAGCAACCAACAGCCAACACAATGAGTCGCCAAAAGTCCAATTCACACCCTTCATCATATGACGGAGTGCCAATCTGGTTGCACAAATCGAGGGCCTGGGTATTTATCATAATCACATATTCTTTCATGACATGGACATTAATATTAAGCTTAAACCTTCAAACCCAGTGCCTCGTCTCGTCCCACACTCCGATACCACACCTATTTCTAAGCCCAAGCTCTCATTGGTTGTGAGTCCATGAATTTGCGTATGTCACTGAAAATTGCCTGATTCCGATATCTGTCCACTCTTTTCATTAAGGGTTGCCGGGGCTAGTTTCAATTCATCTTGGATGTTTCTTCGTACTAGGTCTAGCAGAGGTTGGTTGTAGGATTGGGGTTGTATCAACGGCCAGTTATTATATTTTGGGCACTTACCAACCTCGCTTCCAGACCTCATTCTCCTTAATATTTTTAATCCAGAGCCGCGGTTGAAAAATTTCCAGTTTAATGTATTCACCCATCATAATGAAAAGAATTCAATGGCTCGCTCTCGTTTGTTCTTAAAAGGTGGCTTAGAGAACCCTACTATGAGAATGAGAGCAGGAAGGTTCCCAGTTCTTCTCCCTCCATCCTCGCAACTTTCATAAGAAAAGGCACGAGAAAATAAACCTAATTCTTGCAGAAACTTCCTGATGGTAGATTATCAGATATTTTAGCCCAAACCGAGATTCGGTTCTGATAGAAGTCTAAACTACACGCCAACGCATCCTCGACCTCAATGCCGAGAGAGCTTCTTAACATAGTATCTAAAGGCTCATCCGGAGGACATAGTTTACAGTAAAACATACCATGTCAATATTTAGAGTAAGATAGGCCAAAGAACAACCGTTAAGATGTCTACCACCTTGGAGTGTTAGTATATATCTAAACGGGGGGAAGATCTACTATGTCGATATTAAAAGTCTGTGCTCTCGCTTTACCTGTTGCTCGTGGGGAAGTATAATAATAAGATGTAGGTAAGCTGGGTTGCGGTTGCTTCCATTATGCTATTAATAAATCTCTCTACTAATGCCCGGTGACTTAGGAAATATGTTGGTATGTATCATTATGCATTAACTACCGTCGCCAATAGGGCTACAATTTCGAAAGATTACCTATTAATACAATGCCTCAGCCGTCTCTATCGTTACTAGCTTTCTATTTACGATAACCTTAATATGGATTCAAAGTATAAATAACTTATTCAAAAGCTCAGGACTTGATATTTAGGCAGTATCTGACTATTGTCTTGCTCATTAACGCTATTTAGCCCACTAGATAGGTGAAAAAGCGCAATATAGTAACGAAAGAGTCGCCAAAGATTGCATTAGTGAGATGTTAGTCAAGTAACTGCCCTCCCATCGCCCAGATTCTTTCAACAAAGCCTGTTGAAGTTTTAAAAAGTCCTGATCTCTACAGACAGACTCCAATACAATCTGCTCCACCATTCTGAGGGTCGCATCCATCTTCTGGGACGTCGTAGCAAGTGAGTCCGCTGGGGCACGAGAGGCCGATGAACCCGTGACATTGGGGCTGGTTGTTGGGAATGCAGATGCCAGGCATGTTGGAGTCGGCGCCAGGAATTCGGGGATCAGGGGAGCATCTGCTACCGGAGGGACAGTTCTTCGGCGTGATGCGATTGCCACCGCAGTCGCTGTATTTGCGGATAAATTCACAATGGCCAGCGCAGCTACGAGTGTCGGTGCACTTTGGGCTGTCTGGGACGCACTTGTAGTCCAGCGGGCAAGATGGAAGCCTGCCGCCGCAATGGATAGTCTCTCCTTGCTGGCCGGCCACGAGTAGCCCCAATGAGGCGATAGATAGTGTGATGCTGAACTTCATCTTGCCAGAGAGTAGAAAGTGTATACGTTGGATATAAGAATAGATGAATCGAGTGGTATGAACTGTTAGCCAAGGTTGTCAAGCAAGACTGTCGGGGGAAGGGCTTCTTAAGGATGGACAAGAATGCAATCTCTTATTCTCATAGGCCATTGCCTTGCGCCGGTTCCGCCTCGCTTCACACAAACCACTTGTGGCTGATTGGACAGGCCGCGCTGAAAGAAAAGGCAAAAGGGAGAAAGAATGCTAATGACACGATATCTTCAAAGTAAGAGGGCTGATTACTGGTTCTCCAAGTACCCTCAATATAATTGGCATTCCAGCCATAAGCCATGGAAGCTAATATCCCGACACATGACACAAAAAAAGTGTCTGAGACTGGTCAGTTGTAAAAAAGAATTGCATTCCATTCGACAGATTCCGCCTCAGCATACCAGCCAAAGGATCAATCTGACAGTGCCAATATGCTGGTCTTTCAAATGCGAAGCTTAAGGTTTCAGAGCAGGAAAACTAGATACGCCTTCACTCATCCCGGATAGTCTCAGAGATGAGTGCCGAACACACTATCGCAAGTTCAACCACATAAACCGGCTAGGTAGACTTAGAGGTATGAATGTCATGAACCAGTTCAAACTGTTGATTATCGTCTTCGTACCGACATTCTAAATCTATTATGCGTATTTACACAGTTTACGTTGCAGCCTTGAACTTTCGAGTATGAGCCAAATCCCTGAATACAATTTCTAGGCTTCAATAGGTTAGTAATAAACTTGATCCCGACTTATCGGCAGCAGAAAAGATTAGGCACTTAATCGAGGGATTTCATCGCAATTGTCTTACTTTGAGCGTAAAACATCCAAAAAATAATTAAGTCCTATCTACAAAGACTTCTGATATAGTTGCCCTTGATCCACAGACCCTAAATCCAAGCTTAGGTCATTCGCGAGAAAGAGCCAACATAAGATAAATTCTATACAATGCCCATTACAATACTCAATAACTCTATTCTCTTTCCGCCTAGTGCAAAGCCCTAGGTTGTGCACTTGGGCATCAAATTTCACAAATGTGTCATGTGATACTCTCGCTGTACGACTGTGGCTGAGTTCGACCAGGCTTGCATGAAGGCATACCCGCTATGGCAACCCGCAAACCCTACCTATAAACGCGAAACACGTGCTGATTTAATAAGGAAAAAGCTTGGCTGACCAACCCTCTCTACTACCCCGCTACACTCTCTCTCTCTCGGGCTCTCAACTCTCAATCTTCCGCCAACGTTTCGTCTAGTTGATTACATGGATATTACAAATACAGTACATGAAAGGAAGCCCTCGCCGATGGAGCAACTAAAATCGCTCGAATCAAATTCCCGAAATCTCTTGACCCTGCCACCTGAGATTCAAGCCAAAATCTTTTCACACCTTGCTGCTTCCTTCGGCAGCTCCAGTATTCAACCGGTCCTGAGAACATGCAAGACGCTTTATGAGGTGGCACTCCCAATTTCTGTGAGCGTGTTTCGAAACACAGTACACAGTTCTAAAGGCCACGGACCGTGTTCCCGGATCCGCAACGCGCAGTTCTTACGCTACATTCTCGTTTCCAAGCCTTGGCTGGCCAAGCATGTCAACACCGTCATTTTTGGCCGGATTGCAAATGGCAGTGGTGAGGAAAGAAGAGAGTATATGGAAGACGGGAAACCGGACCCAAGAATGCCGACTGATGAAGAGCTTGTTGTCTATCGTCAGCATATTGAGCTGGTCTTAGGGCAGTTACCATCTGATTATACCAAGGGATGGTATAATCACTGGGTAAAGGACCTTGAGAAGGGCACTTCCGACGCCCAAATAAGCTTGATTTTGCTAGCTTGCCCGAATATCCGAACAATCATGTTTGAAATGTCTAAACACAAAAGCCATTTCCCCCGTTTGCTAAATCTCATACGGAACCTGGTTGATATCAACACCTCCATCCATACACCCGGGTCTGAATGGGGCGACGGCAATCATCCGGATATGGTTATTCCTCTCTCAAATGTTCAAGATGTGTTTCATGAAACCGTTAATTACGTTGACGGCTACTCAGAATTCGAGATGGATGGTCCAGACCTCTTTGCGCTTCCTCGGCTTCGGTTCTACGAGTGCATTCTGGCTCGCGGGAATGACACTGCGGAGAGAAGATTTGGAGATCTGCTGCGTAGGAGTACTTCAGTTTCTTCAGTTGAAGATATTACTCTGCACTGCTCTGCCTTCACGCCAGGTGCGCTCAAGAAAATGCTGCGTTGCTGCAAAGCACTCAAGAAATTTGAATTTACGCATCATGGCTATAATATATCTAGCCTGGTCATGCCCCGAGATATTCTAGACGCTATCTTGCCTCATGCTGATACACTTGAGGAGCTCTATATTAATTTGGAAGAGGATTGGGATAAAGGGTGGAATTGGCATGATTGCCCTGGGAGATTATACATGGGGACAAAACTTCGCGAAATGCGTGTACTAAAGAAGCTGACAGTGGGCATGCAAGCCCTAACTGGTATGCTTGGTGCAAAGCCCGAGAATCATGTCTCAGTAGCTCGCCAAATGCCGCTACAGGTTGAGGGAGCTCCTCGGCTTGTTGATTGTCTGCCTGAGAATCTAGAGTATCTCAAAGTTCATGCATGCGGTCTAGGGATAGTATCTCAGGTGGCAGATCTAATCAGTGCTGTCGAAGAGGATAGCAGCTTCAAAAAGCTAACATATATAAGCTTGCTATTCAACGGATGGTCTACAGGAAAGGAGGTTGACGAGAGCCAGGTCCGCTTGATCTGCAACGCACCTGGTGTGCACTTGGATATTGGTTTTCAAGACAAAAGACGAGCAATTTACGACCTGGGACGAGATATTGTAGATGGAGATGGGAGAGAACCCCGTGCCTGTAACTTGACCTCTCGGATACACGCCCAAGATTTTCGCCAGTATTACTTAGAAACGCGAGGGACCTCCGAGATTCCATGGTATCCAAAGAATACTGGTTCGGTTCAGGAATAAAATAATAGGAAATAAAAGAACCTTGACCATTCTCTACATAGCTCATTGAAGTTTCGAATCATTAACATATCTTTAATTTCATATTATCGTTATCGAATTGCTAAGCGTACCTAAACATTGAGAGATCATCGCTTTATCTCCGTAATAAAGTTACGCAACTAATGCGAGGCTCAACATGTACATAAATTTCTAGAGTAGTTAGGAATACTCCCAGATTTCTTATACTTATAGATAATCATTCTTATTCCTAAAGTGTAGGAGATATAGTGCTAGGATTAGTCAACGCCCGGCACAGCCTGTCCGTCTTATTATGACATATGAAATCAGAGACCGCAATCGAATTATTATCGCCGGCCTACTATTTGAACCAGAGATTCTGATGAACATTTTCAGGTTCTGAAAGCATCCTAATTTCTTCTGCCGGCCAACCGCCATCACAGACCCTAATCAAACCGGTGTTCTGGCGGAGCATATAACAACTCGCAAGCTCTGAAATCAACATTTATTTAAGACATGTGGTCAACAAAGAGTCAAAGACATCATAAATATATTTCCGACATGTCGGGTGATAGCCGAGCCTCCATCTTCGTCACTACCCTATACTATGGTATATTTTCTCAAGTCCTAGAAATTAAGACATCATTTTTAAAAGTGAAAGTGTCTGTTGGACTAGAATTGTAGAAATATTGAAGTGATTACAACTCAATTATGGTTGGTCATACTGCGTGTCGTTGGGGTTGAAAATAAGGTTTTGCGAAGGTCAACAAAGGGTAGAGATTTACTCAGATCTTCCAAGTTCTCCTCACCACAAGGATTATATCCACTTGACTCTACCTAAATTTGACAGAAATGAGTCTCACCAAAGCTTTGCCAATACGATCCATTAAACATACAGGGAATACCATCAAAACTCGGTTCCTTATTCTCTCAGATACTCACGCATGCGATGTCGCTGCGCCAAAGCAATATGCTGATGTTGCTCTACATTGCGGCGATCTGACCCAGCGTTCGAAAATGTCAGAGTTCAGAAAATCATTGGCACTCCTTAAAAGCATAAATTCGCCCTTGAAACTGGTCATTCCCGGAAATCATGATTTCACCCTCGACGAAACGCTATTCCGCGGAGGGGAATTCAAAACCCGCCGATTGCTTTCCACAAAGGAGAGAGAGATGGAGTATGGCAGAACAGGGGATGCCATTGCCTTGATGGAAGAAGCGAGTGAGGCAGGCATTTTCTATTTGAAAGAGGGAACTCACCAATTCAAGTTAAGCAATGGAGCCTCACTCAAACTATTCGCAAGCCCCTACATCCCATCGTTGTTGGAATGGGGGTTCAGATACGAGCCCTCAAAGGGTCACAAATATGAAATAAAGGAGGGGACTGACCTGGTCATGACACACTGTCCACCAAAGGGAATCCTGGACGCTAACTATCAGGGAGATGAAGTCGGGTGCCCCCATCTATTTGAAGCGGTAGCTAGAATACGGCCTAGATTACATTGTTTTGGGCACTCGCATGAAGGATGGGGAGCTAAGTTGGTTACCTGGAGAGGAGATGCAGCGAGCGAAAGACACTCACGTATGGCCGATGTGGACGAGTACCATTCCGTTCTAGTGCAACATCTAGATGGACTTCGAAGATCGAGCGAAGACGACGAAAGGATAATCGAGGAGAAGGCCGATAAGGTCAGAGCAGCTTACAATGAAAGATGTTATCGGACAAGTCACTGTTCTGGCGACAACCATCCCATTATTCTTGGGAGGAAAACACTTTTCATAAACGCAGCTATGAAAGGAAGTAAGGAAGCCGAGTATCCGATGCATCTTCCATGGCTTGTGGATGCTGAGCTTCTGATGGCCAATGCGGATTAGAGGATGAACCTGCAAGAACCCTCCAGATTTACCAGGCGAGCCAACAATATATTCTCGAATTACCTATTTAGGGCATAAATCGAAATAAAGCTGAGTGAAAAAGATATCCTCAGAATACGGCTCCCATCCCTACAACGGGGAGGTGTAGCTGAAATTCCGAAATCAAAATCACAAGCGTAACCCCTTGATGACGGCACCCAAGTATGCTTGAGAGTGGAAACTTGACTCCAAGGTTCACCACACCTTCTTTGCAGCTTGTGCTTATTGAGCCCCGTATTCTTGCATTGGCTGCCAGGAGGATCTGCTGGGCGCATCGGGAGTGAAATGCTGTTGGTGATCGTGGCTGAAACGAACAAGCCTGCACACCTATTAACTAGATTTGGAATCTCCTGAGCCTGGACAAAACGCCACTTGTTTGCAAGCGGGAGGACTGAAGTACCCCTATTAACCTAGACTCTGGGCGGCAGCAGCATTCCGCTTCTCTGAGCTGGTTAGGTGTAGCTGTCAGATTTTACAATTGCCTTATTTGTCCCTTCTTAGATGGATATCCTATTGTTATGATAAGTAGTCATTGTTCAACAACTTACCCATTGATGCTAGCTCTCGAGTAGTGCCTGCGTCCGATATGAAAGAGAAAATTTTTGCCGGCCACCGTTTTCATCTTCCTAATCAGGGGATGGTGGCAATAGCTTCAATAGAAGCACAGCGGCCAAACTAACCGGCTTGGTTGGTCCTGGTATTGATTGATAAGATCAGTTTTCAGCTCGGTGGAGACCGAGACAAGCTAGACATGGATGGCGAGTTGAGCAGCCTAAGGCGAGAGTCAGAGTTTTCTTGACATCCCATGTTGGTCATTTTATCCTGCAGGTCTTTAGGAAGGGCCTTTGGAGTTAAGTTAAGCAGTGTGGTTGGCAATGACGGTGGTTAACAGGGATTGAGAACGGAGTACGGTTGGTATATGAAGCAACTGGAGATCGAGGTTGCTGCTGGCTGTGTTGCGTGAATTATCAGATGGAGGGCCCCCACTTGGCCGTTGGTGTCTAATTTGCGAGTAGAGAGCTATGGGCCCATGAACGGGCTGGAGAGCATAAAATAAGGCCAGCCAGGCAGGGATAGAGCTAATATGGGCAGTTAGATCCGGAAATCGGCAGCCGAAGGGAACGAGGAAGCGAGCGAGGGTCCAGTTCACATGTGAAGAAGGCTCGTGGTCGTGCGTCTTGAGTGATCTGTGAGGCTCCCCTCTGCTCTCCTGTGATCAAGAGACGGTGTTGTTGTTCCAAGCCGAGCCATGGATATGAAGCACCACCACCACAGCCTCTCCCCCTTAGATGGTCCGCCTCATAGCCTAATATGAAGCAGGTTGGTGAGCTGAGGGAGCCAGTGGAGGCCGGAGAGCACAGAGTAACCGAACGAACCGAGTCTGGAGTCCGGGCACTGGGGCAAGATGGAGCTGGCAAAACAGACTACTGGAATTCGAACCCTGCAACAGGATCGAAGTTGTCACAGGCCTGTCCACCTATATGGCTCGAGTGAGTCACTTGCATTAGGCCCAGGAACAGGCCCTTGGGTGCTGAAGATGCCAGCGGCCAATCAGCACCCGCGATCGTATCTGATGATCAGATAAATTTTTCCCAGCCGGATCAGCAAGCAACTGCCACGATCCACCAACATGACTACCAGCATTGACCACCACCACCACCAAGGCCGCCACAACTGCTCTTCAGCATGGAAGCCTTGTCTTTTACGTAGGGAGAAACAAGGATGAGGCTATCCGACGCAACCGCCCGGCACGAGAGGAAGATCGTTTGGTTGGTCCGATCCGCCCTACCATCCATTCCATCGCAGGCATGTTAAGATAATCGATGATGCTCATGGGCTTGATCATACAAACACGCCCATGGAAGTTGTTCAGTCATGCCCTTTTGTATCTACCTACCTACCTAGGCAGCTCTCTGATAGCTATCCAGCGCGGCAGCCGAGGTTACTCAGTAAACCCACTCCATCATGTCCGGCTAGATCAGCTCACGGGAATTCACCTGGCTTCATTATGTTGATACGAGCATTCACGGTGAGAGAGCACTCTCACATTGATCTGCATGCTGGTTCACTTGTTTGGGCAGTAAGCTGAGCCAACACCAATGCACCTACCAGGTCGCGATCTCCCTACTCCCATGCCTAAGCTCTGAACTTGCTTCACGTTTCCGATTGAGGCAATTCGAGTCCCACTCGAACTAGAACGAACTCACGTTTACCGAGTGGGACAACCTCTGAACCTGCAACCCGTAATTAATCGCCAATGCCGCCACAGTTTGAGATGATGGTGGAGCTGGGCACACCCCTTGCCTGCGGCGTACCGTCTCCGAGCTCGCACTCTATCCTTGAAGCTTGCTTACCCGCTTGGCTAACAGCTGCCTCTTTGTTCCTGTTCTGGGCTAATTTCGTTTGGAACTTGGGTTCCTAGTGGCCATCCTCGCTAAGCTAGCTGTAAGTTGGATGTGAGCTATCCTCCCTGGCCCTGGTCGATATTGGGTTGTCCCGCAGCCCAAGCCGTCAAGCCGCTCTTCAATAGATCCAGCTGCATCAAGCAGGTATAAAGAAGCTCCTCCCAGGCTAAGTGGCCCCCTTCTTCTGTTCCTCACTCACGCATCCAACCCAGTCCTGCAGTCTCATTTCCACGATCGCTAGATATAACATTCATTCAATTCGATCTCCAGATCAACAACTCCCCAACGCTAATATCAAAATGAAGTCTTTCGCTGCTGCCGTCGCCCTCACCCTGGCCACTCTGGCCAGCCAGGCCCAAGCCCAGACCGGATGCGCTGTTTCATGCTTCCAGAAGGTCATCACTGAACACCCTCCTCTGTCCTGCACTGAGGCCAACATGTACCTCTGCTTCTGCAAGGACACCAGCCTCCAGAACTACTTCATCGACTGCGCCAAGTCCGACTGCGGCAACAACTACCAGACTGCCATCGAGTTCGGTTACAGCCTTTGCAACGGTACGTGGTGATTTCATCATTTGCGACCCTCCGACACTGCCGTTCAGTGACTAACATGATTCTTCTCTGCAGATCTCGGTGCCTCCATCAACACCGCTCAGCCTACCAGCTCTGCTGCTGCTCAGCCTACTACTTCCGCAGCTGCCCAGTCTTCCTCTTCCGCTGCCGCTCAGCCCTCTTCCTCTGCTGCTGCTCAGTCTTCCTCTGCCGCTGCTGCTTCTTCCTCTGCCGCTGCCGCCTCATCCTCCGCTGCCCAGTCTTCCGCTGCCCAGTCCTCCGCTGCCGCCAGCTCCTCCAAGGCTTCCTCTGCTCAGGCCTCTGCCACCGGCGCTTCCTCCAGGTCTTCTGCTGCCACCTCCGCCGCCACCACTCCCGGAGCTCCTGCCCCTACCACCGTCCGCACCACCACTGTCGCCCAGCCCACTGGCGGCAACTCCACCACCACCGTCGTCCCCGTCAACGGTGTATGTATCCCTCCCATCTGAAATATCTTTGCTCGAAGCTAACTTTGAAACTACAGGCCGGTGCCCTTGCTGGATCTGGCTTCGCCGTCGTTGCCGGTGTCGCCATGGCTGCTCTCCAGCTCTAATTGCAGAGTCGTTGGGAAACTCTGCTGCTCCCGTTGCGGTCATCTAGGTATAGAGTCATAGATATGTACATTAGTTGATCCGGGCTATCGGCCTTTAATCTTAATATCACACGGCCATTCCTCCCGAGGAAGGTCAATTTTCCACACCTGAAGACCGAGTTCCATGTTTGGTGAATGCTAGTCAATAGATTTCTCTTTGATTCCTGTTGCGATTACGTCAGGGTTGGAGCAAGTATTTGTCTATTGGAGATGAAAGTTCAATAGTTCTTGTACCGTCACAGGCCTGTGTTAGTAGTTAGTAACTCTGTTGTTGATATCATAACGGAAAAAGTATTTCAGGATCACGAGACGCCCAAAAGCTGGGACCAAACCGCAAGCAAGGCTTTATCAAGGATAAAAATGTCTAGTTTATGATTGTATCTTTCACAGTAGTATTCTCCTCTAAAAGAGAATGGTATATTGGTCGGTAATTGCTGCAATCTCAACTCTATCACTCACACTCATAAGAAATAGGCCAAATAACAAGAGTACTATGGACTATTCATTTGCTGGCGGAGCCAACGAACTGCTCTCAAAAGGCCAAAGGAGCTGTCCTTTCCTTAATCTTGGCTTCATTCTCAGCCCTCACACGAGAGCCGAGACACCTTCCTGGGTGCCAAATAGCATATAGAAGCACTGCCAACGCCACAGGGGCAAACTCCAGGCAAGCAAAGAAGGTTTCGTTCCGTAGCAGCGCTCCTCCGAGCCCCTCGGCCGTTTCCGCCAGTCGGAAGCAGGTCCTGAGATAGATGAGCACGGCTGCAACGGCGAACACCAAGCTGAAGGCAGTGAGCCCAACAGAGCTGATGGCCCTCCGCGCGCGGAAGAGGAATGTCGCGGTCATGAGGACGAACACGCCCATGGAGAACACCTGGTATGCGAGACCCCCGAGGAGGATGTTGTTGGCAGTTGTCGGGTCTTTTCTCTTGGTCTGGCTGACGCCAATGAGGGCAGCGCCTGTGATCTGGGTGAGTGTCGCAATGACATCGGAGGTGATGAAGAACCATAGGATGAACTTGGGCGGGAGGAACGAGTATTGGCGACCGAGTCGAGAGATTAGAGCGGAGAGAATGGTGTAGATACCTGCGGCGAGGAAGACCGGGGCGGTAACGATGAAGAAGTACTGGAGGATAAAGTATATGAGGTTGTAGGGAGACACTTTAGCAGACAGTGAGCGGGCAATGTAGCCGACGATCTCGAACACCAGACCGACAGGGAAGGTGATGAACCACCAGCTACGGTGGCGGATGCATTGGGCGAGATGGACGATGAACAGGAGTAAAAACCAGACGGCGGCGAAAAGGGCGATGGACAGCTTCGGGGTGTAGCCGTAGATGATGACAGGAGTGTCCCATTTGCCCCCTGGATTTGGGAAGTCAGGGTCGACATAGCCTTTGCATGTTAGCTCGTTATATTCTATAATGAAGAATGATCATCTGCTATCAACGAGAGAAGGGGGAACATACCCCTCGATCTGCCAGAGGAACTGCTCATGGTTTGGTGGGTATCACGTATCAATCTTGCAGTAAAATATTATATACAAAACCAAGAAAAATACTAGACAGATAAATGTAACAGCATTCACAGAAAGGTCTTGACCCTTATTAACAAGTCTATATGAAGATGTTCATTTATTTTAAGGTTAAACAAAAGCTGTCAATACCACTCAAGCAGGGGGTTAAACCCTTGGGAAATCATACGCTGTGACGTCCACGACTTTGCTGCAAACTGCAATACATCGCCATTGACCACTCAAAGATCCTGAATTACCATGTCCAGACGTCGAGAAGCAGGCGAAATGTTCGAATCCCATGCATTCGGACGGGGATGTGGGGACACTGCATCTCGGCCTCCGGCAATGCCAAGAAGTCCGACTTGTGCGAGCTCTAGCAGCCGTTGATCAAAGGGACCAAATCTGATCGTGAGCCACGATTGTGAGAGCCGCGATCGTGTTTACATACAGCGAGGCCGATCTAGAAATCCTAATCCGGAAAGGAATTCGTTGGTGGATGCTTGTCGCCCCATCAATCACAAAGCCATACATAACATCGTTGGCACATTGTTTAGCGCTCAGAATTAATGAATACTCATTCAAAATGAACCAATCAGGTAAATTCCCTTGATCTCAGGGTATCCAAAAGAGCAATGAAGGAAAACCGATGCCAAAATAATACACATTAAACGAACATGTGAGTAAATCAGCTCTTTGTGTACAGAGGAGCTACACCTTCCTCTGCGATTGTGTCAAAGATACTCTCTCGCATCTGCAATAAATTCTTCCGGACCCTTTCCAATTCAATCTCCACCCTAGGAAGCTCCTTGTTGACCTGCCTCAACTCCTTTTCTATTTGGGGAGTGGCGTTGCGCAAGAAATCAGCCAATTCTGATACATCCACTTGAGTCTGGCGAATTTCAGACTGAAAGATGAATTCTGTTTTGTACATGAAGCTCTGCTGGTCGACGTACGGCCTCGGGATGTTCTCAAGCTGTGCTTTGGAAGCATTCTCCCTGGCTATGTTGACTGAGCTCGCGGCTTTCTGCAGACACTGCTGCACCTTCGGCAGGAACCTTGCATCAAGCTGTCCATCCTCGAAAGCAACACGAGCCCTCATCAGCTCCAAAAGTGCAGCATCCGCTCCTTCTCTGGCCTTATTCACTAGGTCTATCTTGGACGATGCTTTGTCGTGCCGGACATGGGTATCATGATACACTTGCAGAAAAGTCTCAGCCTCCCGCTCGGCCACATCCTCGTCTGGAAACTCTGGCGTCGGTCCCGCAAAGATCTCCTCATAGAGCTCCTCGAGTTGGCGCTGAGTCCTCTGGTGCAACGCCTTAGCATCCTCAAGCTCCCTCTGAACCTTCAGTGCCCCATCGAGCTGGAGCTTGAGGGTCTCATTCAATTTGTACTCCTCCTGCTCTGCATGAAGCACCTCCAGGTATGCCTTATCCTCTTCCTCAGCTCTATGCTGGAATCTTTGCCGTTGGCCTGCTGCCGTGTAGATCATACGCTTGAAGCTACTGTCGCGATGTCGCTCATGGGCTTCGCGGCCCCTTAGCCGCTGCGCTTCAAGACTCTGAAGCTTGTGGTCTGAAGCAGAGAGCTGTGCCTCAGCTTCGCGAACAATACGCAACTGCTCCTTTAACGACGGCTCCGCATTTTCGGTTTTGGACAACACCCATTTAAGGTCTGACTGCCGGGTCTTGGCGTTGGATATCAGGGTTCGAATGTCTTGGGACATGATGTGTAGAGAGCATATCGTACTTGAATTCTCCTGAGCTAAGCTATTTGTAAGAAGGGAAGAGCACGCCTGGTATTATAAATGTCCTTTCGAGATGTCTGGAAGTATATATGAATGGTTCAAGGCACAGCAGTTCTTGGCACCGATCATTGACAAAACAGCTCTATGTGGCTGTGTCGGATGATATGATGTGTCTACGCAGTAAGCAGGATACCACCTGGAGGGCAAAGAATACACATGGGCCGGGCCATAGAAGGTCATTTAGACTTCCGTTGCCCTTGCCCAGGCCGACGGAATAGCACACACGGATTGTCTGCCGGCGTTCTTCATGCTGGCCCTGGTCCAACGGATGGTGATGGTTCGTCAATTACCGTAGGCATCATGATGCACTGCCGACTTAGTGGGGCGGACGGCGGCCAAGATTCTCACCCCGGGCATCATTAATATCACGGAAATGAAGAGCCATGAAAGAGAGAAGTGCGATGCACTCTCCCAGGCCGCATTGGCCAATCGAGCATGTATTCAGCGAAGTGCAGGTGTGGACAATGCAGCCGAGACTGATCAAGTGAATGACGAATGCGAGAAATTCCGGGTGGGCAGGCTCTGGCTGGTCATTGGCAGGAAAATCCTCCAGCAGCCGCATCCCCACAGCCAGCAGAAAACACAGCTAGACGCTGCCGAAGCTCTCCAGCGTCATCACCAGCGCAAGCCTCTCGCTCCAATTGCCTCCAATGTCCGCTCCAAGGCGCTTGCTGCCCCAAGCCAGGCGCCTCGGTCTGGCTTTGAGGCCCAAGGCAGCGCAGGCGCAGTCCAAGTGCCCGTACTGCTCCCTTGCGCCAGCGTCCCGCCCGTTGATCCGATCCCACCGCGACGAAACCGCTCGGAGACACCAATCCACGTCCTCGCCCTCCTCGAACCCGCGCCAAGAGCTCGAACATGCCCTCACCGAGCTCCAAAACCATGCGCCCTCACTGGTCGACGCCTCGAGACTCCAGCTAGCCCTCCAGGGATTGAGGCATTCTGCTGGTACCGAAGCTGTACGGATAGCCATTCTTGGCCTTGGGAACGAGAGCAGCTCCACCAGCACTGCCAAACGCCTCTTGCGTGTGCTGCTAGCTGATCCTCTGGTAGATCAAGAGGCGTGGGAGCGGGAGCTGGATACCTACGATGTAAACCAACCACTCATTGTGCGAATCCAGCAGGGCGACGTCAAGAGCGGCTTGACCATGGAGCGGCACGCTTCGCTAAACGAGATGACAATATCTTCACCGACTCTCAACGGATCCAACCTCGAGCTTCTGTTGATGGATACAGTGCTTCCTATGTTGCCCCCGGAGGGAGCATCAGCTTCTTCGGTAGAGAGCAGCATTCTCAACCCTGTCGTCGATATCCCCATCGGCGAAGATCGATATTCCCAGGTCGAAACTCCAGTTCATAAGACTATTCTAATCACCGATGGCTTCTCGGGTGCAGTTTCTGTATCAGCAGCATTTGGGAAAGCGCTTGATAATATTGAATCTGTGATCGCGGCGACAAACATTCCAGGCATGGGCAAGCAAGCAGCCGGGGCCCAAGTTGAGGTAGTAGATCTTTCTCTCGCAGAAAAAGCCATCGGACTATTCCGCCAGGGTCCTCAGCATGCTATGGAATACGAGAAGCTATGGACTGCAAGCAATGTCTCTGTACTCGTCCACTGGCTCAAACAAGGCGTCCATACTGCAGATGGCGCAACCAAGCCGATCGTCAGGAGGCTCATTGCGTCAGTTCTGCAGGGCGTCACCGCCCAGCTCGATGGCGAGGAAGCACGCGAGCTTTCCAAGGCGCTCGGAGTAAAGGAGCTTCCTGAGAGGGATAACCTAAACCAAGCTCTGGCCCAATGGTCACAGAATGCACACACCGAACTCCAGTCCGAGTTGGATCAAGCATTTACAGGTCGGAGATGGAGGAAACTAGGCTGGTGGAAGCTGTTCTGGCGGGTGGATGACGTTGCTATGCTTACAAACGAAATGCTCAGCCAACGCTTTCTCCCGACTGCAGAGCAGGAGATTGTTTATCTTACCGGCCGCATTGCCGGCCCCAAGGGGGTGAATCCAAATTACGCACAGCCAAGATCATCCCAAGCCCTAGAACACAAGGCCACAAAGCTGGGTTCGGGCGAGGAAGCACCCATCCCAACAGGCCTCCCAAGATGGCCAGGCCATATCGCCTTCACCCGCCGCTATCTACAGAACGAGAGTGTCCCCGCCCTACAAGCCCTAGCACAGAAGCTTGTTATGCAGTCTCTAGGAACATCTGGCATCGCCACATCCCTGGCAGCCACGTTCTATCTCACGTCGTTTGTCTCGACTGCTTACGAGGCTGGCGCCGTAGCGGCATTGGGCATAGTATACAGTCTGGGCAGGATGCAGAAGAAATGGGAGACCGCTCGTGGCTTCTGGGAAGGTGACGTTCGAGAGGAAGGTCGCAAGGCGGTGCGGGGAGCTGAAAAGAGCATAGCAGATGCCCTCAATGGCGGCAAACCTGCTGAGGATGCTGAACTCTCAACAAAAATACAAAAGACTCGGGAACTCCTGGCCCAGGCGGAGGACGCGCTTGGGAGAATGAGATAAAACAAGGCTTCATGTAACATACTGCCATATAGATGTATTACCATATCATTGTCACGAGTTAGGCTCCATAATTCATTCACGACATATTTGTCGCCGCAGTGCCTCGGCGTGGAACGTTGGTTCAAAATGTCTTTCTACCCCTTCCCCCAAACGCAGTCGGTGTATCTCCATCTCATGACAAATCTCAGTTTTGTTCAGCTCCCATATTTATCTAGGCGCCGAGTGCCAGTAAACGCCGAAACCCAAATATTACGACCAAATCATGTCGTCATTGTATGCCAACCTCCTCACCACAGATGACTCAGCTCCTCTTCTCTTGTCATTGTGCTCTTCAAGCTTTCCAGCATGATAATCAAAATCCCACCCCCCGCCTTCTGTCCTCCGATAATCGATTACCGACCGCCTCTGCCACCGGCGCGGGCACGGCTGACAGTGGCGCGACCTCTGGCCAGACCGACACCACGCCCGCGGACGTTGCGGCTTCGGAACATGGGCGCATTACGCAGCATGTCGGGGACGATGAAGAAGCGGACATGGGAGCCCCGGATGTAGACCTGGTCGAGGTGGGAGACGCGGCCGTCGCGGGCGGTGACGGTGATGTCCTTGAGCTGGACGTTCATGTTGTCTTCAGCTATATGAGGGAACCGCAGGTCAGCAAATTGAGATTCCCAAGATTTCTGAAAATAAGGTCCAGTGAGGGGATTGTTTATGCTTGCCTTCGAGGAGCTTGCCACGGTAGGTCTGGCCGGAGGTGATTTCGAGGGTAACAATGTGGCCCTGGGATCTCGGGTTAGCTTGAGGAGCTCGAGCTCGCGGGGGGACGGGGGATGCTTGATCGTACCTCTGCCTCATTGAGGAGCTTGATTGGGATACCGATGGTGGAAGTCATGGTGGCGCGGGAACAGATGGGAGGAGTCTTGTCGCGTGCTGTTGGAAGCTTCCTGCTTCTGTCGTGAAATTTGGAGATTGAAGTCGAGCTCATTGGGGCGTTTGTCCAAACATGGTTTAGCGCGCTATCTCCAGCCACATGCACCAGCCACAGCCTCATCCACAGGACAATGGTGACTGTATCTCAATTCTTTCCTACCTACGCATATCAGTTTTACGAATTTGCTATGCTAAGATGGATTCGAAATAGGGACGGACAAAGGTATGCTTCTGACTACCGGCAGTCCAAGTTCGTTTATTTGTTGGTATTTGATGATATTTCCCAAGTCTCCCACTCATTGCCAACCCAACGATGAACTTGGAACATGAAGTGCAGTGGAAGAGGTGGTGCCAGAATATGCTAAGCAAAGAGCTCGGCAATTCAATCAATCCGATTAAAATTTGAATTAGCCTCCAGAAAAGTGTTCATTCGGAGCTTCAAACGATGCTCGAGATGTTTTAGCCGTTCACATGCTAACGCCCGTCAAGGAATTGTGACAAGAGGGGTTGTCCCCTCATCTAGCAGAAGGTGTGGCAGCCTCCAAAGCATATTTGTTGTCAAGCCGAAATACATCATGGGTACGACAGATACGAGTATAAGTAGCCCCTCTTGCTAGCATCGGAGTGCAATATTCCATTAGTGCAGGCATGTCCTCATTTCAGTCCTAAACTATTCCCAAATTCCTCCAACTTTCCCCAATACATAGAAGCATCAACACCATGGCTCATCAAGCTGGTCTTGTAATTGACAAGCCGGGCGATACATTCTGGGTCGTCCGAGACATCCGCCCCCCATCTCCAGGAAAGAAGCAGGTGCTGGTCAAATCTCAGTTCGTGGCTCTCAACCCAATGTAAGGGTCTACTTCTCTATCCTAAGGTCTGAGTGATGGATTGTCCTAATCTTCCTTCAGTGAGGTCATAATGGCCCAGAGCGGCATACTCACGACCGAGATGCCCGCCATTCTTGGATCTGACTTTTGTGGAATCGTCGACGAGGTGGGCAGCGACTGCACCAAGCTCCAAGCTGGCGACCACGTCTTTGGGCTCTGTCGGCTCGGCCAGAATCCCTACTCTCCATTCCAAGACAAATTTCTAGTCGACGAGGACTTGGCTTTCAAAAGGCCAGAGAGGTTAGACGCCGAGGTCGCTGCCAGTGTCGGCGTGGGTGTATTGGTATGTCACTTGATCGCAGATTTTCTCCCGTCTTTCTCATCTCACTCACTAATTCAATCAAGACGTCTGCATACGGCATCATTATAGGAGGAGATGTCGCTTTGCCCAAGCCCGGCCAGGAAGTCAACCCAAAGGACGAATGGATCGTCGTCCTTGGCGGCAGCGGAACCGTTGGCCAATATGCGATACAAGTATAACCAAATGCTCCTCTATTTTTTTCGTAGTGAGAGGCTAATTATGATCCAGCTCGCTCGGCTGTGTGGCTACAAAGTCGCGGCTTCCTGTTCTCCCGCCAATATTCCCGTATGAGCCTTCTTGCAATAACTCATGTTCACATTCATCTGACGTGCCATATGAATAGACTATCGAGCGTCGTGGCGCCAATGCTAGTTTAAACAGTCGCTCTCCGCCACAGTATCAGGCGGAAGAGATCCAGAAGATAACTGGTGGCGATTTCGGCGTTGTATTTGATGCAAGTGGCGTCAGTCAGAACGCTGCTCTGGCGGCGTTGAAAAACTCCACCAGATCGAAGAAATACTTCAGTACCGTTGACGATTTGTAAGTGAGCCGAAAAGACATCCTCATCCCGTTTCCACTGAAGCTAATCACAAAAGCAGCACCGAAATCGATGTTCCTAGTGACACCAAGGAATATCGAGTAGAGGCAGGTCATCTTGGTCGAGACACCACCCTCGGTCGTCAAGTCACGGATGAGGCGAGGCGCATGATCCCCTTGCTTGAGGGCCACATCGAATATGGAGCCATTGTCCCAGTCGACTGTGAAATGTACAAAGAATCCGGCTGGGGGGCTTTGGCTGAAGCGATCGCCTACTTTCAAGCTGGCCATGCTAAGAAGAAGCTGATTGTTCGTGTCCAGGACTGACGAAAATTTTCTCGGAATGTTGAGTTATGTTTTTGAATAATGACATGTGTTTCTCCGTTTAATATTGCTTACTGGCATTTGAAAGATACACGCTCTCAAATCATCTGAGGATCGTGAGAGGACTGTTGGTTGGATTTGGAGATTTTTTTTAATAATCGTATATGCTTCTCCTTCTGGATTTTGTTTTGTGCATTTCAAAAGTACAAATACTCAAGCGTACTCAGGGTTGTGAGATTATCGTAGCCGGATATTGTGTTCACAGTAGCAAATGGTAACCAAAGCGCATCATCATGAAGCCGGGACCGATGAGAATTATCAAGCTGTGCGATCATTAGGTATAGCCAAACGCCTCTATCTCAAAATAGCTAACGGTTCCCAACAGCTCTACTGTCCCTCATCGTTGGCTTGGTCCTGCTTTCTTTTCTTCTTGGAATGGAGTGCATCCCTCTTTTCTTGTTTCCGTGCCGCCTTGTCGAGGCTCCCGACCACCTTCGCCTCGTTTCCGCATGGCCATTTCGCATATGCCGCTGCCTCGTCTTCCTCACTCCACTCAGGGGGCAGAGTCGCGAAAACGAGATAAGATGTGTGGGATTTCAGTTCTGACTCTGCCCGATGTATAAGCCGGCCCTGCATCCATACCTTTTCTGTAGAAGACTCATCCAACTTGTTGCTGGCGTTGGGCTCGCGTTCTGAGTTTGAGCCATCGACATCCATCTGGTCATTCTGTCCTTCCTCTCCTCTATTTGCCTTGATCCGCGTAAACTCTTTCGTCTTCTGGTTAACCTCTCTCAATTTCGAAAGTGCCTCTGTGACGTCTGCTGGGTTGGGGTTGGCGCCCTTCTCCTTAGGAAGATACGAGCCGATGCGATCTCGTTGTGAAACCAGGCGCTTATTTGACACTTCTACCATGTCAACCTCCACCCACCCCAACTTTCTTAGATCACTGACGGTCTGTATCACCTGCTCAATGCATGGAGAAAATGTACAGATCATGGCAGTTTTCCGAGGGTCCAGGGCCGAGACCCATTCCGAATCATTGTTAGGATCCTGCTCCATATCCTGCGGCCGCCTTCGCGAGAGGTGACGGATCGCTTTCCAAGGCGCAGGCAGATCGAGGAAGACTGCGGACGCCATGGGAGACTTCCCATCGATCAGGAAACCCTCGTTGTACACATCGCGGTGCTTGATCGAGACGAAATCTTTCAAGCAATGTGACTCCACCTCCTCCTCCATCTTGCGAAAACGCGACTCGTTGAACTCGAAACTGAATACCTTTCCCTTTCGATCATCGTCGGACTTGGGGGCTCCATTGTACACAGCACGTACTGAGGCATGTGTAAAGCTACCGCTCCCAGCTCCTGCTTCAATGATCCTCGTGCCAGGTCGCGCGCGAATCCGGTTGAGAATGTAACTGTAGTCTGGCGTGTACACCACCTGAGTGCGGTGTGGCAAGCTGTAGGTCCAGAGCTCTGGGGACGGGCGCAGGATATGGATAAACCCACTTGACGCTGTGACGGCCTTCTTGGCCGGCGCAGACGTCGGAGTAGCTGCTCCTTCAGTGTCCTCGAGAGCGGGTGTCGAGGCATCGTCCCCAGAGTCGTCTCGTCTTCGCTTGCGTCCTCGAGAGCCTGTGTCGACGGCCGACGCTCGAACCTGGGAGCCCCAGGGGATATCGAGGAGAGTAGAGTGGGGGAACGATCCGAATCGAGTGTTGAGCGTTGCTCCCTCGGCGTAGCCGTCGACAGCCCCGGTGGACTGCTCCAGGATCAGAGGCTCATAGTTGTCGCGCGCGAGCAGGACAATCGCGAGGTCTCCGGGTTTGGACCGCTGCCCAGGCTCCAGCAACTGAGGAACCGTCGCCATTGTTTTTCTATTGCCTCTTTCTCTTCGCTCCCAGGGAAGGCGTATCGGGTGGCCGAATGGCTCGAGGGGTCGTGGTGGTTTGCAATGCGAAAACCTTGCTTCGTCCAGCTGGTCTTGAGCTTGATGCAGAAAAAAAAAGTCCAACCCACCTAATGCGGTGCAGCACCTAGAGGCGGGTGGATACACTGTAGATCCCGCTAACAGCAACCTAAACCCCACCTCACCAATTGATTCCAACTCCGACTGCAGGCATGAAAGCAGGAAGTCACTTGCGGGAGAATATCCAATGCTTAGCCTTTCTTTCTATTATCCAATACTGGGGCCCATTGTGTTCCAGCCAAATATATGAGACTCATTTGTTACAGGAAGCCATGGACATGATTTAGCTTAACAGGAATTCACGAGCAGGAAAACCTAGCAAAAATGGCCGACGCCTCATGTTAGCCACAGTAGAGCTGGTGGGGTAGCAGCATGACTGGACCCCTTTTCCTCCTTGAACATAGCAAAGACCACTCCGCTCTTATGCAAAAAGCAGCCTCCCCTGCTACTCAGCAATACCCAAGAGCTCACCGCGGACAAAAACATTGCTCGCCGGAACGTTGCATCTAGCAATGTTCTCTCAGGGTGGACCATCTCTACCGGAGAGCCAGACGGCGACAAGGCCAAGTTAAAGATGCAACTCAACAACATGGGTGCCACATCGAGCTCGATGGTTGCGAGAGAGACGTCCTCTGCATGCGATGAGTTTCTGCTTCCATGCCCTGACTCACTCTACAAGGATACAATTAGCAGTCCAGACCAGTTCATGTTCGGGGGTTTAAGGAGCTCTTCATGGATGATTTGGATGTATTGAATACCCAGCCGCCGGCTACCATCACTAGGGTTCCCGAGTACTTTAGCCCTATCGTCAAATTCGTGAAAAAAATCAAGGACAAGGGTCTTATATATGAGGTTGGAGGTTCGGTCTACTTTGACATTACCGCTTTCAAGAGGAAAGGAAACGCATACGCCGATAAAAGAATCAATTCATTGCAACAGAAAGGGGGAGAAGCTTTTCCTGTCTAAAAACTGAAAGAAAGAGAGATGCGGGTGGCTTTGCGCTCTAGGAGAGACCCAAGCCAAGCGAACCATACTGGCCTAGCAGATGGGCAAGGGACGACCAAGATGACGCATTGAATGATCCGTCATGCCGTCTAATATTCTCGGTTCTCAATCATTATCCATTTCGGTGGGTGGTAACGGCTTTGCATTCCCCCATCGCGACGATGAATTGGCCCAGCACGAGACTTTCTTTCACGAGCATAACAAAAGCGAGCATACCTGGGTCATCTACTTCATACATCTAGGTGATCTGCCCATCTCTGGATCAAAGATGGCCAGATCGGTATGCTGAACGATGGGGTGGAAATCTCGACCAATATGAGAGCCCAGTATCGCCTTCCTACCGAGCTTGATCAGGCCAAGAAAGAGTTCCATGATGCTCTGCTCAACTCGCTTGGTACCCCAAACACCATGCTCGTCGTCCTCCAACTGGTCAATGCAACCAACGTTCATCCACAAGAAAGCAAGGACGCCAGCATCCCAGAAGTGGAGGCCATTGCCAGATAAATCACAAGTTCGTGGCCTGGATGTCGACACAGAAGCACCTTACGAAACATTGGCTGGACTTCGACTATGAGAATGGGATGCGCTTGTGTTGATGTGCTATAACCCAACGTCGAATCACCTCAGTCAACACGCGGGGTCAGTAAATAACTGGTTCAGATGGTAACGCCTCAGCTTGAGCTTTAAATTAAATACAGGTCGGGGTTCGTAGCCTTATCTCCGATAACGCAAGTTTACTAGTACTAGTTGCTGATTCGACCTCGCATTTTTCTTCTTTTTATCTTTTTTTGATTTCTGTTTTGCTTGCAGTTTTGGTTTGCCATCACTTACAGCTGGTGACAGCTGCCAGCGGACGACCCCTCACAACGCCAGCATGTGAACGTGCTAAGGGCCTTGTTTTGCTTATTGGGATGTAAGGTTGAGTAATAGTATTGCAAAGCCTCCGATGGAACCGAATTCCTCCGTATAATCTTCCAATACAGATCACTTCGTCAACGGCATCTCCAAACACAGAGTCGTCCATGGAGTGTTCAAGCCCCACTAAGCGGGCTCCCCTGCTAGTGACTATTGCACCCGCTGGTTCGGCATCCCGCCCCACCCAAGATCAACCGACTCCCTCCCCTCCACGCCAGCGGTGCCCATCCCACTCCCGGAGACACACTACTCCGACACATCAGCTATCGAGAAACCGCATAGTCTTTTCTTGCCTTTCTTCTGCCTTGCGACTCTCGCCCCTACCCTCTCCCCTCCCCTCTCCTCCCACACCATGGCCCAGTCCACGGCTCACCGACGCCTCCTCCAGGAGTACCGTGCCTTGACCAACAACCCGCCCGAAGGCATCACCGCCGGCCCCGTCACCGAAGACGACCTCCTCCACTGGGAATGCCTCATCCAGGGCCCCGAGGACACCCCGTTCGAGGGCGGCGTCTTCCCTGCCGAGCTGAGATTCCCCAAAGACTACCCGCTCGCCCCGCCATCCATGAAGTTCCTCGTCGACATGTGGCACCCCAATGGTAGGATCCCTCCCTCCCTCTCCCCCCCATTATCCCAACTTCACATCCCCCGAGTCAAAGGCTAACAACCCCCTCCCCAGTCTACCCAAGCGGCCTGGTCTGCATCTCGATCCTCCACCCACCCGGTGACGACCCGAACCACTACGAGCAGGCCTCGGAGCGCTGGTCCCCGATCCAGTCCGTCGAGAAGATCCTCATCAGCGTCATGAGCATGCTCGCCGAGCCCAACGACGAGAGTCCGGCCAACGTCGAGGCGGCCAAGATGTGGCGGGAGCACAGGGACGAGTACGAGCGCAAGGTGAGGGACGGCGTCCGGCGAAGCCTGGGTCTCTAATTACAACGAATTAAAAGAAAAAGCTACCAAAAAAAGAAAGAATATCATGAATAAAGAGGGGACGAAATACTCAGTGGGTAATAAGAGAGAGAGAGTCCATCAAAGATCCTACAACATTTCCTTATCATCGTTTATCACGACATATCTATACTGTGTAACCAGAACACGGGTTATTATGCCAAAAGGCGTCATTGGCGTAGGGCAAGGAAAGCGACAACATTGGTTTGATAGCATCTCAACAGCGAAGCCCGGTGTCTATAGCACATGTACCGTTATGCAGCTACGCTTTCTTCGAATCAACAACCCCCTTTATTCTCTTGTGCAATGGTCTTTGTAGAAAAGAAAAAGATAAACCCGCTCTATGCAACCCGTGGTATTTGTAGGGACATGTTCCTCATTTCACTCATAGCCCGTTGTCCGCCTTAAATTTATCCCAACTCTCGTTCAAGGTGCTGAAGACCAATCCGGCAATCAGGCGCACCTCTGTGTTTGCATCTTGGGGAAGCTGTGGAACGTGTTAGTTATCATCTTACTTGTCTTCAATGCAATTGGAGCGGGGGATGACTCACCTTGTCAGGATGGGTTTTGGCAATTGCCTTCATATAGGCAATCTTGACCTTGTTGGCCATGACCAACTCGTGCATCCCGACCTTCTTCCACCCACTTCCCTCCCAGAGGACATTGTCTAGACTGCCAAGCAGGGCCCGAAGGTTATCCCGCTTGCCGTCGCGCCACGCCGAGATCTTTGCGTCGACCTTATCAGCGAGCGCAAATTTCTCGTCGTCTTCCTTCGCCGCCGCCTGGTTGGCCTCCCTAAGCCTCGTGACAGCCTCGGAATCCTTCTGAGGCGCCAGACTGGCGGCCGCAGAAGGCTTCGGCCGGGGCCTGGCGGCAGGCTTGGCCACGGGCTTGGGCTTGGGGGCGACGGCGGCCTGGCACCGCTGCCGGCCCTTGATCGCGTTGGGTCCGCCGACGCCGCCCTCGACGCAGAGCGTCCAGACTGCCCCGGCGTCAGCCCACTTCTCCATCTGCTCCAGCGCCTCGGCTTTGCGGCTGAGGGCCTTTCCGTAGAGCTCCTTCATGTCACGCATCTCATCCTGCCCCGACTCTCCCTTGACCGCGACGGACTCCCCTGCACCATTGCCGGGGCCGATAATCTTGATCGCTTCATCGGCATCGTCAACGGCCTGCTTCGGCTCTCCCGTCTTCAATGCCGTCAACGCACGATTAGTGAGGAGGACAATGACGAGAGGGTGTGTCGAGGGGACAGTTGAGAGGGAAGAAGAATAAGACGCATGAGCGGCGGCATAGTCGCCTCGCTTGAAATGCGCGGTACCGGTGTGGCGATGCTTCGTCGATGTCTGGAGGGCGTCGGGCGAAATGGCTGGAATGGCACGCTTCGGTCGAGGAGGGGCAGGGGAAGCGGATTTTGCCTGAGGCCGTGGGGCAGGCTGTGCCTGCGGTCTCCTGGCCGGCTGTTGAGGTGGCGCGCTTTGCGCAGGTCGATGAGGCAGAGGTTGCGATGCTCTGGGAGCCTCTGTATTGAATAACAAATCCGGCTCCGGCTCCGGCTTCTTCTCCTCCTTTGGTGGAGCTGCCTTTCTCCTTCTGTTGGGACTGCTGTATGAGGAGAAGTCATCATCATTCAGTCGGCTGAGTTTCGCCTTTGCGTCGAAGGTAGACGGCGGGGCAGTTTGCTGCTGCCATCGAGGGGCAGGGCTGTTTCGACTTGATGATGGTTGGGAGGTGGGGAAGCCTCGTGAGGAGTTTGACATAGCCCTAGGCTCGGGAGAGTGACGGCTGGTAGATCTCGCAGCCCTTGGAGGACCGCCCGATTCCAGCATCATAGCCTCGTCAGTGGCATCGGATTCTGGACGAAAGCCCCTTGCCTCAGCCTGTTGAGCTTCTCTCATCCAGCGGGGCTGGTTTGGGTCTCCTCCGTCTTGCTGGAAATCGGCGACCGCTTGTTGCATCTTTTTCTGACCAGTCTTCCAGAGCGAGTTTGCAGTCTTAAACAAACTATTACCCACGGCAGAGGCAGTTTTAGTAAAGTCACCGTCACTGCTTGGGGCTGGTGATGCACTCTGCTGCCTCCTAGGTTGGCTAGGACCATTGGAAGCACTTCGTCCCGTAGCCTTCTCCTTAGCCTTACGGTGCGCATCATCCAATAGCCAATTGGCCACTGCCTGTACGTTGTTCCCTGCGCCGCTTTCGATGATTCCCCTGCGAGCATCCTCTGGCGAAAACCCGTAGTCCACCAGTTGTGCCAAAGTCTCATCCAGGCCTGTCGAGGGCGGCTTCTGACGAGGTCGTGCTTCCTGTCGCTGTCGTGACTGTCGTGCATCTTGGTGATGGTGCATGAGCCCCGACTCGTCGTCGGAACTCTCGTCATCAAGCTCAATGGGCTTTCCCGGTTCGGGCTTCGGTTGGGCTGCTTTTTGCTGTTGCTGTTGCCGCTGCCGGATCTCCTCGACCGGCCGGCCCAGATCTCCAAGAAAATCGTCGTCATCCGCAGTCGTCTGCTGAGGGGCCTTCTTCGAGCTTGAATTGAATTCGTTCAACCCAAAGGGGTCATCGTCGTCTTCGGCCGCTGGTGGAGCCCCGCCATTTGACTTGGGCGCAGCTCCCCAAGCAGATGGATTGCTGAGGTCGATGCCAGCCGCGGGGGTGGATCTTTGTGACTCGGGAGGTGGAAAATGGCTCGCTTTATCGACCTTGGTGTCTTTGCTGAACGCCGCGAAGAGGTCATCGTCGTCGGTCGAGATCGGTGCCGCTCCGATCGGTTGGGCAGCAGCAGGACTAGCCGAAGTACCCCTATTCCCAAGACTATCCCAGAATTGCCCGTTGCCAAAAGCAGCCTCCGTCTGCTTCCTCTTCTCCTCCTCCTTCTTTCTCTTCTCGGCTTCGAGCTGGGCCTGGCGCTCCGCTAAGCTGAGGTTCTGCGTTGGCTTCGATGGGCCGAAATTCATCAAGTTGCTGAAGCTGTCCTGTGCCGGTTTCGGGGGTGGTGCGTTTTGCTGCGGGCGAGGTGCCTGCTGCCCTTGGTTGGGCGTGCTGCGGCCAGAACCACCAAAGGGAGAGGGAGAGGCTCGATATGAGGAGAACGCTCGGCTTGGGTTCATCGGCGGCGGTCTCGCTTGGTTCGCCGTCGGCTTTGCGGACCAGTCCAGGTTCGACAGGTCGTCCATCGCGGAATGAGTGTATGCTAGAATCAATCGCTTCAGACAAAAATGAAAAAGGAGTGATTTGGTTTTTAGTCAATTAGTCGCATTGTCGTCAGGTACGTTGAGGGGACGTCGCTAGCTGGTCGATAATATGCCCACTAAAGCAGGCACTGACGGTACTATTAGTTTAAGCTCCGTGATAGTTGGATGTGGCGGAGGTGGCTGAACACCTGGCCGGAACGCCGCTGCACGTGATCATCAGTGTCAGGACTGGGAGTTGAAACACCGACAATACACACTCCATAATAGATGCTTGAAGTCCTCTACTAGTATTTTCTATTTTTTGCTCAGGTAGCTGATGGGCGGACTGCAAAATTGAGAGTTGATCCCTCACGGTTTCTAGCCACATAGTGTTGACTTTTCAGTACTAGATCTTCGAGCCTCTTGGCGCGGCTGCATACAAACATATCACAAATGTTACGCCCCCCATCATTCTCATATTATCACCATTTAGAAAACATTAAACAATCAAACTGCCTCTTATTACTATGCAAAATAAATGCGGCCCAATTACTATATCGGAGAGGTACCCAAACTCACTAAGTTCTGGCAGAACTTGGTGATATGAACATGCTGTAGGGTAGGTAGGCAGGAGGAGCAGGGTTAGCCCGCTCAGTGCCAGAACAGCTCATTCTTAGTACTATAGACGTACATTACCTGTTTCTTCGCCTTGTCATAATCCTGCAGGATGCGGCTGACCGTGTACGGAATTCCACTGAGCTCCCTACAGTTAACATTTAAAAAATAAAAATAAAGTGGACTCAATGATTTCAACCAATGGGTTGGCACGCTTTTCAGCATTGGCCGTCGCTGGGTAGGGGGATGAATCTTGAAGCTATTCATAGCCTCCTCCTTCATTTGGAGATTCCGAGAGAAAGGCACAGCATCAAATCGCCTGAATCTATCTTGACTTGCGCGCCCAAAAGCTAAGTTAATTCGAAAGAGGGTCGAAAAAAGTCGTCGTTTCGAACATTCAGAAGAAACGGCTCGCCTGAGGGAAGCAACCTATGCTGCAAACACTTTACGGTTTGAGGTGATCGAGTGAGGCTTAGCCAGATTTTCGGCGTCGCACATTTGTTGCCGTCGTCGAGGTAGCACCGCTGAAATTGACCCTGCCTCCTTTAGCCAATTTGGAACATGGTTACGAAGCTTCTTGGCCCGTAGGATAGCCTGACCAACTGTGACATTTTCCTCTTGCATCTGAGAACATGGACAGCTGCACCGTTGCTGCAGCATTGCACGGCATCTCGTATCGCCGACACTCACCTCAATGCTGCTTGCTTGTGACACGTGCAGGGCAAACAATTACGAGCTAGGCATGAATTCTGAGCAGCGCTGTTGGTTGCAGTGTGATACCCATCAATGCGCCCACGAAGTTGGACGGGCGCCTACCTGTCTGCTTCAGACAGATAGGATGGAGCCCCGCCCGAGCATTCATTTCGATATGCTGCAGGAACAGGCAGCTGGATGCGCAGGCTGGGATTTGGAAACAGATAGCTGCGGGATGGAGATCTGGCCATTATGCATGGCTCGAGGTATAGCGACGATACATCCTAAATGCCATCCATGCAGAACATCCGATGACGAGTTCAAGAATGCGCGATGGGGCCGTCTATCGCCGTTGCATTTTTGACTGCTGGGAGTTGCGGCCTCTTTAAAAACGCGCTTGTTGGTGGGCTGTCTGTCCGGCACCCCCCCCACACGTCGCACGAAGGAAATTCTCGCCGTTTCAGGTACCTTACGTACCTCTGGCCCAGGCCTTGATAGCCTGTGCGGTCTGGATTTACGTGCGCTTGAACAACGAGGCATACAGTTTGCCTCTGCTCCTCTCTGCTCGCTTTCATGACATACTTGCCGGGGGATATCCCACCACTCCTCCATCCCTTTACACGCCCTTGAGGCTCGGCAGAGTGGCGGGATTTCGATCCGCAGCGGGACATTACTCATACGTCATGTAAGGGACCGTCCAAGCGCCGGGCGGCATGACACGGCCAAATCGAACATGATAGGATACCTTTCCCAGCTAGTGTCAAGTGCCGACATGGGGGCCGAGTTAAAGGGTCTCATTGGGTGGTGGCCGGCGATGCCAATTTGTATCTCTGCTTTTGCGACAGACAAATGTCCCATCCCCAAGAGGGGGCTGCAAATCTCTGTACGTGTGAAGGGGATACCCCATGCGTTGTTGATCGTAGTTGAGCAAGTACTTACCTATCTCTGAGAAGATTTTCTCTCCTGGCGCTACGCGAGACCTGTTAGAGAAATGTCACGCAAATCTGGTGTCCCTTGGCGTGGAGAATGTAATCAATACCGCTTCAAGTGTGCTCATCGCAATCAGGGCTGTCGACAATTCCAGCAAGTTGTTGGCTATGCAGGTCAAAGGCTTCGCAATCCTATTCATAAACCCTGTCGGCAGTGAGCTAGAACTGGGTTCGCCCGGAGGAGCGCCAGCCATGAGATTGGTCAACCGATTTGGCGGCGCTCTTTTTGTATCCCTGGCTGGTGGAATGGTGGATGATTGATCTTCAACCCCATTGTGCGCCCGTATCTGGTACCAGAAGCTGTGCGATAAAGGGCGAGATTTGGTTTTCTGGCGTGTACCAGAGACGTCTGGAGTGTCAGGGGCCTGTCAGGAGATCATGTGTAGATTGTGGATGCAGGCAGGCAGTCCAAGGTCACACTCAGGCGCCCATCAACGTTTGTTTGGCTGCTTGGGTCACCGACGGATCCCGTGGAAGCGCGGCTCCAATGGGGGTTGTGGGCTGAGCTGCCCGGGAGGGGTCATGGAGGAAATGAAGGCATGGCGATTGTGTTTCAATCCCCTCTGGTGCTGCCGATGAATCCTTGGCAATGGATTTACCCTGGTCCTGGCCAGTTTCCCGGACCAGTCTCCACACTCAGTCGCACTCAATGGCCCCGTTTCACCATTCCGTATGTCCTCTACATCGGGGTTTTAATGCTCGACCCTTCCCTTTAGATGTATGCTTCTCTCCCTTGAGGGTCTTGACTTGTCCCAACCGAGGAGAAAGCGCATCCGACCGATTCCTGGGGATTCGTCCGCTCGTTCATCAGCTCAACCAACTCACTCACTTTACTGTCACTCGCTATCGATAGTCACTCACTCACAGCTCTCTTACACGCTTCCCATTCTTTGACCGGCATTTGAGGATCGGCCTCTCCGTCTCTCCCACAACTGTTTCTGACTGAATCGCTGTACATTCCGTGCAAGGACATATCCCCGCTTCTTTTTTTACTGTCCTTTCTGGAGGATCTGACCGGTACTCCACGAAACCAAGGCTCGCCATTCATTTGTAAGTGGACGAGATTCTTGCGCACGTGCGCAAGGACGACTAGGAATCACAGGAGGACCAGTCTAGTAATACGATATATGTCTACAGCTCAACTTTCCCGGACCGCCCGATTTGTTGCGCAAGTACTTTGTTCGGGTGGCCAACTTGGTAGAGGGACTTGAAGGAAACTCAACTCGTCTCACCGCCGTCAGTTGAACTGTTGGACAGAATCAAACCTGAATTACCGTACGTCATTCCGCGAGTGCTTTTCTTTTCAGGATTATGGAAAGGAGAGAATAGAAATCCTATTATACTGGGTTGTCTATTTCCTATCTGCCCTTGGCAACCAGTTGGTGGAGATCCGGTGTGGTGGCCAAATGCTGAGACATATCGCGGAGCAGGCACTCATCTCGAACACTCGACCAGACGCTGGAATTGTGTCTGCGGCACCACTGAGCTGGGCATTCTAGTTCTTCCGCCCTGACAAGGTATTTGACCAGCCATCAATAGCGCTGGAACGCGTCCGACCGAGGCAGTGCCATTTGCGCGTGTCGACAATCGCGACCTCGGGCTGGAATTCTATTGGTTTCAGAAGTCGTGGACGAGGCAGGGAAAATCCAAAGACTTCGCCCCGGAGGGATAAAGTCATTGAATAGCCAGCCAAACCCACGAATTGCCGACCGGTCCTGCGAGTCGATCTGGGTATCTTCTCTTCACCGAACCAACTTTTTTCATTCTTATACCATCATCTTTCTTTCCTGACGACGGCAGTGCCGCTTCAGTCGAACCAGTAAGTTTGCTTTGTGATCTTTTCAGGAGTTCTAGCATCATTATTCCATTCCCTCCCACCATATCTCAACAAATTTGATTTGCACTGTTGCCCCTGGTAACTCTTGATGCCCTGCGCTCGAATACAACGCTCGTTTCCCCAACAGCCTTTTACTGTGCTTGGTTTTTGCACTTCGTTGAGAGCGGATAAACATTCTAAGAGTCGGGCAGCTGCTGGCAGCTGCATCATCACCTGCTTAGCATCTGCGAGTGCGGTGAGGCTCATTCTGCCGCCGCTGCACCTTCACGCGCTGCCCTCAATAGCGCCTTCCCTCTTTCTCAGAACGTGTTGTCATTTCTCTCACCTTCATTTCCCCTCTCAACATCAACAATAAGCCTTATTCGTCTCGAGAAGTTACGACTGCTCATCCACGCACTCGGCCTCGCGCCTTCCTGCACAACTTTCTCCTCTTCTCATCTCTTATCCACGCGATTTGTTCCAACTAACGCCTGACACTTGGCAGCTCTCACTGTGCTACTCACACTCTTTTTTACTCCCTCTTTTGCCAACGAAAGCACCACACACCTACGCTGGTCTGGTTGGATACTTGTTGCCATGCTCGCCAAAACCTTGATCGCCGCATGTGTCGGCTTGCTGGGCAGCGCCCAGGCTTTTTGGCGCATGGAGTGCCCTGGCCGAGTCGGTCTTGCTCGAATCGACCCGATTGTTAACCCAGGAGAGGTCTCGAAACATGTTCACGCAATTCACGGGTCCAATGGTAAGTAGTTGAACTGATGCTAGTAAGCCCGGCTCGGGGACTCCCGAGCTAGCGTCACATCCCGTGGGGGTATGAATCATGGCATGCGGAACGCTGACCAGACGTTTGACTAGGTATCGGGATGACGGCCGATTCCGCGTCGCTCATGGCTGGAGATTGCACATCGTGCCGTGTCACTCAGGATATGTCTGCCTACTGGCACCCTGCTGTGTACTTCAAGGATGCGGTCACCGGTCAGTTCGAAGTAGTAAACCAGACTGGTGGCATGCTGGCGTAAGTGGCCCTTTTCACATCCTCCCATGTCGGTCCTTTCAATTGCCGATAGTTCGTCCGGGGTCCTAACTTTGATTTAGCTACTATCTCCTCAACGCAGAGAACATCACTGGATACCCTGCCAACTTTCGCATGTTGAGTGGCACTACCTCGCGACGTACATATACGGCTGGCGACCCAAGTTTGGCCGATCCGGCACAGTCTCTGTGGAAATCCCTCGGTCAGACTACTCAGGAAGACCTCGAGCAGAGAGCCCTTGGGTTCAACTGCCTCAACTACGACAGGGCTGCTGAAGGCACTCTCTACCGCCACTACATGCCCGATAAGGCTTACCTCGATGCAAACTGCAAGAATGGATTGAGACTCGAGATCATGTTCCCATCATGTTGGGATGGCGTAAACACGGACTCTGGTAACAGCAAAGACCATGTTGCCTATCCTGATCTCGTGATGAACGGTAACTGTCCCGAGACCCATCCTGTCCGCCTCCCTGGCCTGTTGTATGAGGTCATCTGGGAAACTCAGGCTTTGGTTGGCCGTGACGGAATTTTTGTTGTGTCTAATGGCGATCCTTCGGGTAAGTTAGCTCCTTCACAGCCTGTGACATATTGAGAGCATATACTAACTTTAATCTTCCGTCTCACAGGCTTCGGGTATCATGCTGACTTCATCATGGGATGGGAGCCTGGATTCCTCCAGGAAGCCATTGAAACCTGCACCAACGCGTCTGGGAAGATTGAAGACTGCCCAATCTTCAATGTCGTAGACGAGGCCACAGCAAGAGAGTGCAAGATGAAGACGCCCTCAGTCTTAAGTTCGGAGAACGTCAACGGCCCTCTTAGTTCATTGCCCGGAAACGTCGAGATCACTTATGGAGATGGTTCGTCGGACGGCGATGACGATAGCAAACCTTCAAAGACTACTCCCGCTTTGACTTATGCCCCAGGGCAAACCCCTTCAGACGCTGCTTCGCCGCTACCTGGTCAAGTGTTCAAGGAATCCTCGGTTTATGTGGCTCCGGTTCCGACCACAACCAGTAGCAGCTCTAGCACAAGTAGCACTAGCAGCTCCTCGATTACTACCTCAACCAGTGAGGTAGTCATCAGCTTCTCGACTACCTCGAGCAGTGAGGTGGTCATCAGCTCCTCGACTACCTCAAGCAGTGCCGAGGTCTTCGTTGAACAGACGTCTATCCCTGTTCCTACAACCTCAGCTCCCAACCCAGTGAATCCCAATGCCAACTACGTGTCTACCCAGTACATCACGAATGGCAACATTGTCACTAAGATTTTGTATGAGGAGGAGCTTATATGGGTCACGGAGCGAATCGAGGCAACCGGCACTGTCACTATCACTGGTACCGGTCCCCCCACATCACTACCTGAAGGAAGCATTCAGCGAAAGAAACGCGCAGCCCATATGCATGCTCATGCACATGGGTATAGGTACTAGCAAATGAGTGAGAAAGCCCAAAAAAAAGCAATCTGTCGTAAAGGCACCCCGGAAGGATATCATATGGATGTGCGGTTGTTTTTGTTTCTATTTTCTTTTTGATTTACTTCGACTTTCTTGATCTGGACTGGCTCCAGATGCTGGCTTCTCCCTCAAGCAAGGGCCTACATTAGGTTGTGGGCAAAGATCTGACTTAAGTCTTTGAGAATATAAGCCTTGAAGAAAATATGCGAGCAGTTTTATCGGCAGCAGTGGGCGGCGAATGGTGTTTCCTTGTTTCTTTTTCGATTTCGTACCGCAATCGTGCGATTTATGACTATGGATCTCCCATCATAGCTTAGGTAGTTATTCCAACAAGAAGCATTAGGGGTGCCCCAAAAGACAAGCCAAATATTCCTCTGCAGTGACAGCGGACCCGTACGGAGAGAAGGGATGGTGATAAGCCGTTGCCAAGGTGGATGATTATTTCCCCAGGAATGCATCACGCCGAGCAACACATTCCTCTCGATATTGTCCTGAGACTTTACGGCAACGATGCAATCAAAATAGCATAAACATGGACAAAGTAAACAAAATCAGACTGGTTGGCCACGTTTTGTGGTCATTCATGTTCCTCGCTCTTGATTATTCCTTCTGATGCTGTCCGTGGTGAGGTCTACAAACAAGCTCAAGATCGTGGAAACGCCGGGCTTGCAGGCAGACTTCAAACCAACCGAAGGATATTTGTACTCACTCCATTGCAATGGATCTATTACCTATGCTTGCGAGAAGGGAAGCGTCCAAGTCATCTGGTCTTGGGCTGGGATGGTTGCTCGCAATTGGCTTAGGTGGAGGACTCCTGCTGGCTGTTGCTGTCGGCCTCCTCTTCGGCTGGTGGTACAAGCGGCGGTTCAAACCGACCGACTTGGTGACTTATGCGAATGCAGCAAACCTATCATCCGAGAGATCCCAGCAGTTTTCCTCTGGAAAACGTGGATTCCTGTCGCAATCGTCGTTCAGCCGCATGTCAAGCAGGCTCTCGATGACACTGCCTCCGGTGTTGCCACCCTTGCCGACATACAACAGTTTTACCAATGGCGCCGGCAAGAAGGAGAGAGGACGGAGCTGGGTTGACGAAGAAGCCCTCCATGGACCGCGGGTTCGAAGATTGTCCTTCAGGGACAGCTGGTTTTCCAAAGAGGGGTGGCTCAGCGCATCGCCGACCTTGCCCGACCTTGAAGAGCCTCCCCGGGAGAAGCTCGCTCAAGCACCCCCCGACAACCAGAAGATCGAAGTCCAGAAGCGCCAGGCGCCAATCAACGAGAGCCAAACAGAACCGGACCTTCCAAGCCTAACGGCGCTCCCACGTGGGAGGCCGAGGATTCCACCCCTGATGCCCATCAGATCATACGCCACAGAGTCAGACCTCAGGGATATTCTTGCTTCGACTGAACAGCGACTCCGCGATGGAGTTAGTCTCTCGCCCGAAAAGAATTCTCGAAAGTCACCTAAGAGGGGCGGGTCACCCACAAAGACTGGTTCGCCACCCAAGACGCCTCGCAGTGGACGGACTGTTGTCTCGGGCCACAGTAACGGGCGGATGACGCCCAGCCCAAGCAAGAGGGGCAGCCAACCGCCTGGCACTCCCACACCTATCAGGACACACAGCCGCAACGCATCCGTCACCTCCATTGGAAGCGTGGCCAATAGCCTCATCAGACAAGCGACCGCCGAGCTTGAGCTTCCGGGGGGTATGTCGAGCCCAAGTAGGCTAAGGGGACAGGAGTGGACGGCTCCTCAGCAGAGGCAACCGATCCCCCAACCCCAATTCCAACCGCATCCTCATTGGCAGCAAGGTGTCATGGGAGGCAGTTCAGGGCGGGACACCAGGCCGCAGGAGGAAGAATACCTCCGCCGCGTTTCTATCGAGAGCGAGGTATCCAGTGCCCTGTCGACGCTGTACAGTGTCGGTGAGCCCGAGGAGGAGACCCGGCGTACTGAGACTGACGACCCTTTTGTTGTGAAGGGTACGAGGGAAACCAGACCGCAACTCAACGGGCCGCGCCCGCTCAGACGTGCAAAGACCATCGTGGGGTTGCAAATCTTCGATGAGTCGGCTGTACCTGCGCCACTCAGAACTGTCTCAGTGAATGCTCGAACGGCGGCCCGTCCACAAAGTGAGCAGCCGAAGATGAGCAGCCTGACGCCCGTCTCCTCTACACGGTTACCACCGCCATCAATCAGCGACTGCAGGAATCAGGAAGAAGTGAGGCCCAAGAGCTCGATGACGTCAGAGATGACATCGAGATCTCTCTTCCTGTCATCGGAATCGTCAGAGGCAAGCTTGGTGTCCTGTTCTGTGCACTCCGTCGAGAGCAATACCAGCGACGAGGAGGAGCAGACTGTCACACCCAAAGCAGAGAACTTCCCCAGGCCCGCGGGCTACCGGAAGGACTCCTCCAGCCCCGAGAGCTACTCAACGCCAATAAAGCGAGGCGGCCCGGTGGCGGACGTTGGGCTATCCTCGTCCCCCCTCGACGAGCGGCAGGTTCTGTCGATGCTCGGCACACAGCCTCGGCGAGACCTCCCCGTCCCGCCCTCGTGCGCGAGCGCGAGGTCAAACAGCTGCATCATCCAGCCAGGTCCTTCTTCGCGACCGACCTCCAAGTACATGGCCATCTCACCGCCGCCCATCTCGCGCAGCGGGTCGGTCTCCAGCTCCGTCTACGACGTGGAGCCCTCTTCCCACGAGGACCAGCACACGGAGCTGCCCAGGGGCTTGGGGAGCACGCTCTCGATCAGGGGCCAGACGGTGGGGAGCACGATCGCGGAGCTGAGGAGGACGAACAGCGTGGTGAGCTCGTACAGCGTCGCGTCCCTCGCGTCGACGTTCCTTAGCGACGCGGCGGCGGAGTCGGCGGCCATCCCGGCCATCAGGGGCGGTGGCTTCTCGCCGCTGAGGACCAACTCGAAGAGCGCCGCCGCGGGGAACAGGAACTACCTGAGCCTGGGCGGGATGAACGCGCTCAAGGGCAGCAGGGAAGCCCGGCAGCAGCAGAGCTACGTGGCGAGGTCTCGGTCGGCCGTCACCAACTTGGAGAAGACGGAGGCGAACAAGGAGAATCAGGTTCTTAACATGAGGACGGTGAGATTCGAGATACCGGATCAACCGCGGGAGGGCCGTCTAGGTCCGAGCCTGACTGTTCCCTTGGCAGATACCACCTCCATTGTTGCACCAGGCAGCAGCGCAGATGAGCAGGAGCGGCGAGCGCAGCCGCAGCATCAGAGTAACCAGAGCATAGAGAGCACAGGACTGTACGACAAGGATGGATTCTTGATACCGTCGCCGGCGAAGAACAGTAAGGGCGGCCGGTGGAGGATGTGAGAACTGGCATCTACCTCCTTTCCAAATTTCATTTGTCCGGGAGTCTTCTCCCCATTCTCTTCATCACCAACTAGATATTTTCTTTTTCCTTTGTTTTATTTTTGGATTTCTCGGTTTCGACGGACATATTCCTATCTTTGAGAAATTTAATACTAGAGGGCGGGCTCATGTACATATTGAAAGTAAACATACCAGTACTCCCATCGGCATTTGTTTTGAATAGGGCCTAATAATTCCATCTATCTTTTTATCTGATATTTTCTCCGTTGAAACGCCTTTGCTCGTGCACTCGTCAGATGACCCTGATTATTTTCCATCGCCCTCTCGCTCTTTGCTTTACTCTGTCCGTGGCCGCTTGGACTCCTCAGGACCGTCTCCGTTGACGCCATCGCCCTCACCCTCCACCTCGTTCCGGCCACGCGTTCTGCCCGCCCCGTCGCCGAGGGCCTCGGTCTCCTCGCCCCCCTCTCCGATCCAGTTCCCGTCCTCGTCGAAGTACTCGTGGACGTTGTCCGCCGTGATCCAGCCGCCGCTGCCTGGCATGGGAGGGGGCAGGGACCCGTCTGCCGCGCCGCGCAGGACGCCCGAGTAGCCCGCCAGAGCCTCGTGCTCGGCGCTGCCCTCGAAGATGATGCGGTCGTAGTTGTCTTCGTCCTCTTCCTCGTCGTCGTTGGGGTCGGGGTGCAGGTTCGAACAGTTCGCGACGGCCTCGTATAGCTGCTTGGCGGGGGATGGGGCGGCGGCGTCCTCGGAGGGCGGGGGGATGATGGTGAGGTCTACGGTGTTGAAGTCGTCGTCGTCGCTGCCCCCGTCGGCGAATTCGAGCTGGAGCCAGACGGCTTGGGTCGGGCTGTCTTGAGAACCGACTTGCTTGATGGCGTGGATGGAGATGGAAGGGTAGGGAATCGAGGCGCCTGCCTCAGCCTTGTCGCTGAAGATTGTGAAGGTTCTGCGACGCGTCAGTCAATGTTCGGTGTTCGAGAGGTTGCGGAGGGTTCTTACTCCGAGTTGACGAAGACAGTCACTGGCTGCTCCACCAGCTCTTCGGTCTCGCCATTTGCGCTACTCTGCTCTGCCGTAGGAGAGTCGGCGGGGAATAGGGCTAGGCCTCCACACTGAGACTTGGGAATGGTGGCCTTTGCGCCGGTGAGATGGTAGTGGAGGACTGGCTTGCCTCCGATGAAGGTCTCGGGGGTTTGTGATTGGTATTCGGCCAGCGGCACGTAGTCCTCTAGCGAAGGAGGGGATCGGATTGTGGTGACCGGCATGGCGAGGTATCTGTGTGTAGCAGCGATCGACGTGGGGGATCACAATCGTTGTATTTGTTGCTGGCGCGAATGTCTGGATGAAGCTCAAGATTTTCTTTTTCCAGCCAAGGAGCTGAGCTTAACGCGGGGTGCTGCTGCTAGAGCGGGTGCTTATCTTATCAGGTCAGATGGTCATCGTCATCACGTCACGATCAGCAGGGACTCGACTGCCTAAACCTAAACTTATTTCCCATCTGAATCCCATCCAACACACTGAGTCAATTGATTAATTGAGCGAAGACCGATTATCACGGGACACTTTACAACACTATCGAGCTGGGAAAACGACCAGTACGCGCTATTTAGACGACCAGACGATCGCGTCGCAATGCATAACAACCGTACGCTTACTCCGCCTGACTTGGGGTGGTTGGTTACAGATACACTGACCTTCCTTCTTCTAGGCCCTCATCACCTCCTCGAGCAGGTGCCGCTCACCGTTTCGCCTTTCGTTTCGCTCCCGACTGCTACTACGCTTTCATACAACTACAAAACCATGCCCTCTACTATCCCGACCTCGTCGCTTGGCGTCGCCACCGCATCAGACGACCCCTCGTCGCAACCGAAGCCCAAATACATAATCTCTTCATCAGGCCACGCAGCGCACCCAGACGACATCATAGCATCATGTCGGGCGCTCCAGGCACACATCACAAAAATGCAGGAGGATGCGGAGCGGGAGCTGCGCGAGTTCCAGGAGCGCATCGACGACAGGGAGCTGGCAGAGAAGCGGAGGGTCGCGCCCGGCTGGCTAGACAGCGACGCCAGGATGCTCGAGCCCGAGAAGGCTGGGGGCGACCAGACCCTGATGGACAACGAGTCGGAGGAGCAGAAGGCCGTGACGGGCCAGCAGGCGGCGGTCGCGGACGAGGGGGCAGCACTGGATCGAGCATTTGGGGGCATGGCGTTGAAATAAGCACTCGTATTTCTGAGTTTTCTCTCTCCTTTTCCTCTCCAAAGTAGCTAATTAAACGATATTACAAATATGTTTAAAGCTCCCGATGAGGGAGACGAAGGTTATGTACAATATCTCAGCAAGCAAGCGGCAGCTCGTGGCTATCCGTTTCCCTCCCCCCCTTTACATCGATCTACGACTGGATTAGGTTGTATAAATTTACATCATGTTGACGGCAGCGAAGATGGCAGCGCCAGCAATGAGACCTGTGGAGCCGAAGAGCTGGGCAGCTCCGGCAGTAGTAGGAACGGGGGTGTTGGGGGAGCCAGTGGTGATGGTCTGGTAAATCAAGAGTTAGCACGGGAGTCGGACACATTGAAGATCAGCGGTTCTTACGGAGTTGCCACCAGCGATGCTGGAGGTAGGGACACGGGAAGTGGGGGTACTGACAGCAGAGCCCGGGGTGGTGGAAGAAGCAACAGCGCCGCTGGAGGCGGAGGCGGAGCGAGATGTGCCAGTCTGAACGGCAGAGGATGAGGGAGCAGCACCGCTGGAAGAGACGGCGGCGCTGGAGGAAGCAGCGCTAGAGGAAGCGGCAGAGGTCTGGGCGGCAGAGGACGCGGCCGTGGAGGTAGGAGCAGCGGAGGTGGGAGCGGCGGAAGTGGGAGCAGCGGAAGTCGACTGGGCGCTGCTGGAGCCGGTGCTGCCAGTGGGCTTGGGGGTGGCATCAAGACCGCACTTGGTGGCGGCGGCCTTCAATCCGTTGCCATAGTACTGCCAGATGTCGAATTCAAGGGCGCAGTCAAGACAAGCGTTGAACTGGCGGGTGAAATCGCTGTTGTCGCAGCTGAAGTCCGACGCCCTGGAGAGCTGCAGAGCAGTACCTACGGAGTTGTCAGTTCTTGGCAAGAACTGCTTGTCAAAGACGGGGTGTTATCTTACCGCAGTTGGCGTGGCACTCGTAGCGGGGGGTACCAGGCTCCTGACGCTTCTCAACCAGAGGAACGTTGTCGGGGAACTCGAAGGTGTCGCGGCGGGTAATGGAGGCAGCACTGACAGCAGTAGCTGCGAGGACGACGGTGGTAGAGAAACGCATTGTGGATTATGAGGGTGTTCAAGCGAGTGACAATGAGGGTCAATGGATCAGAGAAGGTGTTGATGGGCTCTGTCTTTCGAGTTAGAGGACTGGACGAGTGTGCTCCAACCCATTAGGAGATGGAAAACAAGCTTACTTATACCCTTCTTTTGCAGCGAGCGGAATCTGCAGACTCCCGTCGGGCATGCGAGGGACGCCCTCAGCACCCACTTGCTCAACCGGACCTGGGATTCTGTTGGCCAGCCTCATCCCTGCTCGATCCAGCGTTCATGTTGCAGTGACGCTCTTCGCATTAGCTCCGAGAGCGCATCCATGACTAGTTGGTGCCAAACGCACTTTTGAGTCTCAAGGGGGGGGCCTACCGTTGGAGGAGGGGTTGGCCGATGCAAAGATTTTACCTTCCGAAAGTCGAACCACCTTGACCCTCGATGCTCATTCGCCACCGCGTTCGGCTTTATTGAATATGAAGTAGCGAGACCGGCCCTAGCTAAGCGAACCCTGGTCCAATGCCTTTAAGGTAGGAGTTAACAGTAAATTGACAAGCAAAGCGTCGACCCTGTTTTATGGGGCCATGCGGGCTCTCAGCCAATGGACGGCACCCCCACCATCAGATAAGATTATTTAATCCTTGGTTATCTGATCATCTGATAATAATGCCTCACCTTCCGGAGCCCGCAGGCCCGAATTCGCCTGCTTGGCTGGTAGCAATAGTTGTTTTGGCTGGGGCGCTACATGTGACGCGGGTTAGAAAGAGGAAGCTCTTGGAGTCTTGGCTGCATGTACTTGCGTCCCAGATGACACTTTAAAGCTCGTTGATACGACGGTGAATGCCGCTTCGTGCATGCCACTTGTTCGTATTGGCTGGTCTGCGGGCTCCTCCCCCCCCTCATACCCGGTTTAACCGGAGTTGGGCCCAAAATCAATAGATCATCTCTACGGGACAGAGGTGGTGGCAGAGTTTTCCTGCCCTCGGCCGTGATGGGGCAAGGTTACCGCAGATGCTGCTGGAGGCGGGTTGTGTTGTCGCCATAGCGAAAAGAGGGGCTGGCAGACTTGGCGATATTGAGTATATGAAGTGGCCAACCGACCGTTGTGCTCTCGGAACCATGCGTGCGTCCTTTTGCCTTTGCTCACTATTCCTCTTGATACCCCTTTCTCCATCGTAATCTCGGTTCGCTGCACAATGTTTTCCAAGTCCGTTACCGCCGGCCTGGTCCTCTTGGCCTCTATCGCCTCCGGACAGGAGCCGAAGTACAAGAACATGGGCCCTGCTGCCTTTATGTGGCCTCCCGATCGGGTCTGGTCCGGGGATACTGATAACACCGCCCCATGTGGTTCTGTTGCCTCTCCCAACAATAGCAACAGAACTGACTTCCCTCTGGGTAAGTTTTCTTCTCCATCGACTGGCGTAAAACAAGACTATTAGGGACTTCATCTAACAGATTCCATGTAGACAAGGGCCAAGTTGCTCTCGTTGCCCAGGATGAGTCTTACGACATCCAGCTCAGCGTCGCTTACATGGCCGGTATGTCTCCATCCCTTCTTTTATCAGGATCACCTCGTGTTTGTTTGAAAGTGAAGAGCTAATAGGAAAATAGACCCCAAGTCGAACAGTGACTTCAAAGTAATAACAACCCCCGAGCAGTTCCGTGAGATGGATCTTGGCCACACCTGCGTTCCAGTCGGCGACATTCCCGATTATGTCAAGAGCGGTGACTACGCCACTTTCCAGATCAAGTACATTGCCGACTTTGATAAGCCTGAGAACCAGACATTCTATGCTTGCACAGATGTCAAGTTCGTTGAGGAGAAGGCCTTCACAATTTCCATCCCTTGCTTCAACGCCACCGAACCCGATGCTGATGATGAGGCTGGGCCTGGTTTCGACTACCACTCTTCCGTTTCCGTCACCTCTGCAGCTCCTACCAGCACAGCTACTGGAAGCTCAAACAGCGGATCTGATTCATCCAAGGATGGTAGTTCGTCCAGCGGTGGCGGTGGTCTCTCCAAGGGTGCCATTGCTGGCATCGTTGTTGGATCCGTCGCTGGTGTTGCCATCATCGCTCTCGCCGCAATCTTCCTCTACCGCCGCAGACTCCAGAAGAACAGAGTCGTCCGACAACAGAAGTTTGAGCAGGGCGTTGAAGGTGCAGTGGGCAAGGACTCTACCTCTAACAACAGTGTTCGCATGAACAACCTCTAGATGATTGCACTAACAGCAGCTTGGGAGGAGAGGAAACTGGGGATTTACGCATCATGTTATTCACGGGGATATTCTATTGGGCCTCACTTAACTGTTGAGGTTCAGGCCCATTATGTTTTGGAAGGATTATGATCATTGTATATAGATGACCTCTATAATCAAGTTAATGATAGCTCGGACTTGAGCACATTGAGACAACTTGGCCCGACTCCTGTGCCTGCAAAGGAAAACGACTTCCAACAACGTTGACTAATACATACAGCGAATGCTACATCTTGACAAAACATATTCTGACACGCCATCCCGGAATCAGGAGGTGACCATGGATTGTACGCAAAAAGCCTGGAAACCACCCCTGCGCTGGTCAGCCATTTGTTATTCCAACCTGGGAAACACTGTCGATCCAAGGTCCGCCTACCAAAGCAGGAAATCACCCCTATCCATGAATAAAACTGGATACAGTTTATTCCATCTGACCTGAATATTGGCTTTCCGACTTGGCGCTGGTCTCCCACATCTCGAGATCCTTCATCGCGAATACGTGTGGCGACCCCCCCAGTCTTTGCTCGGATATTAGCTCGGAGTTCGTGGGTGGCTGGGATGAGATGTAGGTTGGATACTAGCGAGCCAGTCGTTTTGCCAAGTGATGGGACACTGACTCATGGGCGAGTAATAGTTCCAATACTACTCTCGTTTCCTTTGCCTCTAAATGGCATTCTGGGGGTTGGGGGATCCGCGGCTTCCGTACTTTTCAGGCCCGTGGTCGTAGCGATTATAATCATCATCGTCCATACTGCTGACGCTGATAATCGTGTTTCTAAAATTATTCAGGCCCTGGTTTTCGGAGATGACGGTTCTGGCAGTGTTCATCTCGTACTGGCTCCCGCCAACGTGGGTGTCAGATCTGGCGTCAACGTTGGCAGCCAGGTTCTCCGCGGGTGTTATCTGATTGCAGGGACCAATTTGACTGGGAGGATCCGTAGTATTATTGTTGTTGTACGTATTTCTGGGCGTCTCGTGGTGGATCTCATCTTGGAGGCCCATATCCCTCAAGATGTCAATATTGTTGCCCACGGCTGGGTCGTTGCCGAGACTGTAGCTGGCATCGACATCCTTGCTTCTGTCTTCGATCCTGCTACTATTTTCATTGTCTTGAGAGCCGTCTCTATCATTTATCTTCTTCTTCTTTTTCAGCTTCAAACGCCAGAGACAGACGGCTGCAACAAGAGCAAAGACAACAAACGCGACAACACCGATAACGATGCCGATAATCGCACCCTTGGCCAGAGCGCGCTTCTTATTATCATCATCATCGTAGTCATCATCGTCGTCGTCGTTTCGGGTTATCAACGAGTATCTCTGGTATTCCATTATGCGTGGGACAGCTACGGCAAAGGCGGCTGGCAACGCCAAGATATTGACAGTAATCCTCCTCGGAAGATTCATATTTAGAATTTGATTTTGAAAAAATAGAGTACTAGAGAATCCCATGAAGAAAAGAAGAAACAAACATCAATTACTGGCAACGGTCTTATACATCTGACAGCGTAAGCGATCCATGCTAGCTGATGGCTGCATGAACTTGATGACATTTACTGGGCACGATTGGTTGGCCCAAGCTGTAATGCATAAAATTGACAGCTGTCGGCACTTCCTAGGCTGTGCCCCTATGAAGACGCTACTCCTGAACTGGCTCTCGACCCGAATAGTAGTGCATATAGGCATCTTGTATTTTTGTAAGCCGGAGCGGAGCAGTTCGTCCTTTTGAAGATGTTTCTCTAGATGGGACCATCGAAGCTTTCTCTCATTATAATGGCTCCTTGCCCGTATGACTATTGAAAACGCATCTGTTGTTCCGAATACTGGTTTTATTCTAGGCCTGGCGTTCTGGTATTTACATCACGCCAAAAACCCATGGGTTTGCCAATTATGCTAGAGTGGTAGTGGTGTGATGCGTTGGCCTTAGCCTCCTACTTTCCAAACTTGAAACGGCACGACACCCGTGCGTTCATGCCAAGACTTGTCCATGTCATCGTAATAATGAAATTACTCTAATGCGCTGAAAGCAGCCAGCTAGATTCTAGTGCAGACAATAACAGCGAAGTTGTATGGCTCGCCTCATTCTGCAAAGGTTATTCAGGCGAGTTTCTAGTATAAGTTGGGTAGTATAAGTGACAAAGCATACAGAGTTGCTAGAAGCCTTCTCTTAGGAAGGAAAATAAATAATGTGAAGGGCCACGTATGTTCTTGGGAATATAGTACTTAAAAGTCCTGCGCTATAGCAGCTCGGGGGGAAGGGTAACCAAGACTTTTCAACACGTGAGCGGCCTGCCTGACACAGCCTTGTATTAGTAGCACCTGAACCATCTCAATCCATGTATTACTTATCAAATTCAAACATAAGGGACACTACAATAGGTGGTAATAATGAAGACCGATAGGGCAAGCCGTAAAAGAAAAGTCGATTATCCTAATTATATCCTTACTTTTCAATCAATCTCCCGTTTACGCTTCCGTGTCCGCTCTGCCCGTCCTTCAGATAGTTATTAAGTATTGATCATCCCTTCCGCACGTAGATGGCCAGATCACCAAAGCGAGAGTAACAATTAGGCAACTCAAATTCGTCATAGTCTTGGAGTAGTTTCGCTGTGCGGGGCGAGTCGTGGTCGGTATAATATGGTCTAAATTGGAGTGAGAATTCCGTTAGTTTCGTATACATATACGCTTAGCATATAGTGGTAGGATAGACACTCACGCAGATAATCCCTCCTTCCCTTGCCTCGTAATGACTTTGTATTCAGCTTTTTCTTCAGAATATCGACCTTTATTCCATATCATGGCCGCTGGCTTGGCGATGTCAGCCACAATCTGCCTCACTGGTATATTGGGATGACAACTGAACACGAGTGTCTCTTCATCAACATGCGTGAATCCGAGAGACCCGAAGCCACCTATCACCTCGATGCCGACTTCTTCCAATACTTTCTTGTCAGCCTCGCTATACGCTGGATCCTGAACCATAATCGGAAGTGGCTCTCTGCCCAATCGTTCGCCTAGAATTGTTGACAATGTAAGTGCTGCAGCATGTTGCGTTCCCGGGCCATGAACCGGTAGACCGTCATCCGCCATACGAATGGGATCTTCAATAGATCTGGCTAGACTTCCCAGCCCGAAGCAGACAATTCTTGTGACTGCTCTTGATTTATCAACAGTACTTCCAATAATCGCACATAGCTCCTTACAAAGGCTGCTGTTGAGCCAATTCTGTCGAGCTTGGGTCCAGGATTGCTGCACCTTGGAATACTCGGCATTTGATTTTCCAAACGTTGAAAAACATATCTTAACACCTCGAGTGGCGAGTGTTTGGATTTCTTCCTGAGTGAAACGGGAATAGTGGTCCCTATTAGACTCCAACATACTTTGCTCTGCTCTCTCGATGATCCTTTGGTACAATTCAAATCTAAGTGCGATCGAACTGTTGTATTCTAGGGTAAGTGAAGTATCACCTAGTGAGGAAATCAATTTGGAACTGACGGAATTTCATCACCACCAGAAATTTTGATTGGTGGTGGGGAAGGCACAAGTTGTCCGATACTCTTTCCATTCACTTATTCCTAAAGGTTAGCCCTAAAGCCAAGTCTAGGTCGCTATGGGCTCATGCAGAATACGCACTGCTTCGTATAGAAATTGTCTCTGGAAGCGGGTTTTGCGCTAGTTCAGCTTCGATATCGGATAGCATCGCCTTCGTCCACAGCTTTGCACCAGAGGCATAAAGATCTTTAACCCACTGAACCAATTCCTGAGTGGATTTGTCCATCTTTGGGTTGTTCAACCGATCGGCCTCGGCCTGGACTGACTCGTCATCGTGGAGGACAGCATCCCACTCGGCCTCGGCATATGTGTAGGTCAGCATTGTTGGGATGGAGATGTTTTCCGTGGTGGACGGACGAGAGTGGCGATGAGGCCACCCCGCAAGGAGGGTCCATTTAAGCACAGGAGCACAATGGACCGGCTGTTGCGATTGGTCGCTTCTTGACCCGTGGATTACGTGGGATTCTGGAAGTCGCTCTCATGTGGTACACCGGTACCAACAAGCATCCGCAGCGATAATCACATTTGTTGCTGCCAGCCGAGAGCCTACTCAAATTCACCTTTCTGTGCCTGAAGATCACTGTGGCATAGGGACATGAGGCTTCTAGCGCTGGGTAAATAACACAATCCAAAGAAATGGGGTTTTCTTGCGTTGGAAGTTGGACTTCTTGGTCGATTAAGGCTTCTGATTACTTCCTAAATTGGCATGACCAGAGCCTCATGCCCCGAGCGAGGCAACTGTCCCTTGGGGACTCAACAATGATGCCCAATTGTGCAATTGATTCACGTAGGGGTGGACCTGGTGTGCTATTGTTGCCGTTTTTCAGTCAGTTTCGTCCATTGTCCGGTCGTGCCTTTTGCCCCATACCAGTTGCCCACGAACGCACCTTCCCTCGGCAACCAGGAGAGAACTTGAATTCATGTTTGCCTCAGGCCACATCCAAATCCCTCTCCCACTTGTCTTTTCTCTCTCACACTCTGCTCCTCCTTCTAATTCTCCTCAAATCCCTCCTCGAAGGATTCTACTCATGAGAGAGAGCTCTATTGCCGCGAAGGCTCAGCCAGTCCCCCCTCGAAAGCACTGCACTCCTAGTGGGATTTACCCCAACTCTTCCAATCCTTTCTCGCGCCTCTTGGGCACATCAATTCAAATGAGCTCCCGCTCAGGAGCCTTGCAAGGCTCGAAAACCTCGTTGACATCCCTTCCACCTGAGATTCTGCAAGTGATCTTTAGCAACTTTTGCGAGCATTGTGCATCAACAAATTGGTTTGATGATGCGAAAAAGCGTCCTCTCTCTGGAGGCCAGGCGATCTTACGAGGTCTTTGCAAGGTATCCAAATTTGTCTGCTCAATTGCGCAGCCAATTTTGTTCCACGTCTTCGCATTTGATGTTATAAGACGCGATGATCATGTCCGCAGCTTTCGCAGAACCGCCTACTTTTTCCTGAGATCAATCTCTATGTCTCCCCATCTTGGAGGCAACGTCAAGGCTCTCGACATCAATATTGCGATCAAGTACTCTCTTTGCCGCTGTTGTGTTAGATCCATGTCGGAGGCCATGAATAGAGACTTGGAGGTGATCCTGAACAGCCAACAGAGTGACAACGGCTTGGCTTTCAGCGCGGACCAATTACTCCCTGAGAATAGCCATGAGACGATTATCCAGTTCATGTTGGCCTTGTTCCCCCGCCTTAAGAGCTTGACTCTTAGTATACCAAGAGACTGGAGGTTTGACACACTTTCGACCTGGTACGGCAACCAAGGAGGACCAGCATCTCGAAGATTGCTGGAATCACTTCGCTCCGCCAAATTCACCTTGGACAGACATGTGGGCGATACATGCACTCCGGAACATAGAAAGTGTAATCACCCCACTCGAGAGAGTCCTGTGGAAATGCTTCTCACCACCGCTGCCTCCTCCACTCTCGAAACTTTGCACTGTACCGCTGGAGCTCTTGAGTTTCTTCCAGACCTACCTCGTCTTCAGGAGCTGTGTTTGGAAATGAGAGGCTCGTGGTCGAAGCTCAGTCCTCTGCTGGCCAACATATCAACTCTTCTACGGTTTGCCTACCTGTCGACTAATCAACATGGTCCTTTGGCTCGAGAGGTTGAGATTGCTCTGGAACCTCATAAAGCGACGCTAGAGGTTCTCCAAATTGACTTCTGCTGGACTATTACCACCTCTCCATTCGACGAGTTCCTAGACTGGAAACCACCCGCAGACGACCGATATCAAATTACATCTCTCCGAGACTTCAGCAACTTAAGATATGCCGCCCTCGAAGCTAACCATATCTGGAACTTCGCTCCAGTAGAGACAGAGACAGGGACAGAGACAGGGACAGAGACAGAGACAGAACCACCAAGCTATAAAAATCTTTCCGACTTTCTACCCGAGTCATTGGAGTTACTCTTTCTCGATTTTGAAGGAACCCCTGGAAAAGAGCTTTTACTCCCACTAGCTCGAGCAATTTCGGAGGGAGAACACACAAAACTTGGGACTGTACTGTGGCTTGGCACCGAGGAATGGGAGTGTATGTCGATGGATCGGAAAGCTGATGAGAATTGGTTGGAGGAGGATTTTTGGAAGGAGCCGTTACCCACCGAAATGTACAATGTTAGGGGTGACCGATTCCCTGACTGGCTTGAGATGATGGGTCGGCCAAATACCCAACGTCGGTTCGGGACTACGATTTGAGACATGAGGGCTTACCAACGACCGAATATACCCTATGCATGGCCTTTTTTTTTTTCCTTTCCCATTTTCACTTTTTGTCCTTTTGACTTTTAGTCTGCTCTTTTAGTCTGCTTGATCCTTATAGGTTTTAGCAACGAGAAACAGCGAGATGGAGATTGTTGCCGGGGCGAACGTGCGTTTGTGTCATCAGGGTGGTTTTGTCCCAAGAATTATACTCGAAAAGCTGACGACCTAATAACTAGTTCGAAAAGAATGGGATATATTAGAAGAATCACGCATGGAATATCTACATACTTGCTCTTCCTACAAGAGGCCACTCTCCTTGAATGATGGAGGCATTCAGTAGTTCTACGATACTAAATGATTCACATATTAAGCGAAAATGGGATTCTCCGGGGCACAACTCAGGCTCCTGCTAGTTTCACAGAGTGAACGTGATCAAATAGGAGAAATATGGCGATGATCTTGTTCAGCAGGGGTCACCCCCTGCTGAAGTCATCTTCAGACGTGTTTATCTACCTCCTAATGAACGATCTATGTGTCATTCATTGTAAGACGAGCCAATTCACCAACGGAAGTTGCTCCTAAGGCCGGAGATAACTTGAAAAATTCCCATATTGGTGTGTAAGCATGCTCACTTACTGTTGTTCACGAGACAGCCACGAGAAACAGTACCTGAGCCTGGACATCGGTACCTTGACGTAGTTGTCTCTGCTTCTGAGTAAGTGCATATGGAAAAGTACCCAAAGCCAATTTTCCCCCAAATGCTTACATTTCAAGTTAGTTTCATATGCTATGCATACCCATGTAGTGGGAAGAGAGAATATTTCGAAGTGAGATGGCGGTCTGGGTTCAAATCGCCAGTAGAGCTCTGGCTTGGATCTCGAAACAGGCAGACATCAGGGTATACGTGGATTGGGAGCACGCCCAGTCATACAAATTGTGGTGCGAAGGGCAAGAAGCAGCAGCACGGCAACAACGCATGTGGCGTATCTCTGGGCAACTACTGCTGAGAGTGCGACGCGTGTTGCACCGTCATGTTATCCCCTCCATTCCAGTAGGTGTGCTGTTCTCTACCCGCGCACCGACACCCTCCGAACACTCTAAACTCCGACGGCCGACATCTCGATTCGCTTCTCGGGGTAAGCTCGTCGAAATACGAGTTTCTATTGGCAACGGTTTGGTTGTCTGAGACTTGCATTTCCTCTCTATCCCGTCGCTATGCCCGGAGTGAGCCACGTTATTCCCATCGGCGACATGTGAGACGTGGATAGTCTGGACCATTTCATGTGTCATGTATCTGGCGAAACGTATGAGCAGCAGGTAAGGAAAAATCCTGATTTTTCATGAACCTTTCTCCGAAACAGACCTTTTGCTGCCCAGGAATCTTGCGTGTCATGAGTGATTCATCACGGAGCCAACTGTGGAAAGCTTTTGTCTCATTATAGTGGACATAAGTTTACAAGTCACGGCGAGGTATTTTCTTGCCTGCACATTCGATTTAATGCCCAAATGAGTCTTAAAGTAGGCTCATTTGGGCGCTGTGACCCTCGTGTACAATACAGTACCTCATCGCCCTAGAGACCGTTATTGGGTCGATCGGCACGGGGAGTCTCCGCAAACGCTTACTTACTCATCATGGTCATCTTGAGTATCTAACCCACTAATATCACATCCGTGGTTAGGGAATGTTTGGATAGCTGGATCACGATTTCCACAGACCTTTCTCCATCAAGGAGGTCGTGGCTTCCAGGCATTGGTGACAGATGCAAGCCCGTGAAAAGTGAGAGAAGCATCCGGTCAAAACGGGCATCTTATTGTCTCACAACGTCGCCTTTGGCCTCCCGGTCATGTCCTCGGCGTGATATATAATCATAATAATCATGTGGTTGATGGGGGCTGCTCCCACTACGCATCGGGAGGAATCCAGCATGGTACCAAGCGAGGTGGCTGAAACCGAGATTCTGTCTTCACTGAAACAACCCGCAGCCACCATATCTCATCCTCGTGCTTTAAATGCCATGTGAAGATATAAGGGAATCATCTATCCCTGCTTCCCCCCTTTCCATACCGAGCTGTTTATATCATTCTACAGCCATCCGACCTTGGCTTATTCCTCTGCTTTTTTCTCAAACGTGCCCATCATGAAGTTCTCCAGTATCCTTTCCCTAGCCTCTTTGGCATCAGCGGCTCCGTATTTTCACAGCAATGAGGGCTCTCCCGATGCTTTAAGCGTCAAGCTGGAGATGGTTGGTAATTCCGATGTCAAGGCCAGCATCACAAACAATGGCAATGCCAAGCTCAGACTACTCAAAACTGGAACAATCCTCGGCAGCACGCCCGTCGAGAAGGTACAGGTAGCTCAAAACGGTACCACCTTTTATCCATATCCCCCCTTTTTACCCAGAACACGGAAGTTAATTATATCGAAGACCAGGAAATTGCCTTTGGCGGTGTCCATCTGATCATTGCATATGATATGCTCGAGGACGGTGCATTCCAGGACATCGACGCCGGGCAAACAGCCGAAGTCACGTTCGACGTCGCGCAGATCCGCGATCTCTCTAACGGCGGCAAGTTCGACATCTCGGCCACGGGCAGCATCCCCTTCGCCAACGAAGGGTCCAACACGGTCGCCGGCGCCGTCTCCTACGCCTCCAACAAGATCCAGGCCGACGTCGACGGCCAAAAGGCCAGCCTCTCCCGCCTGGTCCTCGACCAGAAGCGCACGGTTGTCAAGCCGGACTGCACCGGCTCCAACTACACCGTCGTCCGGGCGGCGCTGCGCAACTGCGCTAGCCTGGCCCAGGCCGCCACCCAGGCCGCGTCGTTCGGCCCGGACGCGCGCATGCAGAAGTTCTACAAGGCCGCCGACAAGACCACCCGCGGGACTGTCGCCGGCGTGTTCGAAAAGGTCAAGAACGAGTGCCTGTCCTTCGACGCCGGGGTGTCGTCCCTCTACTGCTCCGACCGCTTCAACTCATGCGCCGAGGGCGTCCTCGCGTACACGGTCGCCCAGGCCAGCTACATGGTGTACTGCAACCTCTACCTGACGCGGCTGCCCCTCAACTCCCAGTCCTGCTACGGGCAGTCCCAGTCCAACACCATCGTCCACGAGGTCACGCATCTGAGCCAGGTCAAGGGCACCAACGACTATGGCGGATACGGTGAGTGAATGCATAACACGTTACGTGATTTCTTTTGCGCTTCGGGTCAGCTAATGCCTGTGTAGGATTCGCCTCGGTTCAGAACCTGACGGCCGCGCAGAATATCATCCACGCTGACACGTATGCCCTCTTTGCGCAGAACATTTACGCTGGGTGCTAAAAGCACCGTTTTAAGTTTAACGGTTTTCACTTGATAGTTTCAGATGTATAGTTTGGAAGGTCGTTATTTTTGCTTTACAAATGTGAGCCGGCTTTGTCGGGAGAGGTGGGAAGCGAGCAAGCAGAACCTGGAGAATCTTAAAGTTGGAACAAAATCTGGTTCATGGAATTGCATACATCTAGCTTTCAATGTTGATGTGATTTGGTGATAAACTTATTCGTTGACACTGTCTTAGAGACTAATACTTTCTTTCTAGGTTGAGCACGGGGTTCTCACATCGGGGCGAAAAGAACTACTACATTATTCCAAGTCTCCCCTTTGACATATGGAAACGAGCATTGAATTCGCAAGAACACGCTTGTGGTTAACAGGCTCCTTCATGGTCACATTTGCGGGACATGCTAGTCAGATACGGTGCAGGCACTCTTAAGTCAAAGAAGGTTTGATATTTATCTTCATAAATATCCCACGATCCCCACATAAACGTTTCCGTGGGCAAATAACCCCTGCAAAACCTAACGATGATCTCCATCTCCATGCCAGTAGGGAAACCAATGGGGATGCTGCTGGCTAATGGGGGCAGCATGCTCTGCCGCCTTTGAAGAACCGTTGCAGATAAAAATAGTCGCGGGATCTATAGTCTTTGAATCTTTGAATCAAAAGCAGCGCAGTCTATTTTTTTTTTTTTTTTGGACTTGGAAGATCGTCAAGTCAGAATGAATCAATGATGTAAGATACAATTTTACCATGTCGCGCCGCCTGAAGCATGCCCTCCTAACCAGCAGATAAGTCTTTTCCAACTGGTCTAATAATTCATTTCCGGCCCTTCTTTTAGAAAACATAAAAGATACCTAACTAATAAGATCTAGAAAGAAAAGAAAAAGAAAAAGAAAAACACCTGTTAATGCCGTAACGCTGCCTATGCTCCGGGGCTGGCTGTTGCGCCGAGGCCCAATGAACCCGTTGAAAGAAGGTTCCCTCAGGGTATATGCTGTTTGTATTTTAATTAATCCCCAGGAATGCAAAAAGATGCAATGCGAGGAGCCAACCCCTGAAGCCACGCTCGAGAATGTGAAGAAGGAATGTAATAAGTGGGTTGAGTGTGGTGGAGGGTGGGTAGGATCGAGTTGATCGACTAGGCTGGGGGCCGCCGTTGGCCCCAGCCCACCACCGTTACCTCAGCAAGCGAGCGTCACCCGACGTTACAGGTTGCGCACGCCCTTCTCCATCTTGGTCTTGAGGTACTGTCTTACTTGCTCCGGCGTCTTCTGCCTGAGGGAGTGGTAGCCGTGGTTACTTAGAGGGTGCAGGAGCAGGTTGTCGTCCTTGCGGATGAAATCCTCTGCGCCCGGTGCGCCGCTGGCCAGAATCACGTCGATCTCGCGACGGATCTGATCGCAGAAATCCTCAAGGGGCAAGTCGTTCACATCGTCGCCAAATGGGTTCTCAATTTCACGGCCAATAAGCGCAAGACCCAGTATAATATACGCCGCAAACATAGTTGCCGGGATGGTGACCCAATGCAGACGATTCCAAAGCTGGAAGGGCAGTACTATGATGTACACCCATGTGATTTGTGAGATGGCAATTGAATAAGCAATGGGGAGCGGTGTGTTGAGGATCCGGTCGGTTCCAGTCAGAACATCGTTCATCATCGTCAGCATGTTGAGAGCTTGGGTCTGGTAGATGGGCGCCTTGAAAGTGTCGTTATCAATTACGCTTTTAAAGTACTCGGAACAGTAGGTGAGGATTTCCAGCGGCACGTTTCCAAGGGGCTTGGTCGATTTCTTGATGAGCTTTCGCGGGTTGGACTCGGCCATGGGGAAGCCAAGAGCTCGAGCGGCTCGTCGCAACGTCGAAGGGTTCGAGAAGTCGCGGGGTTCAGCCTTTGCGGCAAGCACGTTCAGATGCTTGAGGCGAGGCGCTAGATCGGCATAGTGGGTGAAGGGTTCGAAGCGGAGCTTGTGCTTAAGGGCGTAGGCAAAGGTGACGAGCATGTTGCAGAAGGTTACTTTGGCGAGCAGGTCGTCGACAGCTGAGTCCTCCCTCTCGGCGACGTGCACCCAGACGAGTCGAGCGAGATTCTGCGTGGTGAGAGACAGCTGTGCCCAATACTTTCGTCCCTCAGCATATCTCTCATAGGCAGTGGAGTTACGAAAGGAAAGAGATAAACCGACGACGAAACCGAGAACTGTGAGAAGGACCGAGTCGATGCCAACTGGGATTGGAGGCGGCTGTTAGCGAGAGAGGCATGGCAGGCCAATGGTACTGGGAAAGGGATGACAAACGATTGTATACAAAATGTGAGATACAGCTGATAGCCGTAGCCCAGGCGCCGGTGAAGGCTATCGGCAGGATCATCCGGGGTGTGACGCTGCCGTGAAGCTGGAGAAACATGGGCCATTTCGAATGGTGAGCCAAGTTGCGGGGACCAACCTGAGAAGGAGTTAGAAGGAAGGAGAGGAACCTGAGAACAGAAAGAGAAGCAATTCTTCTTCTTGTTCTTCTCTACCCGTCCGCTATGGCTGCACTCACAAAGTAGTCTTCGAGGTTATCGGCCAGATCGTGATGATCGCCACTGGCGTTTTCGGGGTCGCTACCCACCATGGTAGCCATCGTACCCATAGTTTCGGTGCGCTTGGTGGAGGGAGGCGGCGTGGTTTCCGACATGATTCCCAATTCTGGCAGATGGTATCCTACTGATTAACGAGACATGTGAGGAGGGGTTGAGGAGAAATGGCGAAACAAAATTGGGGAAGAAGAGGAAGAAGGAGACGGGCCGGCACTTGAAGTTTTGACATGGCCAAGCGAACTGACAATGCCAGAGCAATCAATGCAACGCGAGGCCGCTGGGTTCACTTTCTTTCTTTTTTAGTGAGCATCTTAGGGGCTGATGCATGCGCTGTGGAACTGGGCACAGGGGGATCAAACAAAGGTGCGTCGCCCAGCTTCAGCGTAGCCAATCCCAAGAGCTAAGCCTTCGGGCGGTCGCTGGCGGCCTCTCGTAAACACCAGCGGTGGCCTTGGGGCCCCTAACAAGGACCCAGTACGTTGGCCCCAGCGGCTCGCAAACCCACTGGCCAGTCGCCATATTCGGCTGGCCAGTGAATCCATCCCTGTGCACGTATTACATATTTTTGCATTGGCAGCGGAGTCTGAACGCGCGGCCCCTTCACGTGTAGATGCTTGTCCATGCATTGTCTTTGCCCTCTGTCTCAGTCCAGAACCAACTTGAATCGTGAAGAGATGGTCCCTTGCGAACTCCAGTTCTCCAGCCCGCTTGTGGTACATGGCGGCATCCTTCGACCCGGAACGGGCCGCGACGATTTTGGTAGCCACTTGGTGGAAAGGCTGATTATTATAGCAGAGTCGCATCACAGTATATCCAGTTTGAGGTCCCACGGTCAACGACATCGATTGTGCGCCTGTGCAGTTCTTGTAGCTGCTTGTGCGAGCCGTTTGAACGAGCCTACATACCTATGTACATAGTAGGTTCGTCCCGGTGCACATTTCAAAAGTACCTTCCTTGGAGCATCGGTCGTGCGAACAGATCATTGCGATGCCAGATACTTGGTCTTGGGTCGATACCGTGCTGTGCAGCTACAGGGAGCTTAACGCCCTTAAGGTTTCAATATCTCGGCTGATACATTCTTTTGACATGGTTTGAGCGTGCATAAACCAGCCACCGCTGCAACACCGTTGTACCACATTTGCGTCATTGGCCCTCATCATCATGCAACCAGCTTACCATCAATTAGGTAATTCAAAGATAAAAAAAGTACCAATTCAAACGCACATAGAAATCCTAAGTTGACTTATTACGCTTGATTGATGGATCTAATTATAGAACTGAGTTAACAAAATAGAAATAGGCGGTTTAGGCCATCACAAAGACAAAAGCGAGTCAGAGAAAAAAGCAGCCCAGCCAACCCCCGCGGCAAGCGATCGCCATAAGCCAGGCCTGGCAGTTAGTGGCTACGGCAGTCAAATCGCAAGGGCTAAAGACGAGCGATCGTTGTGCGGCCGACCAAGCAGCCATCCCTAGCGACAGCTGTTTGGTGGAGGCCTGCCTTGCCAGTCTGCTCTTAAGACGAGAAATTGCTACTGACCGGACCTCTTTGTCTTCCGTTAAGACGGGCTACGGCCGGAGATCGGGCCAAGCTGTCATCCCAAATTCATGAAAAATTAAGTACCTGCGGACGGTGGTTACGTGCTATCCTACCCTATGCCATGATAAACCCTGGTATGCGACCACTTAATATTCAATTGTTGTTCATTACGCTTGTTGATGGTAAGCCAGCGTACAACATGTGGTCCAACTGCCAGTGGGAATATCACTCCTCGTATTCCCTGGGATGAGGTTATATTCCCTACCTCCTAGCCAGGGGAAACAGGGGGCCCGCGGGAAGCCGCCAAGCCACCATGCACAAATCCTGCTTGGTGCCTTGCTGCCCTGCTTGCCTGCCCCTGATTCCGAGCACTGAAATCGACCCCAGTTCGGAAGCTCACCATATTTGTTTCATGGTGTCCGATTGGATGGACACCTCCACCGTCATCATCTGCCTCGAGTTGGTGAGCAATGGGCGTAAAAGGGTACGTAACCAAGTGCTTGGCACTCTTGGATCCAAGGAATTACCAATTCCATCATCATATGCTTACTCCATAGACAAAGATCGAAGTGCACGCTCGCTGGGCTCTGAACTGCCAGCTAATGTAGCCATGCCCAGCAAACGCATCTGATGATTGGCGTCTTGCCAGGTAGCATCTAGGGCCGCCATGCAGTCATTTACGATTGCGTCGGGCGATTCGCTTCACCCCTTGACTAATAATGCTAGGCGCATCCCATTTCTGATTTGTGTCGTCTTCTACTACGAGTCTACCCTTGTCCCGCCAAGAAGTTACTTGAGGTGCCATCGCCTTTTGGTCTGTATGGTAGTGCCGCCTCTCTCAACGGTACCTTCTATATCATCACAACCGTCTTGAATTAAGTCATTGATCGTTATTAGACGCCCGCCTTCCCTACTATACATCCTCTCTATAGGAAGTGAATGCCGCATCTATTCGAAATTTTGCAGTCAGAAAGGCGCAGAGTTAAGTAGTAAAGCCAAAGCTAACCCTTTCAATTGACGAGTTCGATTGGCTCGCGCAATCGACTCCCGTAATGTTCTTTCTGTCAGACCTAAATGCCTCGATACAACCAATATTGAAATTATAGGCGTCCTAAGGAAATGAAAGAAGTATTTAAAGCTATGCTATCAGAACGGTTCCCTTGCCAGTGTTATATGTACTTAAGATATCCAGGTCCTGCACCAATTTGAAAGTGAACGGCGAAAGCAATGATTCAAAACTTGGGATTTGAAAGAACATAGAATTTAGCCCTCCATATGCATGAGTAATAGGTTAGCATGAAGGTGTTCAGCCAGTCGTCAATTCCGGTAGATCTATGGACAATATTATCTACTCAGGTAGATAAGAAAAACTCTAAGTTGCTATAAAAGGTAATATTGGAGTTAATTCTTTTAGGCGAATATTACTATGGGTAGCCAGGTGTCTGCTTGACGAGGGCCCGTTGTTACGATGTACTAACCGGCAGTCAAAACTAAGGTACCCTTGGGCACTTTTGTGTCCCTTAGTCTAAATATTGATTACACGAACAACAACGGGAAGCTGGTGCTGAACATGGACAATCTGCGTGGAATTTTTATGTTCGACACCGTGTTTGATAGCTCTATCCTCCCTGGCGAACGGCGCTGCATCCAGCCTGCCGGTTGCTATTCACTTCTCTGCTATACCAAAGCACAACATGCCGAACTGGTGAATGGCGAGCGGAACAAGCTGAAGAACAGCTCCACGGAAGAAATCTTTAGGTATAATGACAGCTAATTCCCTTCCTCAAGGGCAACCAGTTGTCATCTACAGAAACAGTGAAGATTCCGTGATATCTTCCGATGAGGGAACCAAACTGTTTGAGGACTGTGGCAGGCGGCTGCTGTACGCTGTTCGCTATGAAGACATTATGAACGCTGACCGTGTGGTATCCCGACACCGGATATTTCTTTTCGGCTATGGCTATCAGGTTCATTCATAATAAGTGGGCTGACAACAGGCCTGGTCCCTTTGTACCTACCTAATTACGCGTGTTCGTAGGCTTTTTATTTAAGACTATATTCTTCTTCACTCAAAATAGGACGCTATTATTTTGGACTGTTTGTACAATCCTCGCCATCGCCCTCCATGACAGCGCCTTAGATGTGTGGAGCTTGATGACTGCGAGTCGGAGGAGGGATTTGCTGTGGGATGATTTCTTTGGGTAAAGAGTCTTTGCCTGGTCCCATAGAGACTAAACAACCTTTTAACGAAGACAAAGCGATCTCCTGAGTTGAGTTAAGGTTCAGCACATGACAATGTACTACTTATGTTGTTGCTATATGAGAAAAAGAAAATCCGTTACACAGTTGAAAAAGCTATATCTAGCTCAAGTTGAGTTGTGAAACATCATAAATACAGAAATTTTCTCACACATGTTTAAGTACAAGATAGTGGGTCGAGGGAGACGATGGCGCCGTTAACATATCACATCTCGTTTGGTATATTGTGAGCATGCTTTCTTCCCCCCTCATGTCACAGTTACTTAATTAAGTACAGTGTGGCTTGAGTTGTATCATTCGAAGCAAAGATGGCTGGTTTTGAGTTTGTAATCAAGATTGAAAAGCATTAAATTCGACTGGATAAAGATAATGAGAGAATGTAGGACTTCCACCACCGCGAAACCTCAAGGGGTGAACGCAAGAGATAATCCCAAGGCACATAGACCGAACCTAAGCGTATTGCACCATCTAGTCATCAACACCAGTAGGGGTATTGCACAAGACACCTTGCTCAAGCTGGCATTGGGTTAACAACTGATTGGATAATCTTGGTATGATTAATCTCAGGACACTTACAATCGGGAGCACACAGCATCGCGCTCGCTGACCAATCGCAGAGCAGACCGAGCTGAACTCGTCTGGGCTCGTCGGAAGCGAAGGTGCTAAAATATCTAAGTTAGAACAAAAGAACCTTTACTGGGGTTCATCGAAAGAACTCACGGTTGCCGCAATCCAAGTTTACGAGACCCAAGACGTCGGTTGCACAGCATTGGGCGGTGCCATAGAGCCCAGAACATGCAATGTATGTCTGGCGCTTTGCCGGGGCAGGGCTTGCACTCGCAAGCTGAGCGAGGAGAGCAGCGGTAGCTAGAATATCGATTCTCATTTTGTAGATCGGGCGAGGTTGGTTTTTACTCTTGAACTGAGATGAGATGAAGCGAAAGTGATGAATTAAAATGAACACTAGATATTTGCACGAGGACACAGGTATTTATACCCGTGAGCCACCATATGAATTCTCTCCTTCTCAACATAAGACGCTCTCGATGAAGAATCCAGCTCTGAAATTCGTTGTCAAGCAGATAATGCGTCCTACTTCTTTTGAGACGATGTAACCTCTTCCAATGCATACCCTGCTCTGACCCCAATAACAACGTACCCCCCGTAGCTTAATCTGGCGGAAAACCGGGTAACTGAACCAATTAACACGGGGAATTGACTTACCCCTGGGATCGGCGACACCCATAGACCTGACGATCTTCGAAGTGAATTTTGGGCCGTAGGGCTCAAGAAATACGAGACAGTGGCAAAATGCAACGCTCGCGAGAATCATTGCCATTACCGGAGCCCCCGGCACCGCCTCGGTGAGTCCCTGCTTATAGCTAGAAATTTAGTCGATTACGTCGAAGACTGGGATGGGAAGTTCCGGTATGCTAATATAAGGTATCACACCTATAATAGCTTCTGCCTTGGACTTGTGGAACGTTGCGACGCATTCCCCTGCAGCTACTTACCACTCTTGCCACTTCTTGTAGAGAGACCCTTCCTTGAACAATGTGGCGGCTCATTCCACTGCATGTGATAGGGCAGCTGAGACGAAATACCGGAGAATTGGTAGGGAGACAGGGGGATTTGAACATTGCTATCACAGTTACATTCACTAAATCACTAAATGCAACATATGTCATAATGCCTGTCAAGCTGAACCGGTTTACCGAGAAGACTAATGATCGACCTTATAACAGAATAGTATTTAGTGCGAAGCATAAATTATATAAAATATTGAACGAAACCAGGGAAATTACCGGACAGGGAAACCTCAACTGTCTAAAGTCTTGACGTCAGTCCGCTGTGGTTGCGTTTCAAGTGTCCCGAATCTAATTAGTCTAGAGCTGTTCAGTTGTTGGTGTGGCTGGAGCTACTACGGCCAGTTTACAAGGAGAGGAACAAGCCCCCTGGAAGCAGCTGAAGATTCAGACCTACTTGCCTCCCTTGGAGAGGCAAAAACTGCTGACGCAGAGCAAGAATCTGTACCAGAAATGGAAGGTTGATCATGCCAAGTTCTCCCTGGATGTAAAGTACTTTCCTCTAACCTACATAGCTCGCCATCGAGGACACGTAGGCGACTGCATCATGTCTCGACCAAAGCGAAGTTCCCCGGATGGTGCGTTTAATAAGATCCCTCGTGGCGCAGTGGCGAGCGCATTTCCGTTGCTTCCTCTGTGATATACTTACACCGAAGCTATCTATACGCAGAATCCCCTTCCCTCTGAAGGCAGGCCAAGAAAAACAATGGGTACATTATGGAGGCTACCGGAGAGGACCTCGGTTCAAATGAAATGTGAGCGGGATCACCCTTTTTCTTCCTTTTCATCTTTCTGGGCTTTTGAAACAAGTAAAATCCTTCCACTACGTGCTGGGCGAAGGAGCTTCTTCATCAATTTGATCATGGCATCAGCCCTTCCTATACTCTTAGGGACTGCTTTTGAATTCCAGGGTTGAAGTAAAGGAAGGCTTCGCGGCCCAGACCAGCATGAAGCTTCTGTGTAGCTTTTGGGATGATCTTTCCTTACAGCTGTCTGGGTTGGCCCGGACTTTTTCTTATGTATGATATGGTTTTTCTGGGACAAGAAAGGGGCCCCTGAAAGATCTAACATGTGAGGTAACAAAAAGAGAAAGTCAGGGTTAACCCGAACAGTCGTGAACCATTTGAAAGACCCAATATAAAGAAATAGTTACATAAGCGGTACAGCTTGTGGAAATATCTAGTGACTTGCAAAATATATATGTTTGATATGTAATTTTTTTATTACTAGAACTAAAACTACATGATGCCGCAAACGCCTAGGAATATGCACAATTTTAAACCCGATTCTGAAGTGTCCTATTTATTGTGTCATTTGGGGATTTTTAGAGTTTACAGCAACTGGAACCAGAACCGGAGCTGGCACCAGCAGTCAGCTGAGATCCCAGATCCTTGTCCGAGGGGACGTCGAGCGCCGGGTTCTTGGTGAAGAAGTCGGTGGGCGTGATCGAGAGGTTCAGTATCTCGACCGGCATCACGGGCCAATCCTCGATACGCGGGTTGTGGGTCAGGCCAAAGACGCTCCAGACCACAATGTCCTGGTTGAGGACGTCGTCGTTGCGGTCCGCGGCGTCGCTGACGCCGCCGATCTCCCGCTTGCTCTGCAGCGTGTAGCGGCCGCCGGCGAAGAACTCGTGGTCTTTGTACTTGGTGACCCAGAGGTGGTGCTTTGCGAATAGCGCTCGCTGGGCTTGGCGGCTGTTGGGGTCTGCGAGGAGCAGCTGGGTTGCAGGCGGGATGATCTTGTACCCGACTGGTCTCTGGGTGATGGGGTTGATCTTGTTTAGGTTCTGGATCTTGAAGACGCGGTTGTTGAATGGTGCGGCATCCAGACCAGCCGATGTGGTGATTGGCGTGTGGCGCACCTCGTACAGGTTGCCCTTGGGGTTGGTGCGCTGGTCAAGGCGAAGTGGAAGGCTCTCCTCCTGGACGACGGTGTTCTCGTGCCCGTCAATTGAAGGATCAACCCGGATGCAGAAGATGTGCTGGTGGTTTTGGGCCAGGGCACCAGGGCTGACCACATTGCCCCAGGGTGCGGTCTTGCCCTGATCAATATTGACAACGGATACGATGCCGGTAGCACGTGCCTCGATGTTGATACCGGCGGCCTGGTCGAACTTGAAAGCAAAGATGTACTCGTAGTTGGCAAGTGTGATGATGAACTGGATGACCATCTCACGGCGACGGGTGACCACCGCTCGGCCCGTTCGCCAGTTAGTGTGCTTCCAGTTGATGCCGTTGTCTTGTTCGTGTAGACAGATGACGTTCTTAGTCTCTTCGGCATCACCGTTGGAGTTGATAAGAACACCATCAAAGTACTGGATGAAGGAAGGTTAGTTACTTGAACTGAACCAAGCACGTGGATCAACAAAGATGGATGCATACCTTAATGACACCAAGGCAGTCGCAGCCTAGAGTCAGGTTATTGACGCAGTGACCAAGGCCTCCGTCGCCAAAGTCAAAGGCCTGCTTCCGGTGGTATGGAGGACGAGGATCGGCATAAGGAACCGTCTACGGAAACCCGAAAGTCAGCAAGGCGAGTCTTAAAGAAAGGTAGAAGTGGTAATACAGCGCGTAGGAGAGAAGAGGCAGTGGATACATACCATATCGCTAATACTCAAACGATACATGACAGGGCGACCATCATATCGGACATCATGTACAACAGCACCTTCTCGAGAGTTGAATGTGACTCTCATTCTCCACTTCTGCCACTTCAGAAGGTTGCCATCCGTGATGGAGAAACTGGGACCCTCAGGCTGGACAACGGTCAAGGGCTTGAGATCCTTTCTGACACCCCCGGGAAGCAGCTCGGGGACATATTCGCTCTCCAGACAATGGTCCACAATCTCGGGCTTGTGAGTTTTGGCTGTGAGGCTTTCCCCTCGGCCACCTGTCGCGGGCTCTTCGATGCGCACAATCGTCTTGGTTGCAGCGTCCATAACAGGGATAAGCGGCAGGGGGTAGGCATAGAAGTTGGAGTCCGGGTTCCCGCTGCGGGTATCCCTGGCAAACATGAGAGCCTGGAAGTAGCGGTTGTCGCCATCCTCAATGTCAGGGGCGCCGTAAGGCCATGGCTCCACAATGACCTCGAAGCCCTCTGGGAGCTTGAGCTCAGAGACCTTTTGTTGGAAGAGAGCGTCTGCTTGAACACAGTTTACAAGTTCTTCAAACTCCTTGCTATAAACACAGAGAGTCAGTAGAGTAACTAATTAGACGTGGACATAGGGGGAGGTGGCCATCATACGTGGTCAAACTGGACTGGTGCTCAGTTCCGATAATCTTGTGGTCAACAACTGCCTTGAGATTCAGGTCGACGACGGCCTCGTTGTACTGGGCCTTGGCCTTGCCACCAATGACATCGTAGAACACCTGAGCGCATCTTGCCGGTCTCGGAGACGAGGGCGTAAGCTGGCGCGAGTGCTCGAGCTCGAGGAACCGGAGCACATCGGCCTTGGGTGGTTCCCAGAGGTAGTTCTGGCGGAAGAAGAGGACCGTGCCAGGGTGAGCTGCCCTGACGACGTCCCGAGCGAGATTCGTCTCCTCAATGGAGAGAGCTGACAGTGGGTGGGGAGCCGCCATTTGTCCAGTAATGCCTCAGCGATAAAGTAGCTATGTGATTAACCTGTGAGAAAGGGCCCAAAACACATTATATGGTTGGACCATGGAGTGACATACTGAATTTCTTGTTCTCGTGATTGGCACGGCTTCTCCCCGCGTATTTGAAGTTCAGCTAATGGGGTTCATGACGATCATCGGAACGAGGTGTCGGAACAGACGAAGGGGTCTAGCCGAGGACTTCATCGGAATGGCGTCGGAATGTCGGAACTCTCTCAGTCGAGATAGTCTTATCTTGCGCTATTAACCCTTTTCTAATACGCTGGGGCAGTTAGACTAAACGGTTTCAATGCTAGCTGCTCTGGTTACCGGATTTGGACGTGTCTCTGATAAACCTTTGGAGGATGATTGGACGTATTGATCTAGCGTGGCAGAGAGCCGCGTCGTGGAGTTGAGACCATGGAGATAATGGGGGAGCATCAAGATAGTCAGAGATCTTATCGTGATTGTATATTTATTATTCAAGAGATCCTGGAGTTGAGCTGAAGATTTTCGTTGTGGATAAGTAATAGAAAAAGATCTGAGGTTCCCATCGATCTGTCTTCACAACCATGGAAAACGCAAAGATGAAAGATACAATGGAATTGCACCAAGTCAACTCCGATCCCAAAGTGTCCGCCAATGCGGATGATGCTCGGCTTGCGCAGCTTGGACATGTCCAGGAACTTGAGCGGCAGTATTCATTGCTGGCATTGTGCGCATTGTGTGTATGTCTGATGGGAACATGGGAAGCTCTATCATCTGTGGTAGCAACTGCTCTCGTGAGTGGGGGAGCTCCGTGTTTGTTTTACAACTTGTAAGTTGCAGACGCTTCAATGCTTGAGACACTAGTGTGCTATCATCTAGAAACAAAGTGTTCGCTAACCCACACACTTTCAGACTCCTTTCAACCGCCTGTACCGTCTGTGTTGCCTGCTCCCTTGGAGAGATTGCATCTATCTACCCAACCGCCGGAGGTACGAAGAACGATATCTAGAATATAAAACCCCGAACGAAGAAACATATACTGATTCAATATCTATACAGGACAATATCACTGGGTGGCGGCCTTGTCACCGGCATCTACCCGTTCTGGGGCAGCTTTTGTGACTGGTTGGATCTCAGTCGGCGGACAGGTCGTCTTGACTTGCTCTGCCGCTTTTGCTGCCGGGCTTCAGATCCAGGCATTGGTTATCCTTAACGATGACTCGTATATTCCGGAGAGGTGGCAAGGAATGCTGTTCTACTGGGCTATTCTTGTCTACGCCATGGTGCTGAATATCTGGGGCCACAAGCTTTTACCCACAGCAAATAATATTTCTGGTGAGAAATGTCCATCTTGACCTGTTTAGTACGTAGCTAACAATGCTAGGCATCCTCCACGTTGCTGGGTTTTTTGCCATTCTGGTTGTTCTTGGCTGCATGGCACCAAAGAATAGTGCCTCGGAAGTCTTTACCGAGTTCGTCAACCGAAGTGGCTGGTCGAGTGATGGTGTCTCATGGCTCGTCGGCTTGCTAAGCGCGGTCTATCCTTTCCTTGGGTAAGTAGAACTCGACCAATGCTATTTCCAATTACCCATTCGCTAATACGTTACTTAGATACGACGCCGCATGCCATCTCGCCGAAGAAATGCCTAATGCCAGCCGAAATGTCCCCCTTGCTATGGTTGGTAGCGTGTCCGCCAACGGGCTGATGGGCCTTATTTACGGAACCATGTTGCTGTTCTCAACTGGCCCTCTCGAGGAGCTACTGGCAACACCAACCGGCTTTCCCTTCATGCAGATCTACCTTGATGTGACCAAGTCCCATGTCGGCGCATCAATAATGTCCTGCATGATCACGTTGACAGCCATCGCAGCAACCGTTGCCGGCGTCACCTCCACATCCAGAACCCTTTGGGCTTTTGCACGAGACAAGGCAACCCCATTCCACGGACTGCTCAGCCAGGTGAATAAGAGCCATCACATCCCGATCGCCTCTATTGTGCTGGTCACGGTCTTGCAGATGGTACTGGGCTTCATCTATCTTGGCAACTCAACTGCCTTCAACGCCATTCTGTCCATGGCCATCATCGGCATGTACGCCAGCTACATCCTCCCCATCGTGTACATGATGATCTTCGGCCGGCGCAAGCTGCGCAAGTCCGACTACGGGCCGTTCCAGCTTGGACCCATACTGGGCCCTGTGCTCAACGTTGTCAGCCTGATTTGGATGACGGTGGTGATCATCTTCAGCACCTTCCCCAGCGTTATGCCCGTGACGCCAGCAAACATGAACTATTCTATTGTAGTCTTGGTAGGATGGCTGTTCTTCGGGGTCACATACTACCTGCTGGTTGGAAGGAAGAAGTTCCAAGTGCCAATGCTGGGTGAGAATGTCGTTGACGGCGTCTCTGTTCCTGCGGATAAACCAGTAGCCGGAGAGTGCACGAGTAAATGCGATGATGCTTGAAGAATTGCATGAAAATCTCAAGAGGATGCTAGATGGAATTAAGAATGAATGATACAATGTATATGTTACATTAATGAACCTTATATAACTCCGTGAAGTCTTCGTAAAAATTCCTCCGATTCTCCATACGACATGCTCTGCCCACCTAGGTTGAATATATCAGACGGAAAGTCCGAGTTGGCCGAACCGTCAGGGTTCATCTGACCAAAAGCATCAAAGAGATCCACCAGCCCCTCGCCGAAGTCGAAGGCATCGGTTGGCGAGTTGCCCGCCTCTGCGATGTCGGACTGGATCGGCCAAAGGTTGTCGGTAGGCCCCTCATCAGCACCCTCGTCAACGGCAATAGCTATCTGGTCAACAGGTTGGTCCTGTTCTTGCTGCTGGGAAGGCTTATCCAAATGATCATGAGGTTGAGCTTGCTTTGCTGTGCTCAAGGTAGAATCTTTCCCAGCCTCCGCATCTGCACGTAGGCCAACGGTCTTGACACCTGGAAGCAAGCGACGGATGCTCTTCCAGAGGATTCTGCTTGCAGAATGTTGGCGTGATAGCTCCTTGAGTAAATTAACAGCTACAATGAAACTTTCGCGACAATGTTGTGCAAAGATATCCGGGGCATTGCAGACCGCGAGCAGGATGGAAGTGAGAGAACTAAGCAGGAAGAAGTTGAAGCCGTTTTGTTGCCGCGCGTAGACGTCGCTATTTCTGTGCAGGTGAACAAGAACTTCTATGGAGTCTTGAGCTATCCCGACAACCAGTCTAGCGCTGTGAATGTCTGCCCGTATGCTTGCGGCACTGATAATGTGGTGGCGGTAAATGAGCTTCCGAAGGTGATTCCCATGTAGGTATAGGAGGGCGCGCGAGCGGTGTAGAATCCGAGGTTGGTGGCTCGGGGCAAGACCTAGACGAGGATGACGGAGTCGCAGGTCCTGGGGAATAGAGTTAATCCAATTCTGGGTCATGAAGTCGATCAGAGAAACTGTGTCTTTGGGAATGACTTGAGACGAGCCGCCAGATGGCGGGAACGCTTCCCAGACCCTGCCACTTAGGCGTGCAAACGCTGCCATAGATCTGAGGAACGGAAAGTCCTCACTCTGTGAATACAAGTCAGCCATCTAGTCTAGATATTCATAATTCTCCCAGTTTCCTCCTCAGAGAGAGACGCACCGGCTCTGGGAGCTCGCTGTCAATATCTTTGTCGATGAGACCAAATGAAAGACTGGTCCCGAAGCTCCATTGGCGATCCAAAATGTAAACACACCAGAACAGCCGGATAGCTAAATCTCTTTCCTTGAGGTCTGGATAGTGCTCGAATAGAATAGGTCGACGGTGGAGGCCTAGTTCAAGCGTTTCACGAGTTGAAATACCGATGGCTCTCCACGCCAAAAGTTCCTCGCCGCAGTGAAACCAGTAGATGCCCTGTCAATTAAGTTAATATCTGACGATAACTTAAGACGGTATTTTGATTTTGAGCATAAACACCGGATAGATGTTTTATCATAACATACTAGCATGGTCATAATCTGTAGTTCTTTCAAGTCAATTTCGGCTTCGCCTGACACTCGACAGATGACAGGCTCAACCTCGTCGAGCAGCCTCTTGCTGACAGAAGTTTGGCCACCGGCCTCCAACGCGATTGCTACTGCAAGGGCAAGCTTGAGTATATGTACATCTTTGGATTCAATGTCTGGCCATGGACCAGTTAAGGGCGTCGGTGATGGAATCGCTGGATGCTGGGTTCGTCTAGCTTGTTCCAAGATGTAAGGCGCTTTGGCTGATATCTCGCTAATTTGTGTAAAAGGATACACAGACTCGACCTCGTCGCAATAATCATCAAGTAACCTCATAACATCCCCAAGCTCAAAGCCCAATAGGCTATTTGTTTCTGATATGCAGAGCTCGGGCTTTTCAAACTCCTTCTCAGACGGCAAAGTAGGCTTGGGGGAAGCCGCTGGAGAGCTAGACGGCGTACGAGCCTCCGTGTCGATTCCCATTCGATGGAGAGAGGCTTCTGCCATGCGTAGACTAAATGCAGACCTTGTGGGCCCAACAAAGCTTGGTTCCCTGGGTTCAGGAGGTTGAACTGTCTGGTCATCCGTAAAGGTTGGGCTTGGCCCATGATAAGGGACAACAGAACGCGGCCGATAGGTGGAAAGCCGGCGTTCGAGATCTTGCAGAGTATTTGACAGAGTGCTGATTTGAGATTGAAGGTTGGTGACTACTTTAGTTAAGACATTGAAATCGTGCCTGGACGGGAAGCTCTACTGTCAGCCGTAGAAGAACATAATAAGACAGTTTCACGTACTCTGAAGGCTGAGCCCGCTGAGGATTGGATATGGCACTATCCACAGATGGTTCACTCGCAGGCGTCTTGTTTTGCAGAGGGTTACGTGCAAAGAGGCAGTCAAGGTGATTGCGCCTACACCGTTGGCAAGCGTCCTCATACTCGGCTTTGATGCACTTAAGCTTGCTTTTCTTGCATTCATTGCTGCCACGGTGGTGTCAGTCGTACGGTCTAACGGGAGAAAAATTAAGAGAGACAGAGAGAGTTCAGACCATGCTACAGGGGCGTATTTTGCCCGCTTAGACCGAGAGTTCTCAGCCGGACCTGGGGTTTGATGCTTCCGCTTCGCCCTCGGCGAATGTGGAGTCGTCGGAGGCATCGTCGCCCCAGCCATGAGGGCGCTGGTGACGCCAGAGGTAATGCCTTCCCGTCGGCGCAAAAGGAGACCGAGTGGCTGGCAGGGTCCGGCGTGCGCATTTGTCGCCGCAAACAATGCCTGGTCGAAAAGATGAGATGGACTCGAGATTCGACATGGGAGCTAAACATGGCTGCGTAGCTCCTTATCTTAGGGACGGACTCTTATTGGCTGGTTCTATACGCGGGTCTTATCTTATCAATTGCGACCACTTTGACAGTGACCCATTTTCATGGAAATTATTCACAAATATGCCTCCCTCGCCAGCACAAGACATCTCCTCTAATAGGGGCCTGAGGGCGCTCATATAACTACTATCAATAGCTATGTGTGTCTTGAGTTATTTTCCTGTTTTGCTAATTCACTTTTCATCCCTCTCTGGCATAAGATAAAAGCTCCACTAAGGCCAAGTCTGGGCGCTTTGTCAGCTCGAGAGCTCTTCTCCCCGGATTTACGGAACTCCAACGACTGTGTTATGTAATGGATGGTTAATTACAATTGACAGCGGGTTATAGTGGCTCAGAGTTGGAGCGTTAGCTAAATCTGCATGTCGCATTTCCACCCTGATCTGCAAACCCACAACAATAGCTTCCTTATCCGTGGCATTAAGAACTGCACCATCCGCGTCTAAAAATGTAGAGTAAGTGCGAAGACTGACACTGGCTGGCGCATTGATTCAACACGCGCCTCAAAATGGCTTGAACTCATGCGAAGTGTCGCTTCTCGACTGAACAGCAGGTAGACTTACATTTACACCTAAATATCAAAAAGACGCTCTCGAGGCGAGGTTAAACTTCTCCAGAAGAACCTACCTATTGCGGCATTCTTATACAAGGGATATTCAAACCGTACATTGAAATCTATTCTAGGAGATGATGTCTGATGCTAAATGTGTTGCATGGATGGGCTTTGGACAAACTTGATCGCTTCTTCTGGGGGCAAGTCTCCCATCAGAGCAGCGATAAGGCCACAAGCTCTGAATTGGGTGAATATTTGCGCATGAATTTCCTCATTACGGGGGCTTCTCAACCGGAATGGGGTATTGAGAAGATTTCTAAAACTGTCGCTGTACATGAAATCACATTCTGCCCTGAATAATAACTCAAGATAGTATCTTTTCCTTCCCAGTAAGAAAATCCTGCAACCTAATGTAGGGCTGATAACGGTCGCTGATAACGGTCGCTGATGATTCTTTGTCCTTGTTTGGTGAGACTTTAGGTGAGTTGAAACAGGAAAGAGAGCCTCCTATCCCGAGGCGTTTGCACGAATTTGTGTGAACTGTTCAGTCAGTGTGTTGATACTGCAAATCGTCGAGAGAATCTAAGGGGATTGGTTTGCATCCAGCTTCTTGGTTGAATATTCTCATGACTCGTGGTGCATCAAGCCGTAGGTGCTGGGAGGGCGAAAGACGACACTTTTTGACTTAAATGAGGCCCACTGCTCTCAATAGTTGTTATCTTTATGCTTCCCGGGGTACTCAGCCCAAATCGGAAATCAATCCGGAGAGGGTGCACCAGAATGACATGCTTGAGAAGATCGATCGCTTGACGTGCGTCTCAAACAAAGAGAAGAGGCAGACAGCCCGTTCCCCGTGCCCAGCCATATGGCTAGCCCTGGCCTTAGTGCCTCTCGTGCAGGCAACCTGTCACCGTCGAGATCCTGCGAATCAGACATGCTTTCGAAGCCATCCCTACTCGGTAGACTCCGAATTAGCGAGCCTTCTGAAAAAGGCAAGATATTATTCAGGGGAGATAGAGAGAGATGCTTAATTTACTTTCAGGTTCGTCAGGTCAGTAACTTAATCTCTAACGGTCATGCGGCTACACATCCCCGACGCGCTGGTGGTGCCTGAATGAGGTGCTCTCTCGCCCTCTCCCGTTTCGGTTGGTGCAGGATCCTCCTGTCTATCAATATACGTATTCCCAGTTCAAGGAAGGGCCTGTACTATAGTGGTTGGCTGGCTTATCTGTCTAGTCCCCAACTACTGGAGTGGCTTGCTTAGCGACTTTAGTAGACGATCTTCCTATTCTGGTGGCACCGCACTTGTTCATGGATAGAATCGCCGGACTCTCCGTGGCCTGGAGGTGGACCTGATAACCTGGTCGGGTCTCTCCCCGGGTCCCTCCCCCGGGTCCCTACCTACATACTTATCTTGTCCTTTGTCCAGCGGCAACTGACACTACAGGCCCAGACAGTGAGTGGCGACAAGTCTGTGTCGAGATGCCCAATGTGATGAAGTACTAAGTCTAGATGGGCAAAGAGCTTCAATCAGTCCCGATAGCCTCAGGCTGCTGATAGGTACACTCAGTTCCTGTCTCACCCCATGTTGCAAATTAATGTCCTCCCCATCCTACTTCATGCCTTATCGCAGTTTAATGCTTGCCTAGCTCATTTTGACAGTCCCACAATCCTTGCTATGGTCTTTCAGCTGGTCGAGTCCTCGCGTTAGCGTCGTGAGACTATTCGGGATGCGGTTAAGCTAATCATCGAGATGTCAACCCCTCAGTCATGGGCCCCTGAGCAGGTGGGCGATGGCCCCGGTTTCCGCCGTGGGGAGAAGGACCCAATCCAGATGTACCAGCCGATCGGTTCTGAGATGATCCCCTCGCCGTCAACCCAGACGGCCATGCTAATGAACGCCGCCTTGATTTGCCATTCTTTGAGTTCGTTAGCTGCCATCCGGCGACCAGCCGGTTGAAGACCGAGCAATGGCGCTAAGGTACTGAGTCAAGCTATTTTGCATCGTTTCTCTAGTGCGCGCATCATACACGTGCGGAAGCCACCATTAGCTGTGGACTCCAATACGCAAGGATAATAGTTAAAAAAGCGAAGATCCTGCTTCACATAGCCAGGAACACTACAGGGCTGGATGTAACCAACAATAGATCGTCCTGTCATCTGGTGTGGATCGTGGGTGTCTCAAGAACAAGCATCAGAAGATCAGGCGAGAGTGCGGAGATAGTCTCCTCTCCCCGGTAAGGGGCATGGCCATGTGATAATGCATACATTATTCAGACACACAAGGCATTGCAGCCATCGCTTACCATCTGGCGAATGAGAAAATCCTGTCCAAGTTGGCAGCTGGATATTTATTGGCTCTAGCTCCCCCAACCAATCTCAATCTACAGGGTTGGCAAGCCACATGGGAGGCGAGTCATTTGGCGACGTTTCGACTTATCCCAACTAGCCTCATCGGGTGCCCAAGTCACCATCCGCCAACGGATGAGCGATTCCTTTAGTGCTGGCCTCCGGGGTAGTGGGAATTAGCCTTCTCTGATGTTACGCCAGCTCATGCAAACGTGTTGCTATGTCTGTAGCCATGCTGCCCAATAACTAGGCCGTCTCCTAGCTCTTTTCTTTTTGCTGATTTTCCTTTTTCTTTCTTCATTGGAAACCCTTGTTCCTTGTCTAGCGACGTCTCCGAGCAATCCACTGAGATCTTGCAGCAGCACGAACCGGTGGTGCGAGCTTCCAGCCTCAGCCATGGCTGGCCTCCAACTCAACATCTACGTCGGCATCGGTATAACATGGATTGCTGCGATTATATCGATGGGGATGCGCGTTGCTGCACGCCGGTTGACCAAGGTGAATTGGTGGTATGATGACTGGTTCTGCATAGCTGCTTTTGTAAGCTTACTTTGCCTCCCTTCTGCACAACATTCATATACTGATTCTAGAAACAGCTTTTCGCTACGGGGTACTGCGCTATCTTGATCCATTGTATTCACCGGCCTTATCCTCCTGATTGAACCTTTGGATGTTAATAACATTGTTTTAGGGACGAAATACTGGTACCTTGGCAAGTTGATGCCTGATTCTCTCGACGAGCAGACGAGAGAATCGATCCTATACCACGCAAGACTCCTCGGCTTCTTCAACTCCCTCTGTTATGCCTCGTCACTCGCTACTTCCAAGATATCCATCTTGTCCTTCTACTGGAGACTGTTCAGTCAGTCAGTCATCAGGATCCCAATCATCGTGATGCTTGTCATGTCCGTGATTTGGATGATTCTACGAACTTTCATGTTGATCTTCCGCTGCGTCCCGGTGCAGTCGATTTGGGATAAGACCATCACGGATTCTGTTTGCAACATCAACAGCGGTCAATTTTTCCTCGGCACTATCGTTACACATTTTATCATGGACCTCATCATCTTGACCCTTCCCGTCATTGAAGTATACAGGCTCCGCCTTCGTCTCGGCCAGAAGTTGGCCATCATTGCGCTGTTTGTTCTGGGAACCATGTACGTCCCCTCAGCTCTCCATTCTACCCGTGTACCAAACAAGAGACTAATACAATTCGCTCAGTGTGTGTGTTGCCTCCGCTTTTGTTCTTGTTGAGCTCGTCAACTACAACAACGACACAACACAAATGCCTTACGACTACGCAATGTACTGCATCCTTGGAGCTGTCGAGGTCAACGTTGCAATTGTGTCTGGTGCGTAGCTTCTGATCCTCATTGATTACTCCATCTCCAGTATCTCACAATAAAGTCTAGCTTGCTTCCCCCTACTCCGGCCGGTATTCCGCTACATCCTCCCTTTGAGCTTCCTCAGCTCCATTGGCTACGGCAGCAGTCAGCCAATCAGCCGGCCGAGCAATATTATCAAATTGACGACACTTACACGGACGAAGCGAGAAGCAGAGGCCGCAGCCACAAAGTCGAGCTCGACACATAACCTGGCTGACCCGGAGAGTGGTGAGATGTCCGGGTTCGATGGGATACACGGGCAGCGTGCGGCTGGCATCCAGACCGTCATCTCGACTCGGTATTGTGGCTCAGAGTCGAGCGGCGACGGGGAGCATGATATAGGCGGTAGGCACGGAATCCACGTCCGAAACGAGACGGTGGTGGAAGTGGAGGAGGTGGTGGATATCTTGGGTAATAAAGCGCCCAGGAAGTGATGATAGACGGACCTGAAGTAATGATTCAAAATGTACCAACTCTAGGAATGTAAGTTAGATAATTAATAGAGACAGATAATTACAGGAATGAAGCTACGAGAAATTTGTTGTGTTAATGCCAGGAGGGGCATGCCACAAGTATTCAATTGTCAAGCAGTGATCATACCAGTGATTATACTTTTCAAACTTGGGCGGTAACACGCCATTTGTCTCCAATTACACTTCCACTAGACATAAAAAGCTTCATTAGTACCATATGCAAACGGTTTAGTGAGAATGCTCAGGTTTGCTCCTTGTTAGCAAAAATGCGAACTGATGGTGGTTGATATTAATAGGAAGACAGTAAGGTTGCCTAGTTCATGCATGTGGATGTGGCGGGTTATACTTCGAATTGTAAGACTACTGACTTGAGATATAATAATACTAATTAATTGAGTTCGATTAGATAGCATCATGTCCCAGAGTCAGAGGCAATATTATCCAATGCTCATTCCAATACTGTAATTCTGATCGTTATCCAGGGTAGCTGTTGTGTCGCCTACTTAAGAGGAAACTTCACTTGTTTAACTAAAGCCATACAAGCTTAAGATTAACTAGTCACTCTGGAAAGAGAATCCAGCATGAACAAAGCCGAGGCTTTATAATCTGCGGTCGATTTGACTATGGTTGTTGATTGAATCCGGGACGCACTCTCCAGTAAGCACTACCAGTCTTCCGGCGGTTTGGAGGCTGACTGGGGTCAAATGTCTACAGAATCCCATGCTTGAAACAATCCTGGGGCAATTTCTCGATACGTTGCCAATCATATTCCGATTTTCGCGTTATATTATGGAAACACGGCATGAAGCGCTTGCGTATTCGGACCAGGATTTCGCTCACCTCAATTTACTACACCCAGACAGGAAGGCGGATGCCTGTTGTTCTACCCAACTGCATTTTGGCGGCGGTTCATGACGTGCTATTGACTCATATATCGGTCGGCCGAGCCTCGGATCTAATCTTATCAGACGGCAGTAGAATGCCGGAGGAAGCTGACACCGACCATTCTGATGTGGACATTTATCCAGGCATCAGGCTTGGCCGTTATTTCTTTATCAATCAACCTGTCCCATTTCTTATCACAAGACTAGTAGCAGAATCAAGTGCGCCAGCACCCACTGGCTTTCGTGAATACCATCATGAATCATTCATCATGCTTGGAGGATTACTCATTCGGCCCGCAAACATCGCCAGAATGTCGCGACGGGCTGGACCTTACACTGGTCTTCGAGGAGAGTATGTTGAGTCTCCTCCCCGCGGTGCTCATGATTGCAGCATCAGCGGTCAAGGTCGCCTCCCTTCGAAATGCTCGCAAAGTTGTGCTCGGGACCTCTTTTCAGGACACCAAAATGGTATGTAATTGTTCTAGCATGAACATCGTGGGACTAAATAACAAACAATAGTCTTAAGATGACCCTGATTCTTCTTGTCGCTCTTCGCTTCGTTCTCTTGCTGCTATGGATCCTCCGAGCGCCGATTAGGACCCAAACATCAATTGCTGCCGCGGCCGTTTACGTGGTCGAATCACTGGCCTTTCTTGCTCTCTCCAAGGCAGAGCATAACCATGCCATTCGCCCCAGCTCTCTCCTCAATCTTTACCTTATATTTTCTATCGGACTCGACTTTGTTAGGATGAGAACCTGTAAGACTTCCACCAAAAGGGTATTCTGAGCCGCAACGGACAAGACTAATCTGCATTGCGAAGTGGTAAAAATGGACTTTGATACATTAATTACTTCTCTATCGGCTGCTGTTTTGGCAGCGAAGCTGAGTCTCTTATTCGTCGAGGCACAGAACAAGGTAATGTATTTCTCAGCTGCAGATACTGATCGCCCGCCACAAGAAACTAGTGGGATTCTCAGCAGAAGCGTGTTCTGGTGGATCAATTCTCTGTTCTTCCACGGTATGCTCATCGAACTCATCACGAAGTAGAGCAGAAAAGCTGACATTTGGCAGGACATCGTGGTCTATTGAAGTTGGATGACCTGATACATCTTGATGAGGAGCTCTCTTCTGAACAAACGCTAGCGAGGTTCGAGATAAGCTGGTTGTCGATGCCAAACGTCCACAGCTATCGGCTGGCGAGGACAATTGTCATGTCACTGACAAAACTGTTCCTCCGGCCAGTGATACCCAATGTACTGTCTATGGCCCTCACTTTCTCCCAGCCGTTCCTCGTCAGTGCCATTCTAGACTTCATCTCCTCGGACGACCCCGAAGAGCTTGGTCAACTCATCGTCGTGGCCTATGCGGTCGTGTATATCAGCAAGGCTATATTTTCCGCATTTTACACGCACCAATTGGATAGGTTTGCTACGATCCTCCGAGGATGTCTCGTGAATATAATCTACAACAAGACGCTAAAAATAGACCTGAGAGAAGGTGCAAGCGGCGAGAGCTTAACATTGATGAGTGCTGATGTCGAGCGCATCGTGAAAGGATTTGGGCTTATTCATGAGACATCCTCTAATGGAGTTATGGCCCTCGTGGCTTTGGGTCTGTTATACAGACAGCTAGGACTCACGTAAGATATAAGCTGAGCGGTGATTAATTTTACTTTGGGCTAACAGCCTTTTCCAGTTTCATGGCACCGCTTATATTTTCAGCCATTCTGTCCTTCGCAACTGGAGCGCAATCTGGGCCCTACATCAAACGACAAAAGGAGTGGCTCGAGGCAACAGAGGAAAGAGTCGGCCTGACAGCTTCCGTTATTTCTTCTATGAAGGGCGTCAAGATTCTGGGATTTGTTGAGAAAATCCACGCCAAGATTCGCGCCTTGCGCCACGAGGAAGTGAACAGGGCGAAGAAAGTGCGGGTTTTCATGGCCCTCTTCGCAATCTTGCAAACGCTAAGCCTCAGCGGAACGAGATGGATAACTTACACAGTCTTTGGCATCGTCGCACTTCTCAATCCGTCCAACAGCAGTTTTGGAGTCAACCGCTTGTTTACATCGCTTGCCATTCTCAACATCTTCATGGAACGACTCGAGATATTTTTGAGACAAATGCCAGCGCTGGCTAGCGCTTTCGGTTGTCTTCGACGCATTGAAGCGTTTCTCCTACTAGAGATGAAAAGAGACGGCCGGATAGAGGGTAGCATAGGAAGCTTCGCTACAAGCTCATCCAATGACAACGAGCTCCAGACCCTTTTGCCTCGTCACATCGCCGTCAAGATTGATGACTTGAGCGTTGGATGGAATGGGGAAAGTCCCACACTCACCGGACTATCAATAGATATCAAGAGAGGTTCCTTTACAATGATAATAGGCCCGTGAGTCAATCTATCGAACCCTTATAGGCTTGAATTAACGAGAGTAGTGTTGGAAGCGGAAAGTCGACTCTTATAAACGCACTTCTTGGAGAAACGGTTACGCACAAGGGATCGATCAAGCTACCAGTAAATGTGAATGGGTCAATTGCATACTGCGCCCAAACTCCCTGGCTGGTTAACAAATCAATTCAAGAGAATGTACTTGGAAATAATTTGTTTGATGCTTCATGGTACAGTAAGGTCATCAGAGCTTGCGCCTTACTCGAAGATTTGAAAAACTACCCCTCCGGAGATCGAACCCTGGTGGGTTCAAAGGGCATAACCCTCTCTGGAGGACAGAAGCAGCGCATTGTATGTGTGACTTGTAAAGGAAACATAGCCTGGAATATGCTGACTTTCATCGTATAGGCTTTAGCAAGAGCTGTGTACTCACGGGCGCCGATTCTTATCTTGGACGACATCTTTAGCGGACTGGATCCAATGACGGAAGAGATCATATTCCAAAGTCTTCTAGGAGAAAGGGGACTGCTGAAAAGTACTCTCCAAACAGTAATACTCGCAACGCACGCAGTGCATCTTCTCCCTTCTGCAGACTCCGTCATACTCCTTGGGGATGCAGGCGATGTAGTCTACCAAGGTCAACGCGAAAGCCTTCCCATGGAGTTGGTATCGCAGAGAGACTTGGGAGATATCCCAGAATCCGAATATCCAGACCGTGATACCACGGCTAGGCGCGTTGAGGATGCCAAGGAGGCCGAGTTCACTCCGGTATTTCATCAAACAGTCATGGCCCAGGATGCTTCCGCCAGTGACATCTCCAGGCAGACTGGTGATAAAACTATCTGGAAGTACTACCTTAAAACAGCCGGGTACAAACACTCAATATTTTTCGCTGTCCTTGGAGCAATATGCATGGGTTTTACTCCCGCGCAAAGTCTATGGCTGAATACTTGGGCGAACGACACTGATAATAGCAAGATCCGATACTATATTGGAGTATATACCGTGTTCTTTGTTGGAGAGATTGCGCTCACCTTACTCTGGATCTGGCATGTCTTAATCTTCCCACTCTCCGCTTCGTCTATCAGACTCCATGACATTCAACTGGAGGCTCTCATGGGCGCGACAATGACTTTCTTCAGCAATACGGATACGGGAGTGACCACAAACAGGTTCAGTCAAGACCTTAGTCTTGTGGATAGCGAACTTCCTCTGGCCTTGATAGACATGGTCGAGTACGTGTACAATTGCCTGTACAAAATCGTTCTCATTGCTATTGCCACGGTATATATCTTGCCAATTTTCCCCGTCATGCTCGTTGCATTCTGGATGATCCAGCGCTTCTACCTGCGGACCTCCCGGCAAATCCGATATCTTGATCTGGAGACCAAGGCACCTCTATACACGCATTTCATCGAGACCTTGTCAGGCTTGGCCACTGTGAGGGCATTTGGATGGGAGGAAGGGTTTGAACACCAGAACCGCGCGGGTCTCAACAACTCCCAGCGACCATTTTTCGTACTCGCTACAATTCAACGTTGGCTCAACTTAGTGCTTGATTTGATGGTCTCCGTGATGGGTATCGTCGTGGCGATTGCGGCCGTGGGGCTTCGAGGGACAATCAATCCAGGGTTTTTGGGTTTGGCATTAGTCAATGTGGTATGTTTCTCACCTTTGCTCCGCCAAGTCAATGCTTCATCTCGAATTTTGTTGCTAATTGGATACAGATGACTCTAGGAACCTCTCTGAAATCACTTGTCTCCTTTTGGGCGTCCTTGGAGACTTCCATCGGGGCCATTTCTCGGATCAGATCGTTTTCTGAGACACCTTCCGAGGATCCTGACCATTTGCCCAAAGCTTCAGAAGGATGGGTGCGTTCTGGAGGTATTGAGATAAAAGGCGTCACAGCAAGTCACTCCGTGGAATCAGGAGCTGTGATTCGAGACGTTACTCTATCAATTGCTCCCGGAGAGCATATTGGCATCTGTGGGCGCAGCGGGAGGTAAGTGAGACTGGAGAGGGGAGTTGTGATTGTTAAGCTCGAATGGCTGACAATATGATAGTGGAAAGAGCTCACTTCTGAGCCTCCTCTTTCGTGTCTTGGATGCCAGCAGTGGATCCGTCTGCATTGATGGTGTCGACATATCTACTATCTATATCAATCAGGTCCGCGCCAGCATTAACGCATTATCGCAGGAGCCCTTCTTTTTACGCGGCTCGATTAGAGATAACCTCACCGTGGCGGCATCTGCGGCTGATTATGACGAGCAGCGCTTGCAGCATATCTTACAGAGGGTAGGCCTCTGGTCTAAAGTGGTGGGCCTTGGAGGTTTGGATACTTTACTCGACCCCGAGGAAGCATTAAGCCATGGAGAGAGGCAATTGTTCTGCCTCGCGAGAGCCATGATAAACCCTAGCCGTATACTTATCCTCGATGAATTTACTAGCAAGTGAGTATTCTCCCATTTCTTCTTCTCATCTTTTATTGCTGGACCCTGGTTGACTTATACTTGGTTGTATTCTAGTGTCGATGTGGAAACGGACCGGTTGTTACAGAAGATCATCCGTGAAGATTTCAAGGACCGAACTATTCTAGCTGTATCGCATAGACTCGAGACTATTGCGGATTTTGATAGAATTGTGGTTCTCGACAAGGGGCGTATCGTAGAGCAAGGAGCGCCTGAAGCCTTGTTGTCGGATAGACAATCTGTATTTAGGGCACTCTATGAAGCGTCAGGCTAAGGGCTTAAGAGCCGGCACCGCGATGATGAGTCTATAAGTGGCGAATCAGGTTTCTATTTTGATACTGATCGTGGCTGTGCCGCACAAGCAGGAGGAGTCAGACAGCCAAATATAGATGACTACCTATTTCAAGGAGAAAACCAGAATTGCCACAGGCCTTAGCTTAGGCAACCACAGATAGATGCTTCACTTCCAAGTGGGTGACATTGAAATTGAGACACTCAAATATTAATCTGCTTATTTTCAAGCCTGCGAGCAGTATTATCAAATTATTGAGTACTGATAACATATACTCAAGAGATAATACAGTGTATATTGTCACTCGATTTCTCTTTATATAACTAAATTTCTCTACTTATCTATTACCTATTTTCAATAACTCTTCCATTAGGTGTCTCAAGTCACCCACATGACTACTTAGGTCACTAATGTCAATCGACTCCATTCACCCAACCATTGAGGTAACTCAGCATAAAAGAAGACTGATATTAGGGTGAGCAAGAGTATTAGTCACTGTCTACGGCTTACAGTGGGGCCATATTCTACCTGCGACACTAGTTGCGTGATTGACGTGGATAAATGGACACTCGTGCCTTTGGCAACCTTGAATCTCCAGTCTTCTTTCACCACCTTGACGAGGAACGTGACATCATGCCGAACTCTTTTCATACGGCAGACGAATATGATATTGTGAATCATGAGGAAACAGCTTTGAGCCCCGAGGTCCTCGCTCAGATCCGCGGCTGGCTTCAACCAACGGACTATCTGGCCGAGTCTGGAGAATTCCGCCGCCATCTCTCATCTCACGCTCCCGGAACTGGACTCTGGCTGTGCCAAACCGAAGAATACCGAAAATGGCACGACTCGCCCGACCACGGGAGTCTCTGGATCAAAGGCGTTCCTGGTGCCGGCAAGTCCGTCGTGGCCGCTTCCATCATCCAGCATCTCCGCACAACTGAAGAGTGCCCCGTGCTTTTCTTCTTCTTTCGAAATATCGTCGCCGCCAACTTTTCGCCCCGTGCCCTCTTACGAGACTGGCTCGCCCAGCTCTTGCCGCACTCGCCAAAGTTGCAGTATGCGTTGCAGACGCGGCTCGGAAGCGAGCTCTCAGAAACATCGGATAATGATCTGATCCAGCTCTTTCTCGACGGTGTGTCGTGTGTTCCAAAATTATATTGCGTAGGAGACGCCCTCGACGAAATGACCATGGAGAACAAGTCGTTCCTCGATCGGTTGAATAGCTTGGCAACGCACCGTCCACGCACTTTGAAGCTGCTCATAACAAGCAGGCCGAAGCAGTACCTTCAAAGCGCGTTGAGGGACTCTTCCATTGTGCACGTCAGCCTTCAACAAAACCTTGTAGACATCGATATCGTCTCGTTTTTGAACCATCGATTTGACTCTGCACCGAAGCTCGAGACCCACAGGATGCGAAAGCAGCACATAATTGACATGGTCGCCAAAAGATCAGAAGGCCTGTTTTTGTATGCGAAGCTCACAATGGACCAGGTGGAAGCTGCGCTGGACTCTGATGGCTCTGTCGATCTCCAGTCCTTGGAAGAATCTCTACCTGTGGGGTTGGAGAAGACATATAACAATATACTCGCGACCCAACGTGAAGAGCGTTGTGTGAATATAGATGTACAAATTCTTGTGCTCGAAGCAGTTACCCATGCATCACGGCCTTTACGACTTAATGAGCTTGCTAATCTTCTGAAATGCATCTATCCAGATGCCGCCGACTCAGCCGGCTTCAAATCCTTGGTTGCGGCATCCTGTGGGCCACTAATAGAGATCCTCGAAGATGAGACGCTCCAAGTCATCCATCATTCGTTCACTGAATTCTTGAGAGGCGACACCCGAAGCCAGAGTACCGCATCAGGGGATTCCTTGATAGATTTCCCGATAATACAATCTGATACGACGCACAAGCACATGGCTCTTTACTGTCTGCGCTATCTTCAATCCGGATCCTTGTTAGTACAGGGCGAGACCTCTGACAGCGCGTCTGTCACTTTTCAAGTTCCCACACACAGAGTAAATCCTGACGAAGACTATGAGAGATACTCTCGAAAGGGGATGAAGAGGGAAGCCGATCATTTTAAATACAGGGATGCTCGACTGAAACATCCATTTTTGAGCTACTCAGTTGAGAACTGGTCCTATCACGCCAGCCGATATGACCGAACTGACAAAGAGATGTTCGATGCAGTTCTTGGCTTTCTAAATGCCGATAGTTTGGCATTCAGGAGGTGGCTTGTTCTCCAATGGGGCTCGACAACTAGAGATAAGGAAAGCACAGATGGCATCCCGACAGCCCTTCATATCGCAGCCTTTTCTGGAATGCCTGAGCTTGTGCTGGAGCTTATTAAAAAGGGATCATCCGTCGCGAGCCTGGATGCTCAGGACCGTATCCCTCTCCATTGGGCAGCCGCTAACGGCCATACAAAGACTGCATCGTTACTCATCCAGCAGGGAAGCGAGCCAAATGCAGTCGATGGCCGCGGTCTGAAGCCGATTCATCTTGCCGCTAGGAAAAACCATCACCTGGTTGTCACAGTCCTCCTTGAAGCAGGAGTGGAACCAAACACAATAAAGACTAAGGAAAACCATGCTGACCGGCTGTTGGGTGGGGAGCTGATCACCCGGGGTGAGTGTGCAATTCTTTATGCCAGCCAGGGCAGACACACGGAAACGGTCATATCGATGATACCATTTTGCAATCAAGACACTTTAGAGCAACTCCTATGCGAGTGTTGTCGATTTAACCGCACAGACTCTGTGCTGGAGATCCTCAAGAGATCAAATGTCTCGGCTGATGCCACGTATCGCGGTGGAACAGCCCTCTATCTAGCCTGCCGCGGATTCAATGTCGAGTGTATTAAGGCTCTGATTAAACGTGGAGCGGATGTCAACAAAATCTCTGTTTGGGCACCTCGTCCTACTATGAATGGAGGGGGTAGGAGAAAGGAAGCTTCTACGACACCAGTTCACTGGATAATTCAAGAAAGGGGAGAAGAAAACAAGAAAACATGCCGAACCATTCTAAAGCTCCTGATTGATGCCGGTGCTGATCTTGAGCAACTTAATGGCGGGCAGCTCACAGCATTGCAACTGGCAGCGAAAGGACGCCAGTCCGCTGATGCGCCATCGGAGTGCCAGATGGACATTTTAAGATTGCTTCTAGAAGCTGGTGCGAGCACCAAAACGGCCGGTCATAACGGGAGCACCGCCTTGCATTTGATTGTCGGGCCACATCTGAGCCTGGAAGCTGTCAAGCTTCTAGTGGAGTATGGAAGCGACCCGAACCAAAAGAAATCCAGCGGTGAAACTCCTCTTCATCTTGCTTTGCAATTTCGCTCGAAGAAACAACCCAAAATAGAGGCGCAGAATGCTGTCATCAAGTACCTGATTGAGAAGGGTGCCGATCCCAATGTGGAGGACAATAAGGGAAACTCAGCAGTACAGGCCGCAATTTTTATGTCCGCTGATATATTCAAAACACTCCTCTCTAACTGCCACGATGATGGCGTCAAACAGAAATGTTGGTTTGGATTGTCTCGAGTGGATGACACCCGATTTTCCTCGTGCTTGCAAACCTTGCTGGGAGAAGGCATTGACATTGACATGCAAGATCAACAAGGTCTCACACTGTATCTGCATTGCCTATGGTATCCAGCAAAACTCTCTGTCCTCGAGAAGTACAAAGCGAGAGTAGACATTGCTGATAACCTAGGCAATAACGCACTACACCATGTCATCAGACAACCGAGCATCTCGCGCATAGAATACTTCACACAGAGGGGACTGGATCCTCTCAGTGTGAACATTGATGGCAACACATTGATTCATTTGGCGACTTTGAATTATAGATTCGACATCAACTCTTCTGGAGGGAATGGTAACCCGGTTGCGTTCTTCGAATACCTTGTCAATCTTGGAATATCTGTCAATGCTGTTAACAAAGATGGGCAAACGGCTCTGCACCTCTACGAGAGCCGTGATGACTACAAATCACGAACGGCGAATCTTATAGACGCCCTCAACTGTAAAGGCGATGTCAAGTTTGACATCAAAGACAGGAATGGCTTGACTGCTCTCCATCTGGCCAGCATGAGATCTGTGTCCGAATTCGACAAGTTAGTGGAATGCGATGCTGATTGGACCGTCCTCACCAACGACTCCCAAAACATTTGGCATCTCATTTGCCGTGCTCGAAAACCCGAGATTCTTGGCCAATTACTAGAAAGATTGACTGCATTCGGGATAGAGCAGCGAGACCGGTTTGGTAAGACACCTCTCTACTATGCCTGCAGCTCCGGGGAACCAGAATCGGTTGCGTTTCTTCTAAGCAAAGGTGCCAAAGTCAGAGTAACCGATTTGGAAGGCGATACTCCTCTGCACGCTTGTGCGCATTTCAGAGTAGAGCAAAACCTATGGGATGCACAAGGCCAGCGTTTCTTCAAATGGAGGCAAGGTCCACCTAAGGACATATTCCGTCCAGGCTCCTCTCAAAGACCGTATACTTCCAGTCCTTGGTATCAAAGCATATATAACGACGGGGTAGCGGTATCTCGAAGGAATTTTTTCCCTTCTGTCATAACCATCATAAAGATGCTTCGAGAAGCAGACGTTGATGTTGGCGCTGTCAATGAATCTGGATATACGGCACTGGACACCGCCCTCCATCTCGGGTGCGCAGAATTCATCGAAGTATTCTCCCGAGATGGAGATTTGCTCACTGAGGCAACAAAGCATTTAGATGATGACCGAGATGGGAGATTGAAACCAGATGAAGCTCGCCGAAGAATGCGAGCTCAGATGATTGTCATGCAGCAAAGGTCGGCTTTGGATACTCTGAGAAAGGACAAAACACTTCTTGATGAAGTTGTTAATAATCCTACCCGATATCTCAACCTCATTTCTTATGAAGACCTGGCAACCATTGTCAATGAGGGCTTCGAGGCTGATAGCTTAAACCCAGTCTGTCATAAGTTAATCAACGAGGCGATAAACTCCGAAAACCTCGAGGTTCTGGAGCGGATTCCTAGGCTTGTCAAGCAATATGGTTTGTTTTCTTCGCTCAAGGAAATGGCTCAAGGAGCCGAGTTTGCTCGAGTATATTTCTCTGATACGCCTGCTCTTACCTCGCTCCAGATGGCGTGCAAGCGTTCGAAAATCAGTTTAGTTGCAGTCAAACTACTCGTTGAGGGTTTCCAGCTCGACCCAGATGCACACTCAGCAGTCCCTCGTCGTGTAAATGGTGGGGGCTCAGTACAAATCGCCGAGGGCGGAACTGCACTTCACATCCTCGCGTCGGCAGATGAATGGTGGCACCTAGAGGCAATCAAATATTTGCTTTCAAAAGGAGCTGATGTGAACGCCAAAGATGAAAAGGGCTGTACGCCTCTTCATCTGGCATCCAAGGGCAAGTACCTCGATAATCATGCGACCAAGGGTTCACATAGGTTGGACGCGGTTAGTATCCTTCTGGATAATGGCGCGGACCCAAACGCCTTGGACAATAACGGGCTATCGCCACTTCACAAAGCATCCGGTGCTCTCGACATAATGGAGGAGTTGCTGGAACGGGGGGCAGACCCCAACATAGGGTCTCTCAGCCCTTTGTTCATGGCAATAAAAGACGCGAATTTCCCGGCGTTTGAGATGCTCCTTGATCAAGGACTCAGCGTGGATTCCCTCGATGAAGTACGACACAGCCGCGATGTGCATTATTCACTGAAAGAGTCGCGTAAATTATATGCACTTGTATGTTGTGCATTTTCCAATGGCTTCAACAATGAGATTCTCAAGTCTGTACCATTGTTATGTTCTCTCGTGAAACGCGGAGCAAACCTTTACTTGCCAGTGAGCGATCACGAAACGTTGATACATTTCCTCTTCGAATTTCCAGACTATCCGATCCTGGACGCTTTACTTTCAGAGGAATGCAAGACCAGGATTGATTTAGACCACCGAGATCAACAAGGGCGCACGCTGTTGATGGCCACTTGTGACTGGTTTGGAAGCTTGCCTCGAGGCGGACGCAAAGACCCCAAAAAAGATCCCTTTCTGACAGGGCCTCCCCTACGTATCCTCGATTGCGGCGCCGATGCTACACTGGTTGATAATGCAGGTATGACTGCCCTTCACCATTTGCTAGCTAACAACGACATGGTGGACGATGTTCTCATCGAGTTCATCAACCGGGACGAGGTTGCCCCTATCCTATTTCTCAAAGACAAGCAGGGGTACTCTCCTTTCCATTATGCTCTGCGCACGCTGCGGCCGAAGATCTGCGAGCTTCTTCTTTCAAAGGGCGCGGACATCAGCGAGGCCGATCCAAATGGCCTGACGGTGCTGCATTATATCGCAAACCAGCGCTCGAGCCTGAAACGCAGATCACGTCGTTTCGACGGCTCAACCAGTACCTTGCCCGCCGACTATTTTGACGGGTGCTTGTCTCTTTGGGCGAGATATATTGATGAAGGCGGCTCGATCAACGTTGTAGACACCGGTGGCAACACCCCTCTGCATCTCTACCTCTTGTCACCAGTATCTGGCCATCGCCCTGAACATATGCTCACATTCCACCTGGACTATTACGATGAATTCTTTCCTCCAGATAGCGACGTTGACGTATTTGCTTCGAATAATGACGGTGAGACAATGCTCCATCTCATAGCCAGAAGGCAGAAACAGTATTTTGCGGAGCCTGGCTATGACAAAGCCTTGTTTGAGGCGATGATGGCAAAAGGGCTGGACCCTTTGAAGGAAGATGTGCAAGGGAGGAGTGCGTTGGATGTTGCTAGTGCTTTCGAAAAGGACGACATTGTTGGGCTTCTAGGAAGGGCTTCGAGGGGATGAGATAGCGAGACGTGATTTAGTTGCACTTGCAACTTTGAATTCTTTGGAAGTTGAACTGTTATTGGGATTGTGCCATTTTACGAATGCGAAGTATTGAAAATTCTTATGCTATCGGCAAACTTATATGGAAACTACCCCAGTCGTTGAAATCTGGGCGGCATGATACTTTGCCACAATCGCATTGTGTGCCCCCATGATGCTTTTATATCACGAATGGTGCAGGCTTGGTTCTAAGTAGTTGACTTGTCTATATTTGGAAGTTGATAGACATCATGAAAACGTGTATTGTGCGTTTACTCTCAGAGCTATTGGTGATATTTGATCTATTCAAACAAACAAAGACTCCATATTTCTGCATCCATCATGACGCAACTAGACTGATTGTTGGCTTAGATGACGACGAGAATAGAATCTAATGTTCCTTGTGTCTCCACATCGCCCGACGATGAAAGCTAATATCTCCAGAGAGTGTAGCTAGAATCATACCATATAGCCCTCCAATAGGCCATGCGCTCAGCCAAGACTTGCTGCACTGGTTGGGATTCTCCCCTTCAGCTTGGGGCTCGACCTTCACCTTGTCATATATAGTTGGTAGAGTCGTAGCAAAGTACTTTTCCGCGAGGGCTCGATACCACGGTTGATCATACTCGGCCCAGAACTCATCTTCGGTGTAGTATATATGAGCATAGAGCCACTTGCGGCCACCTAGAGCCTTCAAAGTGCTCTCTAGCTGGCGGTTTTTGGCAACAAAGGTTTTGTAGTCTCTGGGGCCAAATCCCCAAACCCCAATGTTCAACATCGGTCGTGACATGTTGGTTGTCCCGGATGATGCTTTCTCTTCTCCCACTAGCCGCTGTGGCCCGGTAACAGGGTGAAAAGATGGAAGAGGGCTTTTCCGAAGGGGACATAACCAGAGGGGCCAAATGCCCAGTTCTTAGTCAACCCAGTTTATGAAGCCGTCAGCTGTCTCGTATGGTAAAGCTAGATCTTGAACCATGTACTGTGATGAAACACCACTTGGAGTAATCGTCAAGCAGCCAACGGAAGAACTTGATGAATGGGATGACTTTGAAGTAGGTGTAGCGTTGTTGGCCAACCAAAAAGCCAGCTCTATCGTAACGAAAGAGATACTCACCCAAGGGAATATACTCGACGATTGTGGCTGCTGGTGCTAGATCTCTAGTTTTATCGGAAACATGCATGTAGAACCATGGACCGTGAGCATTGCTAAATGTCCGCAGAGTACCTCCGGCAGGCATGGTGTCGGTCAACTGGCCAGTGATGATAACGCTGTGCTCCTTGGAAAACATGATGGCATCCACATAATCGACATTGGGGTTTTCGGTTTGTGGCTGAACCTCTGCAACGGCATCTGAAACTCCAGTGACTTTTGGGTATGTTGTCATGACCAGGTTCTTGGCTTCGACAAGTCGAACGTCCATGAGTGTCACGATACCAAGGGTCCCAGCCACCCCCGCAGCTCCGTGAAAAAGGTCCTGTCGCTCCTGGCGAGATGCCCGTATGATATCTCCATTCCCGAGAATCATCTCCACAGAGTTGACAGTGTCGTTGAAGAACCCATGGCGGAATGAGCTGCTATCCCCAGTGGAAAACCCTCGGCCAGCCGTGATGCCCGGGAACTCCATTACGACAGGAGGCACGAGGCCATAGGTGAGAGTTGTCTCGACGAGGCGATCCATGGGAACATTTGGCTCAACCAGGGCGACGTGCTTCTCAGTATCCACTTACAGTACATTGCTCAGCATGCTGATGTCGACCACATTTTGCTGTGATCCGTGCCGAGGGCGAGTGCTATTGGAGGAGCCGTGGAAAACGCGATACGATTCTCCAATCTCAAAGAACCGCCGGACATCTAACGCAACCTCATAAACGTGTTTGGAGTGGTCCTCCATCATTGCGGGTATCAAAAACTAGACGGAGTCTTGAGGTGTGGGATGACTATCTAAGGGTTTTTATAAACTTATTTATATAAAATTCTCTTTTACTTTATTATAGTGAAAGCGAAGTCTACCTTTATAGTAGCGGGAGCTGGCCATTCTTGGTGTCATCATATAGCCGGCACAATTGACTCCGGAATTTAGTACCTATGGTAAATTATTCGTGATTGGCAAGTTTATTTCGGCATTTCTTTTCCCTTGTCACCTCAAGACAACCGCAAAAGAGAGGTCACAACGGGTGGTGGCCCTCGCCACAGAGATTAGCCTTGGTTGCCATACGAGGGACTGGATATTGATGAAAAGTACCTGCTCACGCCCAACATATGCATGGATCGCTGATGAAGTAAGCCGGACCGCCTGCCGAGCGAAGGATTCGATCAAGAGGCGAGAGGAGCCGGTCTAGTCTTCGCGGTAAGCTGTCTCAATTGCTTGGTATATCTGTGAACTAAGCAGGTCTCAGGTGGTAGGATTCATGCTGGGGACGGATCGGTACGACTATATGCTCAATAACCGTATAAGAAAGTATTGATTAGAATTAAAAAAAAAAATATGTAGACGCCCTTTTGAGCCGAAAGTAGGCGAAAGCCTATGGTTAAGATCTATCTTGGGCTCGAGGGTGCTCTATCTACTTCTTGAATCTGTTTGTCGACCGATTAGCTACAACCCATGGCATACATAGGCCTAGAACAGGTCATATCAGAGGTGACGGATCGAATTTCTGATGTAACAAGCTAGTATGGACCGTCTGACTGTTCTATCTGTATTCATGGATGGCCAGACCACATTCCGCTTCTCCTCATTACCAGATACCAGGTACGAATCGCCAGGGCACTCTTCTGCAATACTCGGTCCAGGCTGGGCCATATTTGACAGAACATCGCTTCTCGTCTCGCATACATCGATGGACAAGTAGAACCGTCATCCAAATGGCATACGTCCACACCACCAACTTCGTACTGCCCACCAGAGCACAGGAGCTGTAGCTGAGAAATAAGTCCCCCACGTAATTCGCGTGTCTTGACCAGCCCCACCATCCACTGCAAACCAGCAGGCTCTTGTGCTCCTTTCCATCCGAGGTCGTGTATGCGGCCTCGATGTACTCCACGGGCCTCCCCCAAATCTGGCATCGCCCCCCACTGCTGCGGACCTTGTCCTTTTGGTAGTTGGCGGAGCGGAAAAGCACATACCCTGCCAGGCCAACGATAAAGGCGACGGCAAGGTAACCGGTCGATGACGATGAAGGGTACATTCCCAGGTACTGTCCCTGGATCGTATACGTCGTAGGCAGGAAGCAGAAACAGCCCCAGGCGAGGTAAAAGCCGTAGTGGTCATGAGCAATATCAATTGTGCGTAGATACCAAGACTCGTTGATGAAGAAGTCCACCACATACAGGGTTTGGAGGATGGAGACGAGTACCAGAGACGGCTGGACGTGCCCCTGCATCTGGTGCTGATACGCAAGGTTGGAAAAATCACTGCGAATGGAAAGGAGATTAGCATGTTAATCTTGTGTGAGGGTACCGAGCTGAAGCCAAGACTTACATGAGAGTCCAGAGGATCATCCCCGGGCGCCCATTACTGAAAAGCTTCAGATCAAATGCATCGCCGATCCGAGGGTTAAGCTCGATTCCCATGAAATAGTCATAAATCAAAGAACCTAAATTAAAAAGTCAGTAACCGTATGCCCTTGCGATATCTCGTAGTGACGGCCTACCGCTGAATTTTCGGTCGTCTGCGTGCGTTGGGCTCACGTAGGCCTTCACAAATGCGAGAGCCGAAATGAGCAGACCAGCCACATTGAGCGCCGCGATCAGACTGCTCCAGTTGCGCGGGATGAAGCCAGGGTCTAAGAGATCATTCCAACAGAGGACAAAGTACAATACGTGAGTCAGGACCCACGCAGAGAGGCCATTGATGCGGTAGGTGAGCAGATGTCCGGCTGGTGTGTACTGTCCAGTCTGCAAATGGCCGGGCAGATACACGAAGAGGAGCGCCTGGAAGCTGACCCAGCAAACGACTGCAAATGCGCCTTTGAGGGTCAGCTGCGGTCCGTACTTCCAGCAGATGACCCAGAATCCTTGCTCTGCCACGGCGGCGGCGAACGAGGCGTATGATCCTTCAAACGCAGCGAGCGTGATGAACGTCGAGATGGATGCGAGGGGCGCCAGGACAACCGGAGTCGAGGCGATCAACGCGCCGAACCAGGACCTGCCACCGCCGGTGCGACCCCAGACCTCGCCATTGCTTCGGGGAGGGATCGGGTCGCATCTTTGCAGAAGAGACGTGGCTGTGTGGCGCTTCCTCAATGACGAGGCCGTCGTCGCTGATGTCACAGCGCCATTTTCGGTGCTGGCGGTCATGATTACGTCGAGAGAGGTCGTGGGAATCCTTCGAGTCGGGTTACGAGGCCCTTACCCGGTTCAAGACAAATAAATAAGGCTAGATGTTGGACGAAAACACGGGCATCGCTCCTGGGACGGATTGTGATGGAGGTGAGTGAGACTCGACTCTGCCGCTGCATCAATTTCTGGCGGCAGGTACCGTCACCGAAGTTACCCTAAGGCAAGAAGGAGAGAAGGTTCCGCTGATGAAGCAGGCAGAACTTAGGCAGAAGGCCCAATGCGCTTAGTCTTTGCGAGATACGCCAAAGTCTCGGAATCGCGCGCCCTCGGACATCAATCTCCCCGTCGGCGAGACAGAGGGAGGCCCGTAGCCACCCGAAATGCGCGTCTGTCTCAGCCAGCCACCATCTTATGAAGAGCATTGCAGAGATTTTCGACAGGCAATCACTGCGCAGGAGAGATAAATGATGACGCACGGGGGCTGTCTTCGTAATGTCCCGACAAGATTGAGTACCGATTACGCTGACGATGGCGTTTTCGTGCGTCACGGCCAATCTCATCCACTTCTGCAGGTCTGATTGCTTGATCAACATGTCTTTGATGACACTCAGCCACTGGCTTTGCTGACTGAGACTGTCGCTCTCAAACCTGAATTTCCTATATTGTTGAGGAATGGCGAAGGGGGATCTGGGAGACCCAATCTGAGATCTCACCTAACCTAATCCCCCTTAGCCAGTCTCATTATTTAGTGTTAAGAACCGTGCTAGTTTTACGCGTCTATCAAGACGGCAGACATAGAGGTATATGGTCTGCTCTCTGCTGCCGCTCTTGGCCTCGTTTTTGCCGCCGCAACGTCTCTCATCCAGCGATATAGACAAACCCCGTCTACCGGGCCGTCGCTGCCCCCAACCATCATGCTAGAAGCTACATTAGCTGCAGACCGATATTCCTCCTCCATAATATCCTCGGTCATTCAGTCAGTTTAAATCTGAAGGCTCCCTTAAAATATTTGGGACCAATCAGTTCATAGCTTCACGCTCCGTCGGTTGCACGCACTATTCTCCATCCACCACGAGATCGTACACGACGTTTTCCATATCGAGAAGGTCTTCTTCAAGCAAAATGAAGCGTTCGACATCCACCCAATAAGCACTTCGATGCTACGACGAATCTTTAGGTGCAACTTCATAGGCATTGTCCGAGATGAATGTATTGAGGTAGTTGATGGTTTCATGAAAATTGTCGCGCGAGATTTTCTCAATGCGTCAACCGTTACAGCCACTCTTCATCCAAAAGATATCAAAGCGAAGTGTCTTCGCTGATCATTTTCTCAGAAAATACTGATCTACAAAATCCTTGGGAACAACTCGCATACACGAAAGTGCTACGCTTAGATCCCACATACCCAGGGCATGTTGTGGAGGCCGATCTCGAGAGCCTCTTGAGAGTACTCAGCTTCCACATTTCCATCCCACTAGTGTATGGACACGACTATCTTGATCGGAATCCATTGGCGCTGTGGGATTGGGACTGCTTTGGAGGGCAGACTGCGCTTCTCGCGCTTGGTGTTCCTACATGGGTGCCAATTCCCTCGTTCCGACGCCGCATTGTAGCCAGAGACAGGCTGGTTGACTCCATTTCTTCTGTTTACCGTCGTACGAGGCAATATCGCAACGGAGAGGCTGTTGACTACGGCGCCGACATGCCTGATGTGAGTGAAACTGCATTGGACAGATACCAGGTGTTCGATCGCCACGGCCTTCCAGCTGAAAATATTGGCCACATCGAGTTTTCTCTCCTCTGGGCACAAAATCAAAACACACAGCAGTTGCTGTTTTGGTACATATTCTATATATACTACGTTCCCGGCCTGCTAGATTCTCTACGGCAAGAACTTGCGTCTTCTGGGGTCCTGTCAATATCGGCCGATGACCCTCCTCGGATAACCAGGCTGCACATTGGTGTGCTGGGAAAGCAATGCCCACTCCTGAAGTCAACCTTTCTTGAATCGTTTTGGGTAACAGAGGAATCGATCATGTTTCGGCGAGTAACGGAGAAGCTAACACTGGATGACGGCAAAGACCAATATCAGCTACGCCTGGGATCCTGGCTATCCGACTCCACGGCCCTAACCAGGCACCATTCTTGGATCTACCCACGGCCTCTTGAGTTCCTCCCGGACAGATTTGTAGAAGGAAGCACAGCGAGCTACAAGACTCTGAGACCATGGGGCCTGGGCCTGACCATGTGCAAAGGTCGCACCTTTACAGAGAAGAAAGTGTTGGCTGTCGCAGCTAGCATGATCGCATTGTGGGACATTGAGCAGGCTGTAGGGGAATGGCAACACCCTAGCTTTCGAACTGGTGCCACTATCTTGGATCCCGCCTCAAAACTACGCGTACGTATTAAGCGACGTACATTAGACTAAAGACTCAAGTACTAGTCAGCAGAGCTAGTGCAGGAATCTCCTCCTAGCTCAGACAGGTCTACAGGGGTGGGTTTTCGTGAGTGTACTCACGCATAACCATTTCGATAATTCTGCCGTTCTCGCTTACCTACGTAGTACAGCTTTATATTACCACTCTTCGTAACTCCAGTGAAGTCTTCCTCTCGACTGAAGCAGAATCGTGGATCTCACTGCAAGTGCTCTTCAGTGGGGGAGGAGAATGAACTTCTCTGCAACAGGCACAAGTGTCGACGTCATAAGGCCCGGGCCAGTCCTCTTCAATGAAATGCCCAGCTAAGCCTACATTTCGAATTTGTTTTTATTGTATCGGGACCTTCCGGGACTGAGACCATAACAAAAGAAATGAAAGTCTAGTTTCAGAACTCCGCTACTTTAGTAATACTGGCCTATTCAAAGGGTGAAAGAAAGGAAAACAAAAGAGTAAAAAGCAGAAAAAAATATCTTAGTCCTGAGAGCTTAACAAAACGTCCACACAAAGATCTTAACTCGATCAAGACAAGAGAAAAGGTTGGCCCACGGCTGTGACTTATTTACTTGATCCTCTACCGAGGACAATGAATGCCTACTTAGAAGCGCTGATGGTCGTGATGTGTACAGAAAAGGGATTAAGATAAATAAAAGAAAGAAAAAGCAGCGTAGCCTTTGATCAGACAAAGATAAGCCTAGGAAGGACAAGCAAGGTGAAACAATAGTCTGGATTGGGGAGAGATTAGTTTGACCTATTTCAGGAAAATAGTCTTCCACTTTTGGGATACTTGGTCAGATTCCCTCTTTGTTTCGTACTACAAAGGATATATCTAATCCCAGCTGATCGATGTTCTCTTATCAGCAGTACGTGGATATGAAGATCTATAACGGTTGACCTTGAAAAAGTGCAATGATTCAAGCCAAATTGGCCAAACAACTGTAATGTATCCACTAAAGCTGCCGTGCTTTGTAGGTTCATTTAAAACGAACTTCCACCAAATCGGGTTTTAGCTCACTTGTGTTTACCTAGCTCAGGCTTTAGAACCTAGGTCCAACTAATGTCATTGCCTTCGAGAGATAGCCCCGAGATCTTGTCCTGGACAGCCATTATCGTAGGATAGACAGCAACTTTGAAGGCTGCGTACGTCCTGGTACAAGTTCTCTGGCCGAAGAGGGTAGGATAGATAAGAATCTAACGAGCGGCTCATCCCAATAAGAATGGTGTCACCAGTGTAAAGATTTACAAAGATTTCACTCTATACAGCTATAGCCTTAAGCTATTAGAGCTTGGTTTCGCCTTCGTATTCTTTGTTTTGAAATGTTGGGTCTGGCATCTTCTATTGTTATTTAATTTTATACTCGAACTCTCTTCCGCACGAATGCAAGCAGGAGATTAATGAACCTGGGTATTATTAGAATATCAAATCAGATGCTATACATCGGTTCCTACTTATCACCGGCCCTGGAAAGCTTGTCCTTCTCACGATTTAATCAAGAGAGAAAGTGTAAAAGGGGAAGAAGAAAGGATAGAAGAAAACTTACACGGTTTCTTTTTATTTCTCCGGAACATAATCACAACAATAGTACGGGGAATTCATAAATAGAGAAGATTTCCGTAAAAATTTGATGCCTTACAACTGGCAATTATTACAACCAACACTCGAAAACAATCTCTAGACCACCTGATTCTTGAGTATTTTCGAGATCAAAATGGAAAGCTATGAAAAAGACTCCAACGAGAAGATATTGCGATTGAGACAGGAATTACACGAGCAAGAAGAATGGGAGAAATATGAATGGAACTGTACAGGCTGTGGAAAAAGCCTCACTCATATTCATTTCGATAATGATGCTCTCATGCCGTATCTTGAAGACCCTTTTTCAGATCATCCCTCTATTCCCTCTATTCCCTCTATTCCCTCCCATGCCTTGCTATCGGAAGGGAATTTTCCTCCGACGGCGCAGGGTCTGCAGAATGCAGAATGTCACCAGCTCCTCTGCAACCAGTGCAAGTACGACATCGACGACGACCCATTTAAAGAGACCCAATGGAATGGTCAACCTCAGAGCCCCATCCGTTCAAGCCGATACATCAAATATGACTCTTTCCTATACCGATATTTCCCGGGCCTGGCAGACATATTGGGTAGGAAAGAATTTACGGATTTTGACCCCCCACGACATTGGCCCACATATATGGTACGCTGCACTGACTGCAAAAAATGGAAGGAAATCAGGCACTATTTGAATGATACGTGGCCTGATCATTTGCCAGAGGGCTTTCTTTCTGGTGGATGTATTGTTCTTAAAGATGACCCTTTCCTTCGAGGCTATACTACCTGCGATCAGTGCATCGACGTACAAGCAGCCAATTTGTCTCCACGCTTAGTTTTGCTTGCGGTATGGATCCAGAAGAATTCTCTAGAATTCTGGGATTTTAATAAGTGGCCTGAAATGTTTGGTCACAGGACATTTGTTGATACGGAGAAATCTTGCGCTTATGTTTGGAGTGTCCGAGAAGAATTCGAGAGAAGCGGAGGAGAACGTGGCTTGAATAAAGAGCGCTTTCGTGAGGAAGGTTACAAAAACTTTACATTCGAAATTAAACCCGACGGACAACGGGAATATCTTAATGAGGAAGACATCCAAAAAGTAGAGACTTGTCTAGACTACTATATCTGGCTGTTGAGAGCTGAGAAAATGCTCAACCTGTTAGAAGGATTCTCTCTGAATTACTACCCGGGACTAATAGCTATGTCTTAGAGCTCCAGATAGGGTTAATTTATATAAGATAATAGTATTATTATTATTAGCTATAATCTGCTTATAAAGATTATTTATTATCTTTCCTTCTAATTATCTTATCTTATAATTATAATAGTAATTATTATATATAGATAATACTCTACTAATTAAAGAGCTGTATTTAATACAACTACATATAAAATCAAATACGGCTAATCTATGATTTTTTTTATTGAACACAAGATGTAGCCAACGCCGTCTTCGTTTGTGACGACGTGGGTAAGAGCTGGCATCTTAGAACATAGCTTCAGGAAGGAAGAAGCTACTTAGCTACAACAATTCAAATTCATATAACAAACCCGTCGCTGAAGAAAATGTCCACACTAAGATGCGGTCAGCTCAAAAGCTCACATTAAATTAGTTCGACTCATCTATGTTATGCTCTCTTAAGTGCCTTCTCCTCTAAACTAATTAGCCATTCCATCGACAGGCTGATCAATTTACCTCATTAACAATAACAGCAGAAAATACTGGGTATGTATGGGGTGGTGTTGTGCGTCCCAAATGTCCTACTTTAGCATTGCCCATCCTAAAATTACTTCGATGAAATTGGACTAATTAATGAATAACTTTATTTGTGGCTCCCTTTTTTGTCGCGCTCCTACCTCTGACTTCTAAAAATGAGACACAGGATGATTAGGTAAAGAGGAAGAGGAAAGGTAGTAATAGAACATTGTTGAAGAAAAAAATAAAAGAGAGTAACGGAATCGGGAGGGAAATGAGATCATACCAGTTGTTGTTGCACTTCACAAGAAGAGGAAAAAGCAACTAGAAATGATAACATTCTCACTGTTTACGATCTTCACAAGGCCATTATAGACAAAACTCTTCTATTTCGGAGTATTTTGTTGCCAGCGTAAATGGATTTGTTGATGCTTCAAACCCTCGTAAAACCTACCCATACGAGCCTTACAGGCTGATGAGCATTCGTGACCACATCCGTATTGGGATATTCGCATGGCGAGATCCAGCGGGGATTCTAGGAACGAATCTCGATGCTCGAAATTGGTGAGGTCTGTGAAAATTTTTGGGATGTCCTCTAGTTTAATCTTGGGATTGATAACAGCCAGGTGGAAGCCACTTCTACCACGATTGTCGTGGAGATCCATAAGACCCACCCTCACCATGTGAGTCAAGTCACGAGCTTTGCGATAGCGTGCATAAAAATGCACAAGCTCAGCAGCATAAGGGAAAGTGATCAAGGAAGTTGACTGGTAGTAGCGTCTCAAATTTTCCAGCTCATGGATATCCCCCCATGAGGCTGCATGATGCAATGGTGTGAGTCCTTTCGAATCAAACACATTGAAATCTTTATATTGACCCATGAGCTTTTTTACCACAGAGGTGGCTCCAGGGTAATGGAATGCTAGATGCAATGGAGTTCGCCCAAGAAGATCATGTATGTTCACTTTAGCCCCGGAATTAACCAGCTTGTTCACCAGGTTGAACATGTTACTGTTATCCCTTTGGACGGCGTAATGGATCGCCGCCCGCCCGAAGACATCCACACTGTTGATGTCATCCACATTATCCCGGATTACTTCTGTAATCTTCTCTTCGCTCAGATCTTCTCCCTTGAGGCAGAAAAGATGAAGGGGAGTCAGGTGGTTGTGTGGTGACACAGGCTTTTGGGTGTTTCCTGAATGCACGGATACCGGTCCCAGTCCCCAATTGAACGCGCTAGAGAAACGAGAATCATGGGATTCTGAAACACTCACCACCCTCTTTAAGAACCCCCAATCAGAATCTCCAATGTAGCATCGTGTTATCTTTATGACAGAGGTCAAGGTACACTTAATGGCGGAACGGGATTCCCAACCTGGTTCGTGATCCAAATCCATATGCTCCAGGCTGTCTATCAAGACCGAAGCTACTTTGAGGAAAATATCTTTTCGGGTTGGGAGCTTAAGAGAGTTTCCAAATAACCACATATAAACATGGTTATTGATATCCTGAGATTCCTTTCGCTCGTAAGCATCGTGGTACTCTCTAGCCGCCTCGAGAATTGTCTGAGCGCTTGGTAGCTTATCTGCTCCCAATAGCGGCAGCAAAAGGGCAGGGAGCACTATGTCCTGGTCTCCAAGTCCCTCATGAGAGATTTTGGCAGAAATGTCTCGAAGACATGAGTTCTCAAGGGCAAATTGAGTCCGCCGTGAACCCTTGGGAGACGTTTGAGCGGCTGTAACGACCACGCCAGTGCTACCACCTATGGGTTTCTTCAAAGTTTTAGCCAATGACCACACGAACAAGCAGAACAAATGCTGTGCTAGGCTGGTTTGAAGAGACCCTTCTGGCTCTTGCACAAGAGTCTTCACTTCATCCAACGTGCTGAAGTGTTCGTCTAACAAAACCAATGAGGATGATTTTGATGGTCTTTTGTACGAGGAGTGTGTGGGTAAGGTAGATGATCTTCTGGGTGAAGGCTCAGATGAGGGAATGTCGTGTTCAAGAGCGACTAGCCCGAATTGACGGGTATCTCGAAAAGGCTCATTGAACCACAGGTTGATCCCTTGGAATAGAGCTGGGAGAGGGTTTCCTTCTGATGGCATTAGAGAAAGGGACGTGAGTTTTCTAGAATGCTTGCGAAGCCACTCATCTTCCTGGCCAACGATTGCATGTCCAGCAGGTGGCCTAGTTGAGATGCTTTCGCCCACAGGTACCGCTGCGGCTGTCGGCTGTGTTTCTCGCTCTTTGTCCCCGCATCTCGTCTTGTATAGCCAGAGGGACAGCATGGCTTCTAGATCGCCGGCTTGTACATTCCATTTCTTCCCATCATCGTCGAGATTCAAACGAAACTCGACAACGTCGTCTGGGTGACCCCCAATCTTCCACAAAAGACTACGGCAGCCAGGTTCTAAGTAACCTTCACCCGAGGCAGTGATGATGTCTAGCGTTCCCTCTATGGCTCGAGCAACGGAAACAGCCAGTGTCGTCAATGGAGGAAGTGCGGCTCCAGCTTTGGCGATACCTTTCCTAAGGTTCAAGACTTCTTGAGCCTTGGAAGGCCGAGCGGTGGAATCCAGCGGAGCGTTGGAGATAAGTGGCACACATTTTGTGAGATCCTCCCAGCTAGGTGACTTCCAGTCCCAGCCACCGTTAGCAGCCCACGGACGATCAGAGCTATCTGGCTCTGCATGTGGCCTTGCCTCGAGCGTTTGCGACCATGGTGTATCTTGAATGCCTTTAGCCATGGTCATCGAGAGCCAATCCATCTCAAAGCCCGATGTGAGAGGCCTTGCGCTTGGCCGCCTCGCAAGATGGTCGTTAATGCAATATCTGATGGCAGTCATCACGAGCAGGGCGCCTATGTGCACGAATTGCAACGCAGGGTGCATACCGCGCAGCCCAAATAACTGCAAGATAAAAGCAACAACGCAGCAAACGCTCGAAATGTTGCAGTACTTGGTCAGCGACCGACTAAGCTCCCGCCTCTCTGTGGTGACGATATAGTCTTTTGGCCGGGTTGGAAAGATGGCATGGGGTAAGAAGTGCTGGTAGTTGATCGTTGACCGGCCTTGGAGCCAAACTTGACGGTCCAGCTGCCATCCAGGGGCTGGGCGGTACACAACTACGGCTGTACACTGAAGGATGATGTAGCCAAGCATGAACGAGCAAATGAACATCCCAAAGGAGCCAATTCCGTATATCACCTTCCAAGCCGGCGTCTCTTTGTCATCTTTCACCCAATCAGGCTGTACTCCGACAAGCACCCAAGGGCAAACCAAGCCGAAAAGAAAACCAGCGAGAGCCAACAATAGATATACGTCTCCAAATTTGGGATGCAAATGCTCCTGAATATTCAGGCTCAGATTGGGCGATTTAGTCTTGTCGTTTTTGATCAAGATCACCCCAGCGTCATCACCAGCACCACCGTGAGGCATCTGAGGACTGCCAGAAGCCCTAGAGGGTAGATCTTCAAGGGGCACGGTGCTGTGCTCAACGTCCGATGGCGAGCTAGAGCGACGGGTGTAGCGACCGATGGCGGAGAGAAGGGAGGACGGGTTTATGGATGTCAGACGACGAGTCAAAGAGTTGAAAGTGGACTTGAGGATTTGGTACATCTTCCCAGGGAAGGCAGGCACTAGCAGTGATGTTAGATCGACTTGGGTAGAAAAGAAGGGAGCAGGAATGCAGGGGGACTGACCGTCTCCGACCTCAATGTACGTTCCCACGCATTCGGAAAGCTTCTTCACGACAATACGATCCGTAGAAGATGCGCCGGCGCGCTTCAAAATGAAGTACTCCTGGGTCTTCGCATCTCCGATCGTGCGCACGACCCTGTGTCCGTCCCAACACTCTGACACCTCATCAGAAGTCGACGGGGTCAGTTCTGACTCAACAAAAGGACGGCTCTCCCTCGGCCTTCCAATCATATTCCTCAATCTCTGGCTGCCCGCTAGACGAAGGGCACTAATGATGAGTGCCGGGACGCCAATAGGGCATATGGCGATCACCAACACTTCGAAATACGTAACAGACTGGCTGATCCAGTGGAGAAGCATCTTCTCACCGAAAAGCGAGAGGAATCTCAAGAATCAAGGCATTAGTGTCAGATATTGAAGTACTTGCATGGGGAACTCACGGGGCCAGATCTGTGGCGAGGTTTTCGGCGGTATCGTCGGGCAAGTTCGCATGTGCCGGGCAGGCAACGGCGAGGAGAGTCAGAATCAGGGAAAGCATTGTGTCGATATTCTAGACAGCGGTTTGTTCAGCGCAATGGTAGAGGCGAATAGAACAGAGGACTTTGAATACCAAGTTGACAAATGTTCGATATCAAAAAGAAATTGGGTGGTTGTATGAACGAGCAAAATCTAAGAGATGTTTGGTATCCAATCCATCTAAGGGGTGGAATTCCATTGGTATTTAAGCGTCTCATGGATGGCAAGATATCAGCCATCATTCAATAGAGGCAAAGTCTGAAATTTCCTTTTTCTATTATACAAGGGCCACGTCAATATCGCAAGGGTTGAGGAAACAAAAATCATATCACACCCCTCCCCAGGTAATGTAGTAACAGATCCAGCCTTCCTCAGACGGCTGGGTAATGGTCAGCCAAGGACTAGGCGACCAGGTCAGGGCCACGAACTATCATATCGAGCTAACCACTCTAATGCTTCTGTTTTGTGCTACCAAGCATAAAGATCTAATGTAATATCTTGAGATTATCCCTTATTGAAGCTGGCCCAGGGCGAACCAGGTGCGACTCTATACCTCCCGCTCCATGAGAAAGAGACCTCGCATAACACCTCTCAGGAATTCTCAATATGAACAATAGCACCACATACTACTAATAACAAAGCTTGCGACCGAAATTAAAAGAAAAAGGGGAAAGAATTGACGATGGATACCACGGTGGAAACAGCTACCATGTGCTACTCAGATAGCGTCTGCCTTTACGGACATCTTGACAGGGGCCCACAGGACAGACCGTTGATTATTTGATTGGTTGCCTCAGTCGTTTAGCTAAATATAGACCAGCCCCTCTAGCTGAAGCAGATCTTACAAGTATTCATTCTGTAGTAGAGCTTCCAATCCTGTTTCCCACCTCTCTCTAGTCTCTGCGCACGAACGCCACTACGTCAAGGTTTGGAGATGATCTCTCTGTCCGCCGCCGCTCTATTGTCAGCCATGTGCCGCAGGGGCCATCACACAATGAAAGCTGGCGGGGCTCCTCCGTCCAGTTCTCGTCGTAGGTTGGCTATGTGGGAGAACCAAGTGGCCGCTATCACGAGCTGTGATGCATTCTCTTAGCTAGCGCGAATTCGCGTGCATCAGTAGAGGTACTCAGAAGGGCTATTTTGGGGAGTGTCGCATGTTGGGCGGACTACAGACGGGTAAATGAAACACTACCCCTCTGTCAAATTTCAAAATGTTGGTCAAACAAGTGAATGGTGGCGTTGGAGCCCTCCTAGTCCTGTTAGACCGCAGCCTCATGCGCCATTCGGATGCAATAACATCAGTCATCACAGTTACACAGACACACCGACCAGAAAGGGGGCGGGCCCCATTACCGGTAGCCGAATATTCTCTGCTGATCAAGACACAGTGAGGGTAAGTGGTTACGGACTAAACGACGGCCGAACGCAGCAGCCGTAAATAGTCGTGACAGGCGCCTTTCAGCTCGGCCAAGATCCAGGTCTTGGCGTTCCATGATAAAGTGTCCGAACCATGCAGCAGAGGCTGTTGGGGATCCAGCAAGCAAGCCACATGATTCAGAATTATTAATCAAGATGAGCAGGACCACGCTAATCTCCCACCTATCATCCGCTGGACGACAGGTACCGCGATACTCTATGACATCAATGGGGCTGGATGAATGGACGGACCATGGGTCAGGTGGGCAGCCAGTAGTGTGGAAGAAAGCTCAACTCTTTTGGAGGGATATTCATTCAGCTGGTGAGGTATCATTCCATACACGTTGGGAGATTTTACGGACAATGATATCAGTTTCAACAGCTTAGGATCTATATATCTTGCTCAAAACGCAAATATCATCAACTCATCCCACTCTGCCACGATAGATTGCCAAAATTATTGCTGGCCTGGGCTGCTTGGGGTAGGCAACCGGGGAGATATGTGGCAGAAGCCTCTCAGCATAGACGTAGTGCAGATCGTTGAGAATCCTAGTACCTGGTTATTGGGCCCGTACAATCACCTGTGCGGCGTTGCAGCTGCGCGGGGCCGTGCCAACAACGCCCTACCATGAACCACCCACACCTCTGGGATCGACAGAAGCTAATCAATACTTTGTCTACGGGTTGGGGAGGGGTGCGGGAGTTGGTTTGGTGGCGGATGTCTTATTTGGGGTCAGAGGAGAATATGGAATGGAGGGGCGGGAAACAGAGTCATCAAGCGAGTGACATAAAACATGGCACACCAAAGCTCTCTTCACACAAGTCAGGGGCCTCACTTGCTTATCCAGAATGCTAAACGCATGATAACAAAACCAATATTTACGTATTATTCTATAGTTTTTAGCTGCTATTGTGTTTATTATCTGTTATTTGTTTCATATTGTGTTGATATTGTGTTGAAATCCAACGCTGGATGTTCTGGTTGTGCCATGTTTTATGTCAGTCGCCTGCTCATTCACAGATCAGGCTGCCAAGCTTACGATGTGGAAATGTGGCCCGTTCAGGCTACAGAGGGGAACATTCCATTCCACAAATAGAAGTAACTACTGGATGAAGCTATTTGCTGTGGTTGCGACATGGGCATCTTCAGATATCCGGGGGGTGCAGATGACAAGCGTTCCTTCTGCCTACACCATGACGCCCGATTTTTTTCGCGCCACTACTGCACCAGTCCGTGCATCCAGACTCTGATATCCGCTCTAGGTGGCTTAACGAGAGAATACGAGCGGGGATACCTAGGCCAGCTCGGGCACTGCGAATGGCCGGAACATTCTAGACACTTCACATAGACAGAGCAGCCATGCAATTAGTGCAAAATTTGCACAGAAACAGTCACACAGAAACAGTTTGCCCCTGGGCTACTCAATAAACTCAAAACTCTCCGAGATTTGTGAAGTTAGAGAGGGGTCGGCCATCAAGAGGGGGGGGAACTGGGGCCTGTCAGTGCCAACCGCGTAGATTTGCCTTCAGGGATCAGCCCTGATGTCAAGCAGCCAACTGCCGTCCTGGAGATTGGTGGATGGGCCAGGCCCTGGTAATGGGATGGCCGCCTGAGAAGAACTGTTGGCTGTTGCACACCGTCAGCAAACTCATATTTTCTTTTTTTTCCCGCCCGGACGAAAACTAGCAGCAGCCAAGACATTAGGGGCCATGACTCATTTCAACATACCCAAAGACCGCTTCGCAACAAATTTTAAAAAATAACAGGGGAAAGGATAGCGACTGCCTGCACAGGTGTATTCTACCGGGAGGACGTTCCAGATCAGCCCTACCACTTGACTGGGGCAGCGCGCGTCATCAATTCTAAATGGAGATCTCATCCGACAAGACGGGAGCCAAGCCAGCGGCCGACGCTATTCTACTTAGTTCGTTTGGCCTGGCCCCAGCTGAGGCAGCGGAGCCTGGCGATCACCCGTGAGGCTCGCCCCCCAGCCATCTTAGTAGGAGTGAGCTAGAGCGCAGGGAGCCCATACAACATGTTGTCTATTGAATCTCCTTTTCTCCGGCATCTTGCCCGACGTCATGATGGCCAGGGCAGGGTATGCAGCTCCCAATCACGTACATTGCCGGTGAGGGAGTGGCCCCGCAGAGTAAGGTAGCTGCCCAACCATTGAACAGAGGCGGAACGATAGCTGAGACACTTGGGGATTTCCAATCACCCAAGATTGCCACGCACACCTCTCAAGCAAGGGCGCAGGCCGCAATCTGAGGCTTTCTGATTTCCTATCAGCGCACAGACAATGTCAAAAGTGACCAACCAATACAGCAGTGAACTACCTAGACAATGTTGTGTCAATTCTTTGTGGGGTCTGCTGTTTATTTTTGTCATCTCCTGAAACTTGCTCGTATCCGTGAGTGTTGGACCGCGCTATGAACCTCTTGTGGGCCTAGCACTGAATGAAGAACGGGGTCCTTGGCTGGTGGATTAGGGCCCCAGTGCGATTGACTGAGCTTATTTGTCCTTGGAAGATGGGAACAAGCCGGGGTGTCTGGCTGTCGCTGGTGAGCATGAATGAAGCCAAGGGTTCTGGCGTATTCCAGAGGATGATACGGCGAAACAGCTGCCTTCCATGTGGGCGAGAGCTGAAAGCTGCGACGCGTAAGCTCGGCCACCTAACCAAGTCGTCTGTTCTAGCCATGGAGTAGTTCATAGCCGAGGAAAATTATTAGTTGAAAAGTAGACACACAAGAAATGAGTGATACCAGATCACTTTACCGCCTCTGCTGTCAGCTACCAGATATCTTGGTGGGTAGTGGTTTGAGCAGGAGGCGCCTGTAGGGTAGGCCTTTCGCTTCGCATGACTCGGGAGGCTCTCACTGTTTTCATATGGTGATTCATTTGGCGTGCTAGGAGTTGGTGGCCGAAAATCAATTATTAGTTATCACCAAAAGGTGAACGAGAGATAATCGTTTCTATGCGCTAATCTTCGGCCACTTCCAGCGTGATCTAGACAGCGCTTCCCTGCTGGCCCAAGGCTTCTCCCTATATGCTCGCGGCCCAGTCACGCTCTACCACATGCATTAGTCCCCAGCCATTGAGGCATCGACATGTTGAGATGCCGACCGGGCGGGGAATATCGCTGGATTACAGTCCTACACAATATGGGGAGCCCGACACCAATAACGACACAGCCAGCTTGCCAAATCTCGAGTGATCATCTCAGGCGCGCCCCTCTTGATCATCAAATAACCACCTTTCGCCCTTTTTATCTCATTCTTTACCATGCCATCTGTAGACCCCGTAGTAATCAAGAACTTGCCGACACTCATCGCCCATGTATCGGCGCCTCGTAGAGAGGACAACGCGATGTCTTCCCATCGGGATCTTCACCCACTCCACTAGAGAAGCCTGCTCAACATTGGCCATTCCATGAGTTGGAGGCCGTTGATAATTGCGAGATATATGGAGTAAATTACAAGGAAAAGGTGGATGCATCAGCCAAAGTGTCTTCCCGATGGGTTTAATTATCATGTCCAAAGAAAGCGCGTTAGACGAATGCTACGTGAATATCCTCAGAGAGTCAGAGCTACTACTCATGAGCCAGTGACAGAAATTCATTTATGGCTTGGGCTTGTCATCCACATCCCATTAAATCTACAGTATGGTCATGGTAGATTTTGAGTCGTACTTTCAATCCAGCTGTGCAGGCGGGCGCATTGAGCCACTCAAAACCAATGGGAGAGATGCCAACGACCCGACTGTAGAGCAGATGATGCTCCGACCAAACAAACCCGCTTTGACGTCCCACAGATTTCCCAAGCCAAGATATGGGGAGCTCAATAATTCACGATATCCTCCACATGTTCTGGGACCCCCCTCTCTTGGTTTTTATGAGAAAATCACAGGCGGGGAGCGTTCAAACTGTGCTCACCTTGAAATTGGACTTTAACAAGCAGATGCAGAAGTACAAGGACAGCCAGCAAATGATGACCATGATATCGCACTTGTTAAATGATGCTTTTTCCCCTTATTTCTCTTTGTATGACTTCCACCAACTTTGTGATGCGGGAGGAGGTAGAGGGAAATTTCATTTCCCAAACTATTTTACATATCTAGCAAAATTATCGCGTTCTTTGATCTTGTTTTAGCGATCGCTTGTTCGGCATCGTTAGAAGATGCCTTTTTCATTCTTTTCGTTGCCTCTTCTTCCATGTTTTCTCCCAGGCTAACCGAGGCAATTGCTGCACAATGGTCAATCAGCACCGAGCACCGTTCAGAATTCCGCCCAACTGATATCAATATGATGGGTTCTTAGATCATTTTAGATATATTTTGCAGGGTTTAAAGATTAGTGACGATCTCTTCTTGTAACTCAAGAGGCGAGCATGTCAATAAGACCGAGGAGCGCACATTTGTGTAGATTCTTGTAGACAATTCCCTGATCGCTCTGAAGTTCACAGCATGCAGATTTCATTTAAATGCGCGGACTTGTTGCTTTTTTTCTGGCCAAGCCGCCGATGGAAGCTCTGGTGTCATTGAAGCCGAGTGAGAATTTCTATTAAATTTAGAAATTTTCACGAACAAGGAAAGTGACAGTGAGTCAGCGTCATCTAACCGCCGAGCTCAAAGGGCCCTTGCCTCGTACAGGAAGAACGTGTTCTACGAGATGGGCAGCCCTGGCACCTCGAGCTGCCCACTCAAATGTCTTAGGATGAGACAGGAATTGCGGGCGGCTTACTTTTTACACGAAGTCTTATCGCAGAGCAACCCCATTGTGATCATTTTCCTTGGTCATGCATTCGATATTCCCCGCTCACGTACCGTGGATGAAACCTTGAATGTTTTCTTCCTTTGATAAAGTTTATACCATGAAACTGATGGATAACGCTCCGGGCTGTGGATTTTGCATCAACGCGCGCTATGGCATGCCGTATAATGAGTGTACTCAGGTGGAATGCGCATCTTGTAGCCTAGATACGGCTTGCACTCTCTACGTGATCTGCTTCCGATCAACAATTGCACATCCTAAAACGCAGAGAATGTGACCTCAGCCGAAGGCGAATTGGAGCAGCGAGACAACTAGACTAGCTGGTCTTGGCTGCCACTGCATCGTGCCGTGCGGCGCGTATGCATGAGGTCAGTGGCCCAACATGCATATCGACGCGTCTCGCAGGCGCCAGGAAGAGGTCCGCGAACCACCTCCTGCCACGAGCCTCGGAGCTGAGGTCGGATCGCAGCTTTATCCATCAGCACGGGCGAATGAGCTTGTTGGTCCGAAGCCACTCGATGCAGCTGTGTTTCGGTGTGGCATCCATCATCTCTTGCTCGGGGATCTCTGGCGCGTAAGTTGCTTGCTAATAAACAGAGGCACCTCCCGCCCGACTTCTCCTCCCAACCTTCCACCCATCCACCACACTCGCCGGCCGTATCACCCCGCAAACAACCATCCGTCACACTTGCGTTTTCCTCCCCGCAGCTCTCCCCATGTCTCGTTCAGCAACGTCCAGTGGGGCCAGTTCAACCATGATGGCCACCCCCGGCCATCGCAAAATCCGTGTGAGGTTTGGTAAGTCACATCTGGCTCGCTATTATCTCTCCGGGTTGTATCGTAACCCGGCAATAGATGGGCGCGCGTTCGACATCGAAATCCAAGACACGGCCACCATCAGAGGTCTCAAGCAAAGCATCGAAACCGAAACAAGCATCCCCGTGCAAAGGCAGGTCCTCACGGTCCTCGGACCCGGCGCCATCGCCTTCCGTGATGACATGCTCGTCAAGGATGTCGTGAAGCCCCAAAGCACCATCATGCTACAGGACTCGAGCCTGGGCAACAACCAAGGCTTCCACCTGGGCCACCAGTACGGAGGCACCTTCTCCCTGGGCACCTTTGTCCACCAGGGCGACACCGTCGACCAGGGATTCTGGGGCCAGTCGCCCAGTAACCGCGGCCTCCACGACTTCAGCGACGTCTTCTCCACCAACGGCGTCCTCCAACGAGGGGACCACTACCTCGTGCAGGCGCCCGGGCCTGGGCTCCTCCAACAGCCCGATCATCAAGGCGAGCGCCACCCCGACAGCGCAGCCGGCGGTAACCAGAGCGCCTCGCGGCGAGGACATACGTATGGGACTGCGAGGACTGAAGATGCCGACCACACCCAGGGCGACGAGATCAATTCGGGCTGGAACGGGCCGGCGCCTGGGAGTGCAAGCCATCGGTACGGTGACACCAGGTTGAACGGAGGTGGGCTACACCAGGGGAACAAGTACGGGAAGCCTGTCTGATCTGGTGCCCGGTCGGATGACTTTAATGACTGAGCCGTACTCGGCGCGCCTTATGACCAAACAAATTTCGCGTTTGCCTCGTTTTACCAATAATTGAATCTTTCATGACTTGTGATTCGGTGACCTGTGGGCAACGTAACCGTGGCTCATTGTTCTGTTCCAGATGGGTATCGTAGGCATCAAATCGTGCTGCTCAGTGTGTTAGTAAATGTTTCGTGGTGGGTTCCAAGCCGTAGATTTTGTCAGGATTGGGGAAAGATGGATAGATAAGCTTTTCTGCAAGCTTCATCTTGGAACTGTGCTTCGTAATATCGCCGATGTGGGAATGCGCATGGCGGATGATCGTGGGAGTGTTTTCACCACGACAGGCGGCGCTGAATTAGAGCAGATACCAGCACAAGTTGACCTCGAATGCCACTGAGATCTTCATATCCCGATAATTCTTGATAGCCATATAGCATATAGGTTCATTCGCAAAGAATAATTGTAGTTATCTACAAGGGAGCAGCTAGATTGAACTTCCGCCCCAGCACAGGCAAGTTAATCTATGACAATTTGTTATCGCGCACTTAGTCGCTTCAATCAAAACGCCGAAACGTTTGGCACTTTTTCTTCTATAACATCGACTTATTGAATTTTGTGCCGGCACTGAGGCTTCGGTATTTTCAATCGTGAAACAGCGTATATACACTCTTTGCCAAATTAAGACGCAAAGTCCCGAAGGGTAACTGGCAAGGTCTTCCAACCACTTACCCGATGGATGATAGGAAAGATGATGATTTCCTGGAATGATCTTTAGCTTTGGAATGAATGCAACAAGAAAAAGATCAAAAGAAAAAGTGCAAAGAGAAAGAATCAGACCCCGATCCAGTGCTTATTCCTATGGAAGGCATCAATGTTAATCATCACACCATCACCGTTGGCTGCTGGTTGGTTGTTGAATTCTGCCCTATAATGAAGGATATATCGGCTATAGGCGACTCGAAAGAAAAAAAGGCCCTTTATCGTGCTTAATACGCGATCTGCCTTTGCCTTCTCCTATGATCGTATACTACTTCAATTGCTTTGTTTTTGTATTGTATCAATTGGTTCTCTTTGTATCTTCCCCTTCTTTAAAAGAAAAAGATCAAGTAAGTCCACTTATTAGTATGTTACTTTTCACCTTCATTGATGATGTTATGGCTTGCTACCTGGAGGTATAAATCATCCCTGGTGCTCAATAGCCGATCTAGTATCTTACAAAAAGGCTCACTTTCACCGCTTTATTCATCGCATTATATAAACCATTGCACCAAGGAGAACCCAGTTGTTCCTTTCTTTCTTCCAAAATAGCCCTACTAGCATGTTTTCAAACGCACATCACACGCTTCCACTTGTTGGGCACTGTCGAACCCAATCAAGGAACCTATGCAGTGTTCCAAGGAATAGAAGAGTCAATCCGCGCAGCAAGGCTTTTGCTCAGTGTCTACGAGACCATGGGATAGTAATTGGAAGTGGTAGAAAATGTTCCAATTCAAAGGACTTACAGCAGGTTCTGCGACCTACAACGCTTCCGTCCCACATCAAGCTTCCTTCCCAATATGATTTCAAGCAAATCAAGAGTGCCTCTCAACTCAACGAGAGTCAAGTCAAGAAAAATTTACTGCCAATACTGACCGGCCACTCCAGCGAAAAGTTTGCATGCCCAACAGAGTTTCATTTCAGCAACTTTGAAACTATGACAGAGGGCCAAGCTTCGAAGCCAGTGCCCGACTACTTTGAGGGCTCGCCATCTACTCATCTCACCAGAGAGCTGAAAGAAGATCTTGGAGGGATCCTCATTCCTTCCAAAAACCTGGCCTGTCCAGTTGTTCCAAATTTTCTTCGTCGAATTCAAATCCAGCCACGGAAGTACAGAAGTAGGCAAGCTCCAATTGGCACATGCAGGCGCTCATGGCGCCCGTGCAATGCATGCACTGCAGCGATTTGGGAAGGCATCATCTGATGGTGAATGTCAAACTCTCAGCTGGCTGTATCACGATGGCACTCTTAGGCTCTATGGCCACTTTGTGCTTTATCATCAAGATGGAGAAAACAGGCCACTTTACCATATGGAGCAGATAGATGGGTGGCATATGTGGGCTAGTTTTCACGAGTTTTGCAGAGCGGTTTTTGCATTCAGGGAGTCTCAAGGTATTGCAAGGAGGGATCGTGAAGGCTCTATTCGAGTTGCCAATCTATCAGAGGCAGCTTCTCGTGCAGCACCTTCGCAAAAACTTATATAGGAAAATGGGAACCTCGGAGCCAACTCTTTGTTATACTAATATAATCCACAAGTAAGCCGATTATATAAGTAAGCTGATTACTTCTACCTATCCCTTATATAATAAAGTTAATTAAAATAATAATAGCTAATTATCTATAATAATAATACTAGAAATTAATTTATCAGATTCCTCTCTAGTCTTTCTATAGGTTTAGATATTATAACTAGGCTTTCTATAATTACTATATTATAGAGTCTTTATATAAGCCTGCTCTCCCTAACTACTACTTCTATAGTTTTCCCCTCTTAGCTATTTATCTATATTCTTCTAGTCTAATAGATCTATTCTATTCTATATAGTTAAGAACTCTCTAAATTATATATAGCTTTTTTTAGCTCTTTAGTATTTATTTAGTATCTTATTTACTATATAAAGATTATAGATCTTAGTATATAAAAAAGCTATTTAGTATATTATTATAGTTATCTTCTTTATAAATTAATCTATTATAGCTAGTATAGAGATTAGGAAACTATTTTAATAAGTTAAGATTTAAGATTTAATATACTTAGACTATATACTTATTTTATATATAGTTTATAGTATCTTATTTATAGTATTTTTAAAACTTAGAGCTATTTTATTTTAAATAGAATCTCTAGTAGTATTAGTATTTATAATACTATATCTAGCTTTAAAAGAACTCTCTCTAGATTATATAATATTAAGCTAGATCTAATAAAGTCTATCTGGATATTCTTCTCTATAAAGAAGTAGAAGAAGGCTATATAAAAGATAGAGAGAAATTTAAGCTTACTAATATAGATAATATATATCTATATTAAACTCTTAATCTCTTATCTATATAACTATTTAAGTAGTCTAAAGTAGTTAATATCTAGTAGCTAAAGAAGATAGGAGGAGTAAGAAAATATATAGATTATAATAATTTTCTACTCTTAATAGTAAGTTTTAAAGTTAGCTAAGTAATAGCTCTTATAGCTATTAAGGATTAATATCTAATATACTCTCTTTATATAAGGAGCTATATAGAAGTTAAAGTACTTAATTTAATTTAGATTAATCTTATTAATAGTCTAGTTATTCTTAGTTATTATAAACTATTAGTTATATAGTAGATTATATTTCTAATACTAGTTCTTAAAATAATATTAGATAGTTAGAATAATAAAAGAAGGAATAGTCTAGCTAGTTATATTTACTTTTTAGATTATAATTACCTACTTCTAGTTACTAAACTAAACTAGTTTAGTTTTTATATAACTCTTTAAAATTATAATTATTATCCTAGAGAAAATAATACCTATTATAAAGCTAGTCTTATTAAAATTATATAGATCTTTATCTAGAATACTATATTTTACCTTTTATTACAAATTATATTATTATATATTAAAGTTATATAGACTATCCTACTTTTTTCCAACTAATTACTAGTAGATTATCAGGATCTTATAATAATCCTAATAATCCAGGATAATAGATTATTACCAAGCCTTAATAATCCCCTAGTATATATATATATTTACTTTATTAGATAGAATACTCTCTTAGATAGTTATTAATATAATTATCTATATATCTATTATTACTAGCTTTATAATACTTATATATTAATAGTAACTTATATTATATAGCCTAAAATAACCTAATTATACTATTTAGAATAATACTCTAATTAGTTTAACCCTAATCTACTCTAGACCCTATCTAGTATAAGTTAACCTAACTATTATATATTAATAACTCTTATTCAGCTAATTACCTTATCTTAATTACTATATAATAATAAAGAAGATATTATAGCTACTATAGTTCCTCTAGCTTAGTAGTAGAACCCTATTATTAATAACCTACCTGCTCTAAATAATAATAATACTATAGATAAAGATAGTAGTAATAGCAGTAGTAATAGAAATAATAATACTGAGATTAAGCTCCTATAAGCCTAGATCCTTCAGCTTTAGGAATATCTTATAATTATATAGTAAGAAATAGTTACTACTACTATCCTTATAGAATAGTAAGCTACTCAGAATACTAACCTTCAGACCTAGGCTCAGACTATAGCCTAAGGAAGGGAACTAGGAGTACTATTTAAGCTACTACTACTTAAGATATTTAATAGAACCTAAGATAAGCTTTAAGGCTTTATAATCTAACTTTAAGTATACTTTAACTATTTCCCTATTACCCTTAATAGTAATAAATAGTAAGTTACCTATATCTATTTATAACTTAAGGGGGTTATACTTAATTAGTTTAAACCTATTATAAGGGAATACCTTAATAGTTAAGGAAGCTAATAAACTATTAATATTATAATAAGTTTTAATTACTTTATAGAAACTCTCTAATAGATATTTAGAATCTAAGATAAGAGATATAAAGCTGAATATAAAATTAATAAACTCTCTTAAACTAGATCTACTTCTACTTTTAGTAGTAGGTACCTCTAGCTTTTAGTAAAAACTAGATAGGACCAGAAGTATATTATATCTTATTACTTTAAGAGACTAAAGGAAGAAGTCTAGAAGGAACTCTATAAGGAAGATAAGCTAGTAAGTATTTATAAATATATAACTATAGCTATAAGAATTAATAATTAATAATATTATTAGCAGACTTATAGTAAGAAGATAACCTACTATACTAATACTAGTTAACTATAATAGCAGTAATAACCCGCAGTCTCTAAGATATATATAGATCCTATAGAGCTAGGAGCTATAG